AGATGAATAGCGTCCGGTTTAACCTAAGTACTGAATACCGCAGCCAGGTTTATTTCAGGTTAGTAAATAGATAATTAATATTGTCAGTTTTTCAATTTGCATCAATTTCAAAATTTAAGAAAAATGTACCATTAAAAGCGGACCTTGTGGTATTGTTGGTGAAAAGACGAGGACAGGTACTAGTAAGTTATTTTTTGGCATTCCACTTATCGATGGAATGGTAACCACGATTTTTATTATTGAAAATGTTAGCAATTGTAGTGTTTTTAGATAAGCGATTTTGAAGATTGAGACGTGTAGATACCCTTTTAACAAGGAGAAGTTCTCGCTGTGACACACACTCCATTGTCTTGTATATTGTAGGATCATACACCCTAAACACGGGAGGCACTCTACTGTCTCCACGCGGCACTTAAAACAAACTCTGTAAAAACTTGTAAAATCATTTGAAAAATGTGACGCTTTAAACAAAATGTAAATTATTGGAAACAGAACTTTGAATTACAGAAAAGAGAACGGATAAAGAAAATGAATATGTCTATGATAAACAAAAATAATATGAGCATGAGAAAACAGTAACATTTTCATGGGCTTTGCACCAATCTTCAAATGGGTCAACGCATGCAAAGTTAATATCGCACACAACACCATTACATGAATGAGGGTGTGGATGGGGTTTACAGATTCTTGTATGATGAAATAAGTAGATGGATCTTTTAGAACAGAATACAATAATTCCAAATCAAATGCAAATTAAGAGGTTAATTGCGCAATATTTATAAAAAAAAATGCAAGTTTTCAAATATCCTAAGAAAAATTATACGAATGCTGTAAAAGTTATTGTAGGCGAAGCGATAATGGCCAAATAGTTACGATTACACAGCAAGGGCCGAAGCTCGTAGACTTGTAAGCACATGGACATAGTCATCAAAAGTAACGATACTCAAGCATGGTGAGATGTAATAAATTGGAAAAACTGTTAAATTATCCAATGAAATATATGATTCAGGAAATCTGACTAAATTAGAAAGTGAGAACATATCCTAGAATTAAACACAGGGGTCATTTTGCGAAAAATTATTACAAAAATTGGCACTTAATATCGAAGATATACATGACATATCTGCAAAGTCATTAAACATTTTAATCAGACCATGTCTATTTTTCAATTTTTAAGTTTTGACATCGGTTATGAAATTTTGGTTGATTGCAAATTATTCACGAAGCATGCGCATAAGTAAGCAACATACCTAAATGTGCATGCGTCGATTAAGAAGAGTTTCTTATTAACTTATCCGCCCATGTAGTCCAGATGATAGTAACGTCAGCTGTAGGTATTTTTATAGATCCCTCATGCTGGAAGGCGTCAAAGTAAAAATTGAAATAGCCTTCCAACACGTCATTATCATTTGGACTACCGCCCATTACTGGGTTTCATTGTAAGCTAAAACTTTTGTTACATTAACTCTGGTCCGTTTAACCAATCAACACCCGAATTATTTATTGCTCGTTCAAGCTGCAACCAATTATACTCACAGCATGTTAATTGTAAGAATTTTAAAAAAGATTAAAATCTTTTAACATTTGAAAATAAACCATTTGTATTTTGTGTATGCTCTTTATAGCAAGCTTCATAATTGTTTATTTTCAAACGTTTGAAACCAGGATGCGCTATATAATATCAAAGTAATCAGTATTTTTTTTCGGGAAATTATTTCATGAAAACAGTTTTTAAAAGAAAACATTTGTTGATTCAAAGAAAATGTTCAGGAATTACTCCAGTACAAAGATTTACCTGCTGGTGTTGCTTATAGGTATGTTTGACCTTTTTCAGTTATTAGCTTAACACAGTTGCTTTGTTGCACCAACATTATATGTAGATACAAAAATATTAGTTATGTATATTAGCTGAGCTGCTATGTGCTAATCTTATCTTTTGACTTAGCTGCCGTTTATTAGTCTCCTACCGGAAAAGCCGAAGGGGACTTTACGTTTGCACTCCGTCCGTCTGTCCGGAAAATCAGTTTTTAACACTTTTTTCTTCGTGCTTGAAGATATTAGTTTGATATTTGGAATATTATAGTTTTATCATGACAAGATATAGATCAAGTTCGAATTTTGTTCCGTTCAGACGATTATTTTCAGAGTTTTCGTCCTTTGACATATAAAGTACACGCAAGTAATAAGTTTTTCGCACCTTTTTTGACATGCTTGAAGATATTAATTTGATATTTGGTATATAGTTTTACCATGACAAGTTACGGGTCAAGTTCGAATTTTGTTCCGATCCAATAATCTTTTGCGGAGTTATTGTCCCTGATCTTAGTCGTAATAATAATTTTTGAATATAGAAAATATTACAAATTACCGATTAAGTTAGCATTTTGTTCCATGCTGATCCATGAAGAACATATTTTGACTGATAATTTTGAATAATACATAAATATATGACTGAATTTTAAAATTGAGGGCATATATTTCCTGTTTCTCAGATATGAAGTACCTGGTTTGGTGTATTGAAAAAATAATTCCGTTTTTCCAAATATAATTTCGTTATAACGAGTTTCTTCCATTAGTCATAATGACAAAGTGTATTACCTCAACATGAATTTTAAAGGAAGATGTAAACCAAAAAGTTAAGAAAAAGGCACTTTACTCGATAATATCGGTATTACAGATTTATTTGTTCCCTTTATACTTGATATTTTCGATAGGTTGGATTTTTCTTAAAAGTTCAAGCAGGTGGGATTATATTTCAACAAATGTATCTCTATACACGTATTTGTAATAAAAAAGAAAGGGAATTGAACAATTCACACGTATTTGTTATAAAAAAAATAGCAATTGAACACTTCATACGTTTTTGTAATTAAAAAAAGCAATAGAACAATTCACACGTATTTGTAATAAAAAAATTGCAATTAAACAATTCACACGTATTTGCAATAAAAAAAAGAGTAGCAATTGAACAATATACACGTATTTGTAATAACAGAATAGCAATTGAACAATTCATACATATTTGTAATAAAAGAATAGCAATTGAACAATTCACACGTATTCGTAATAAAAGAATAGCAATTGAACAATTAATACATATTTATAATAAAGGAATAGCAATTGAACAATTCACACGTATTTGTAATAAAAGAATAGCAATTGAACAATTCACACGTATTTGTAATAAAAAAAAAATAGAAATTGAACAATTCACACGTATTTTCAATTAAAAAAAATAGAAATTGAACAATTCATGATATCAATATCTTTTTGTCAAAGTCAGTGACATAGCAAAACACCCATAAACTTCCATAAAAAGAAGTCAAAAGATGTGCTTTTATAGAAATGACTAGTTATACAATCATCATTCTTTCAGATCATATTTCCTGTAACCCTTACAAGTATATATCAGGACCATTTACATTTGAAGATGGACGGAGCCAATGTGTAAGTAATGGAATGGATCTAGCCATTATCAAGGATAACGACATGCAGAATGAAGTCAATAACTTTTTGACGTCCGAAAATGGAGGGTAAATATAAAATCAAGCTTAAAATGTTGAACAACAACAAGAAATAGTAAAGCAAACTATTAGTAGAATAGAGAATGGAAACGAGGATGTGTCAAAGAGACAACAAACCGACCAAAGAGCAGAAACAGCCCAAGGTCACCAATAGGTCTTCAACGCAGCGAAAAAATCCCGCACCCGATGGCGGGCTTCACGTTGCCCCTAAACAATAATGTATACTAGTTCAGCGATATGGACGCCACAGTACGTTGTTTCTAATGACAGAGCTCCAGATAAGAATTCACCAATTGGGGTTTTACCCACTATTTTTTAAGTAATTGAGTGAAATAGTTTTTTCAATTGCATTATTTATTCCAATTCACCCCTCAAGCAAATATCTAATTGGGTTTTTCACCAACAAGCTCATGAATGCATTGGGTTTTTTTTCAACTTCAAGATATTGAAATTAAACTTGTTATGATGTAATTATTTCATACCAAGATGTTATCTTAATGTTTTTTTCATTATATGTTTGTTTCAACCTGTCTGTCAGTTTTGTATTTTCTGTCAATTTATATAACCTGGTGTCCCTAGTGGGGCAGTAACCTATTACCTTTCTAGAGCATATATATAGAAATAAGAAGATGTGGTATGAGTGCCAATGAGACAACTATCCATCCAAGTCACAATTTGTAAAAAGACAAACCATATATATATGAAGTTTTTAGATTTTTAAGTAGTATTTGGGGACTATTCATTTGGTTGTCTTGCATTTCTTGTCATGGTGTTGTCAGTTTATTTTATACCTAAGTTTTGAATGACGTCAATTAGGTAAATTCCACTTCTTTTAATTTTTATACTTTACTGGAAAGGAAAGATATCAAGAAAGTAAAAAAAAACACTTAATAACCAACTATGCGGTATGGGTTTTGTTCATTATTGAAAGCAGTACACTGACCTATAGGTGTTAACATCTATGTCATTTGGTCTCTGGTAAAGAGTTTTCTCATTGGCAATTATACCACATGATCTTATTTTACAATGTTTTATATTACAAGTACAGCAAATTTATCTATGGACGATCACGTGTTAAATCCACAACTTTTCTATATACCAAGTTGGGTACTTTAGTCACTGCAGTTCAGTACCAATTGTTACTACCTAATGGTGATATAAATAATTTATAATGCGGACATGGAAAAGTGCATGATTTCGACAAATAAGGTACACCTTAGACACAATTAAAGTTTATTCATGAAGTGTATTAACATAAAATTGTAATTTCATTTGTTTTGTTTTTCTTTAGAAGTTTCGACGTTTGGATAGGACTGATTTGGAATAAAGCGCCACTAGCATATTTTACGTGGGTAAATTGTGAACAGCTTGGCTCATGGAGTAACTGGGAGTTACCAAAAAAAGAACCAAACTGCATGGAGGGAGCTGCACTACCTTCCTGTAGCACGTTTAATCAAAGCTGTGTTCGCATTCAAGATGTATCAAGTAACTGGTTGTGGAAGACTCATGGATGTGACCAAAAGTATTCTATTCTTTGCCAAAACTGTAAGTTTGTCCTCTGAATTTCTTATCATTCTATAGCAAATCGTACAGAAAAGGCACTGGAATACGGGACTTCCAATGGTTTAAAACACAATTTTTGTTTGTATTCAATTAACAACAGAGATATAATTTAACTTTTAATACTGTACACTTGTTTAATTCGCGACTCTTTAATTCATACACCTGCATGTCGAAAGCCAAGACTATAATTTGAACGTTCTATTTTTGTCTGATCGTCAAATACATGTAGCCATAGGTTGAAATTTCCCAAGTCAATGACAAAGGTCAAAGATGAATACTCCCTTATTTTGACACTTACAAAATTCTTCTTCATGGTTTATAACTCGTTATAGCAAAACATGCAAACTTAAACAAACGTGTTCATTGTCATGAAATGACTCAATTTTAACAGCTCGTACAGTTGCCAAAATATACCATTTGGGACCAATTAACTTTTCTATGTTAAAAACACTAATTGAAATCAGTCTGATTGTTTGATTTTGAAAGAGTTTCTACTCTCAAAAAAATAAAGCGTGAATATATAGTCCTGGTACGTGACTGGTGCCCAAAATACAAATAGTGATCCGCACATGTTCGTTTTTCCACTTAAGATTACAAAAATGTCCATATTAATACCATATAATTATTGTAATTACTTAACCTTCGTCAAATTTGAAATTTTAGTACTACATGTATACCAGTTCAAATCGGTCATTGCTATTCATTAGGAATATATTTCTAAGCAGTCTCTCTTGTAATAACTCAACTTTCGTCACCTGTGAAATTTTAGATTTGTACCAGTTCATATCGCACCTTGCTATTATTTTTGGAAGCATATCTATGCAGTCTCTTATAGCATCTCTGTTGTATATACTTAACCTACGACATTTTTGAAATTTTAGAATTGTACTAGCGTTGTTCGGTTTTTAATTGTGTAACTGTAAAGATTGTTTCAGTTTAATCAGAATAAATTGATATGATTCATTTTACATCATCATATTAATCATACTGATGAAGAATATATGTTATCCGAAATATTTATAGATACTTACATTTAATGTTTCCTTTTTTTAATAAGTTGGTGTTGTTTTGTACACTTTTTAGGCATTTATATAATTTATTTATTGTGTATACAGTTATCGTTACTCGTAACGATCCAGCGCCCTCGTAAGAAAAATCGTTGACTAATATCTAGACGTATTATATACACGTGTATATATATATAATTTTGAATAGGGAGATGTGGTATGATTTCAACGAGAAAACTATCAAACAGACACCAAATACAGCGGATCTGAACAACCACGGGTAACCTTACGGCCTATTAATAGTATATTGATACTATATATTGGATATATAGAACTAAAATGTGTTTACATTTCTCTGCAGGTTTCCAAAATTTTATTAAATTGAATTTTTCCTATTTCAAAATGAGTCATTGGTTGATTTTCCACTGTTTAGGCGTTTTTTACCAATCACAACGCTTAAGTGGATGCTTTTGAAAATAGTACCCAGAATGATTTAGAATCTGAATCGGCAAATTTCCACACTTGAAATCTTACCCCTTTTAATAGCGTTTCTGCGTCTCTGTTCGTGTTCATATCATTTCGAAATCTGGATTAAAATCACATTTGCTGATAAACTGTCAAATTTTAACATTATTGAATTTTATTTAACAGCAACTATTATAACAGGCAATTGCCCAAAAACAACCACTGAATCAATAACAACTGACTTAACCACCACTATCAAAACCACAGCGAATACACCGACTACTACTGAATCAATTACAACTGACCTGTCAACCACGAAGAATGTACCAACTACAACTGAATCAATTACAACTGACTTGTCAACCACTAGTATTACAACGTCGGGTTCAGAAATGATATCGCCCACTTCACCGACTCATCAAGTAACCGAATCAGCAACAACCACAGTATCATCTAAAACTAACCCAACAACTACCACAGAACCAACAGAACCACCTATGATTACCACAACTAAGCAAGAAACCTCATTTAAACAAAGAACAGAGTCTCTACCAGTAGGAAACACAACGCTTGGGACTTTCTTCATCAACAACAACCAAGTATGCAGTTGTCAATTGCTCTCTAATCGAACGAATTTGCCCGAAGAAAGTTGGAATTTTAAAATAGACAAACGCTCGACGAACGCATACATCCGACAGCATACATCTGCTTATGATGGTCGGCTATCTTCTAGAATCATGGGATATACAGGAGTTTTTATCGTTGGTGGAGTTTTATTGTTTGTACTTTTTGCTGATGTAACGACCTTCATAGATAAAACACAAAGTGACCAATTTAACTAAATATGTACTTTCGGGTCCAGCTGAAGCTCGCTTCCGGATGCGGGATTTTCTCGCTCCATTGAAGACCCATTGGTGGCCTTAATCTGTTTTGCTCTTTGCTCATATTTTTGTCTCTTAGACACATCCCTGCTTAACTATTTTCTTGAATATTTATTGTTGTTATTCAACAGTTTAAGCTTTATTTTATTTGCATGTATATTGTTGATTAGATGCATTTTTTGTAACGTCGTTTCATGTTGAATAATGTATATATAAAGAAGTAGGATAAATTATGGTAATATATCACAAACTTGGTAATTGAAAATATTTTAACAAGACTTTACAGAATCACAGCTTGATGTGTTTGTTTTTACATCGAACAAGGACTTGTCTGTTGTCTTTAAATGCAAATACTTTGAGTAACTCTTACATCTGATATAAAAACCAAGAGATGTTGTATGATTGCAAATATTTAGATATAAGAAGATGTGGTATAACGACAACCGCTGAACATCAGGTTCCTGACTTAGGACAGGTGCCAACTTTCCACCAAAAGTCGTAGATGTAAGCAACTGAAGATCTCCCACACGGCGTGTAACAATGAGCAAAACTCACACTGTAATGTCAGCTATTAAAGACCTATAAAAACATGACAAACTGTAAAACAATTCAAACAAAAAAAAGCAGCCTAATTGATGTACAAAATAATAAACAAAAACAAATATGATATACAGCAACAAACGACAACCACTGAATTACAGGCTTCTGACCTGATAAAGCTACATACAAAATGTGGGGTTAAAAATGTTTGTTACCTCTCTACCCTCCCCTAACCTGGGGTGTAACAGCACAACTTAAGAAAAACTGTAAAAATCGGTTTAAAAAGGGCTCGATTCATCAGATAGACACAAAGCAACAACAACAACAAACTAACAAAAAGACTACAAACACAAAGTATCGATCTCTAAGAGTACTCGCAGTTACTAAAATTAAGTGCAAAGCCAATTGCAACTAACAAATAAATCATCATTCCCTGCGTAAAATATGCAATATACAATCAGTATACATCCAATGGATTTAGTGTAAAGACGTGATAACTGTCTGAGTTAAACATTACCTTGCGCAATGCCAAAATATAAGATTGTCTGTTCATGAGTTGGTTTTGATGACAATTCAATATACTTATAAAAAATAAGTGTGTTTTATTAAAATATGAATTGTATGCCTTATTTAAGTAACGGCCAACATTTTTTTTTTACACTTTAGATTAAAGATACTACAGAGACAAAATGTCTGAATGTGTAACAGGAAATTGACATAGATAAAATTACATCAAAACTATCACTATGTCAAACTCAAAGATTTCAATGTTTTGTTGTCAACTTTCTATTCTTGAGAGCATCAAAAAAGGTTTAAGGAAAAGCTTCTGGAGTCAGCATTTGACCAGTTTTACAATTGACATTTCGAATTTATTGTTTGTTGCGGTGTCCCAGCTAAAAACGTATAATACCAACTGCAATGTGTATAACGTTTGTTTAACCTTCAACGCTACAACCATGCAAGGACGAAATTTGGAAAGTTAAATTCATTAGACCTATGTATCTTCTAAATCAAGGGGTTAGAATAATTCAACAGCGATACCTGGCTTTCAATTCAGTATACCAAGCGTGCATTTGATCTACTTAAGATTCATCAATGGCTCTCGAATCAAAATCGATTTGGAAGGCCGAATCAATTACGAAGTTTAAGAGCATTATAAACCAAGAGTTTCAAAAAGGTTGTGTTAAATCTTGTTGTAGCCATCATTGCCTGGAGGTCGAATTTCAAAACCATTAGTGTTTTAACAATAAAACCAAAACCGTCTATGGTCAGCTTTGAAGTTTCACTGATTACAATTTGGATCTATCTTCGAGACATAAAATCACAAACCCAGATGCCATTTACAGTAGATAAGAATTAAATAATTAGGTAAATACCATTTCATGGTTTAATCAGAAGGAAACTGGCAGTTTATAATAGTGTTTGATATATATGGTAAACAAATTGCTGTAAAAAAAAATCCGGACAAGATAGAGTGACAAATAAAAAATCGCAGGACAACATTTTTCACCCTAGCCCCCCCCCCCTAGAAATCAAATGGTAGCTCCCTTAACTAGCATTGATACCAATTATATAGAAGTGATACCGATTTCGGTGCGCTCGACGCTCGTTTCTTGAAAACCTTTCATCAATACTCACAATCAAAACTTTTGGTAAGGCTAATACATAAGACGTTTATAACATCAAAAATAAATTGGCTCAAATTCCATTTTTTTTTACTTGCCATGACTGACCAACACGCCGGGTGTAACTAATGGAACAACCAGCGTTCACCCGAATTTTTGGTGGGGTTCGTGTTACTCAATCTTCAGTTTATTGTGTAGTGCTTTGTGAACTTGTTTGTCTTTTCGTCTATATCTTTTACCATAGTTCCGTCTTCTTTCAATAACTTATGGTTTTTGATTGTCCCTTTGGTAGCTTCTTCCTTTCTACAATGTTGAAAGTAAAAATTATATTTTTTAGATTCTTTAAACAAAAAAATGTTTTATGCATGAGTCTTGAACTTGAGAGATGTGCCGGGATCTAACTCAGAATCTTTTTTTTTGTTTGTAATAAATAAGAAAACTGTTAATTGTTTATTTTGTCACAATGTTATAAACGGTACTGTTCGACCAACTGCATGCATTCTAGGTTTTAATATTGGGACTGTTACAGTTTATTTAGATGTCTACATATGGCATTTGGTGATGTGATTGCTGTTATGGCAAAAAGCCGTGAACGTACTATTTACAGAGGAAGGAAGAAATTCGAATTAATTAAAAAAAAAACAAGAATAAAATTAATGATAAAAATAATAGAATTTAAACAATTAACATTTTGTCATATTGCTGGTCAGAATTAATAAATACAACTCGATTGGTTTAATCGTAGGACGCATAAGTTGAATACATTTTTGAATGTAGTTTACTCATTTCCTTTTAAATCATTTTACCGAACTTTTAAATCATTTTACCGAACTATGGTAAAAAGAAAATTTATTGTTTAAATTTTTCGGAGAAAATAAAGAGTTTTACAATGTTTTAAAAGTAAAATAACATTCTTTAGACAAACAAAAATTATCTGTATGAGTCCTCTTAAACATTTGTTGTACTTTTAAGAGAGGAGCCTGAATTGGTGTTAGGATCATCCACCATTTTGTTTTTAGATATAGAAGGAACTGTTAATGTATATGATGGTAATATGATGAGGTATTAAAATGAAAACGACGCTAGTCGACTCAATGAATGTGTTTATCCAAAAACAGTATAATAGTACACACCATATATCTAGCAAATAAGTGCGAATTACTTACGATGGCAATCGACAATAGGAAATGCTCGACTTTGGACATAAATTCATATTCAGAATAACATATAACAGACAAAAACTTGGAGAGTGCAGAAATCTTGTATTATAGTTGTATAGGGAGATAGACCATTGCACTTGGATATCAAAAATATAGATATGAGTCCATTGTTATTAAAAGTGGACATATAACAGTACAAGATTCACACGACGAGTTACAGTCGAGAATTGTTAATTACAGTCGTTCTTCCTCGTGACTTTGTTGGCGTAGGTTTAAGAAATAAAAAGATACCTCTGTTAGTGAAATCTCAAAGCTCAAAACGACAGCAATTAATCAAATCGAAGTCCAATCTGACGTCAAAACTAGTAAAGTAAGATTCAAAATCGACGATCGATTCTTTGCCCTCTAATTCAAATTCTTTTCCCAAATCGACGTCCAATTGGTGCCGTCTCAAATATGTTTTTATTACATGTAATAAATATCATTTGTAGAGTTAGCAATCTTAGAAATTGTCCTTTAAATTGATCGTTTTGGTATAATAGACCTATTGATAAGGGTTATATTTAAACAGTTGTTGTTTCATTGCATCTGGTATTTTTTATAGGATAAACCACAACCTGCTGATTTATAGTTTGAAACAAGACTGTTATTTTCGTGTAGTGTTTATTCATGTTGTGTTTCTGCATTGACATTCTGTACAGGTTTGTTCTCGTTATTGCACAATACTATGTATTCCTGTACTCTTGCTGTAGGAAATCCACTCTGATAAGAGCCATTTGTATTAGATTGTAAGACGGCATGATTTCATATTAGCAGGTTACATATTTGAGCTTACTTTCGGTAACTCTGAGTATACTTTGAAACGGTATTGCTTATCATGGTCTTTTTATCTTGTTTTTTAAGATATATGTCATACTGTTATTGTAGTGGGCTTTTCCTGTATTGATTTTCATTGTATGTTCTTTTATGCACCTTATGTTAATCCACTGTTGTGAGAGGCTCCGTTGCCGAGTGGTCTTGGTAATCCAACTACTGTATCACTAGCGTGTCAACACTTAAATTAAAATTAATCTTAATAGGATAAGATTGTCACGGGCACTCCAGCTTCTTCAAACCAATAAAAACTGACCGCCACGAAATAGCCAATAGTGCTGAAAAAGGCGTTCAACACCAATCAACCAATCAATTCACGGGGGAAGGTTAACATCTTAAAAAAAACTAGTGTAACCCCGCCACATGTTCAAGTGTCTTCCTCAAGTCAGGAACCTCGTCAGTGGTAGTCTTTTGTCACGAGGAGAATTCGTTGTTGATGGCAATTGATAGTCTGTTAAATGTATTCACAACTTTTCAGGGCGATTTAGATTTAGAGATTTACATAATGCTATATATGTTGAAGGGATAAAGTTTATCGTTCCGTGTAAATAGGTCGAAACTTTTACTATTTTTTTTTCACAACTAAAGTTTTTGTGGAAGTATGATTCCACCTGCAGGACATTTTTCGAAAACTGTATGTTGACATTTGGATGATTTTGTGGGTCGCTGGGTTTCTGTCTCACTGATTTACCCTGTATCATCTAATTCATATATGACAATACTTACTTTTCCGTTTATTTAGAGTGAAACGCAGATAAAATGGAAATTCTTTCTTTGATTTACTAGCACTTTGTCGATACTACAATCTGATTAAAATCAGTTGTTAGTATTCGATACTCTCCGGCTAAAATCAACTATCAGCATTGGTATTGGTCATCAAGTTACAATCTGATTAAAATATAGACCTCTGATTTCATTATCCTCATATACGACCACGCGAGTTAATATAGATTCGAATTTTAATCGGATTGATCTTATATATACGAGCACGCGAGTTAATATAGATTTGAATTTTAATCAGGTTGGATCATTTACAGTCTCATCTCAAAAAATTGTATTTTCATTTACTCGGGTATGTGAACTCGGCGAGAAAAACGTTGATTTTTAATGGCGTTGGCTCTTCTTGTTATATCATTTTTGGTTATACAGCTCCCAATAAATGTAATAAATCAATCTATGACGGTCAGAGATAATATACACTAGGCGCTCCTTATATAAGTAATTAAAAAATGCGCATTAAACTCAGCAGAAACGGTACATTTTAATTTATATTTGAAGTGGTTGACTGATTTTAGCTTTTTAGACAAAAAAATCCTCAGTTTTTTATTAGAAATATAGCTTCGTATCCTCTAGTTGTCGTGTGCCCTTCTACAGCCGAGGTTATTCCTCTAGATGTCTCCCTAAAACAACGGTTTGTCTCCCTAAAACAACGGTTTGTTATACCAATTTCCGTGCGCATGGCGCGTGTTTCTGGAAGAATCTTCACCATGCACGCTCGAATCCGGAAAAAAAATTAAAATCAACGACTTAACAGAACAACCAAAATAATGTGTTGGGTCAAATTGTCCAGAGGGAGTTCCAAATTTATTTTTTAGTATTTGATAAACTGAAAATTTACAGTTAAAATGTACCGTTTTGATCATGTTAGTACCAAAGCATTCGCCACATAGCGAAAGATACCCCCTGGGACTGATAAGTCACCGCAGCAGCGGTACAGGCAGATGTTCGTCTGTTCTCACTTAAATCTAAGGAATGTTTTTCTTACGATTTCAATATATATATCTTCTTTACTTCTTTGTGCTTTTTCTTTAAAAGTAGAAATAATAATGTTTAATGAAAATAACTTTTACTTTGATATACATGTATGCTCCTTTAAATAAAGTGAAATTCTACCTGCTTTATCTTTTATTATTCGTAGAACATTGTTCAAGAGTGATGATGAAATTAACTAAAATGTCTACAAATACCTGTTTCCTCGCTCGGTCTGTTGTTTCATAATATATTGGTAAAATTGTTGAAAATCTTTTAATATTATTAATCTTAATTCTTAAATATTCAACTTTCGCCCGATTTGTTCACAAATTGGTTTTTGACCACATGAAATGGGAGAACTTGAAATCGACCACATCTCTTTAATTATAAAGGAATTCCATGGCAAAAAAAAACACTGGTTCTTCTGTTGTCGCCATTAGCATCGGATTGTTTAATATACTGGCTGGGCCGTTTTTTTACATCCTCGTAGAAATTGATTCTGGCCAACACGGCATGCAACAGATTTTCTGTCATAGATGTTCGGTTTTATCAAGGAAATTGTATACACAAATTAACCTACTTTGTTTTACAAAGTTGCAATTTGAATTTCAAGTTGCGTTTCGAGGCATTTATTATTTGGAAAATTTCCTTGCATATTGAATCCGAAAACTATGATACAGTACATGGCCAAAAGTATTCGCCACTTGTAATTTTTCACTATATATTATATATAAAACTACGGGTTTTTTTTTTTTTTAATATTCGGATTTTAATCAACAAGTTGGTACCAATAGAAGGAGAATTGTCACAGGCTAATTTGTTTATTTGGTTATATTTTTGTTGTGGAGCTTTTTTCAATTTCTGATGATTAAAAAACTAGTATTTCTATATTTTGTCTATAAATTTGCTGTATATTTCAACCAAATTTTAAAAATTGTAAAAAATTATTATACATGTTCATATCAAGAGAAAACAAAACTAAATGATGACAAAACTATGATAAATATATATATATATATATATATATATATATATATATATATATATATATATTTTAAAAAAATGTGGTTTTATATGAAATATGTAACCTTCAACATTCTTAAAACATTAGGATAAAAAAGTTAGATAATGGTCCTTACCATAAAACTTCTGAAATCTGAGTATGAATTGTACGACTGACTGCATTAGTTTTAATATGTTAAAAAGTATTAATGGTTATTTAAGGTCATTTGTTTTGTTGTTTTTTTTAAATATGTTTTGATACTTTCCGCAAAATGTCCGTCTCTGACACTGCTTTTACAATATTTGTACTTTGATCCTACTTCCGTTTTTGCGATGAACTTTAAAATTTTTGTGATTTTGAGATGTTGATTGGTTTAGACTGGTTGCAGTGGGCTGTCATAGCCTGTCTGTTGACTTTACCTATAATTTATGAGTTGAACAATACTTTTAAGTATTATGCCAAGTTTATCTTGTATTATATACTTGTTATGTTGGTTGGCACAGTCGTAATGGTCTACTCTTTGTTTCGTCCACGACGACCAGAAAATGCTCGGTATGTGCTTGCAGAGACATAGAATGTAGAATGCCATATTGTAAATTGGAGGCAGCTACCTGATGAGCTACCTTCAGATATTTTTCAGTAAACAGATATATAAATTTGTGTGAAATCGTACAGTCAAATAGGACTTTCGATGCTTGCATTTATCTGTACATTTACCATGTTAGACTTATGCTTACATGTTTGTTATTACAAATACATGACAACTCAGACCAAGGCAACACAGACCACTTTCGAAGACAACTTTTACCGGAGTGAAAGACAACTGGAACATTTATGAAGGAATACAGAAAAGATTAAAAACTACTAGGACCACTTATTCATCGCATGTACATGTACAACATGTGGAGATATTTATTGTTTATTTTTTTTTTAATATATCTATTCAATTATTTCATGTGACAGAAGGTTCGAATAAATGTAAAAAAAAAGCAGAGCTAGATTTGTAAAATTCATCAACAGGGATATCTAAATTATTTCTTTTCAAATAGATAAATATTGTTGTTTTTAACATATCATAAAAAAGTGAGTGGTCGGATTTCAAGATATAATGTCAATCAAGTTGTTTTACAAGACTTTATGTCAGTGGTTAAGGAAAAAAATTAACTGAAAAGCAAAACTGCATGTGCCTCTATTTATTTTTGCAAATAAAATGAAATGAATAGTTTTTCCTGCCTGCTGATCCTTTAATATTTTCTTGTATTAAGGGAAGCCAACATTCAATTTTCAATGGCCTAAGTATGAGGGTATTTAAGGGTCTAAGTTGTCTTTTAATTGGTGGAGTTGTCTTGGTCTGAGCTGTCCTGATTCCGTTATTACGTCACAGTAAGAATCCATGATTGTTTAATGATGTCATTTAGTCTGATTGATCTAAGGCCAAACGTCATAACTCATTCATATAGTCTTAATACCTATTTTTATTTCAGTCAATCAGGTTAGGAATAGCCATTATTTGGAGGATTATACCTTTAAAGACGTATTTACAAGTGTATAAATGCAAATCTGATAACCATTACTAAAAATCACACATGTTTCAGCAAAATATTTCATCACAATTTTTAAAAATCTATGTCATGATTAAAATGTGACAGTTGCATGACATCAGACGGTTATTCTGAGACAGATCTAGTCATCATGGTCATTAGAAGACAAAATTTGAACAGATGAATACCAAAAAGTTTTTATACGCTTATTCAGCATAATCTACCTTTTGACATATATTGAGATACACCAATTGAGGTATAATGCAATTTTTATCACAAAAATTTTTTAAGTAATATTGGAGCATTTTGCATGTTTTGATAGAGAAACCCAAAAAACTTACATGACCTTCCCTTTGCCACTGATAAGTTCTGAGATTTTATCTCTTAAATGTTAATTTTTGTTCTGTTATCTCTAACTGTCTACTTCGACAAACAAAGCTTCACTGAAGTTTCGTACTGTCCACTTCAAAAAACAAAGCTTCAAGGAAGTTTCTTACTGTCCACTTCGACAAACAAAGCTTCAATGAAGTTTCTTACTGTCCACTTCGACAAACAAAGCTTCAATGAAGTTTCTTACTGTCCACTTCGACAAACAAAGCTTCAAAGAAGTTTCTTACTGTCCACTTCGACAAATAAAGCTTCAATGAAGTTTCTTACTGTCCACTTCGACAAACAAAGCTTCAATGAAGTTTCTTACTGTCCACTTCGACAAACAAAGCTTCAGTGAAGTTTCTTACTGTCCACTTCGACAAACAAAGCTTCAATGAAGTTTCTTACTGTCCACTTCGACAAACAAAGCTTCAAAGAAGTTTCTTACTGTCCACTTGACAAACAAAGCTACTTGACAAACAAAGCTTCAATGGGATACTAATGTAGCCTTAAGGTCAAGGTACAGTAAATGGGCTATGTCACAGATTTTGGTAAAATTTTTGCAAACAACTTTTCCTCATTGAAATTTATTTGAAAATTGAAAAAATAATGCATTTAACTCTTATTTTTTTCTGAAATATTACTGAATGAAATTCTTTTGAAATTTGTGAAAATTGGTATATTTGTTTCCTATTCTGACATCGGACTCGGACTTCTCTTAAACTGAGTTTTACTGTGCGTACTGTTGTACGTTTGTTTTTTCTACATTGGCTAGAGGTATAGTGGGAGGGTTGAGATCTCAAAAAACATGTTTAACCCCGCCGGATTTTTGCGCCTGTCCCAAGTCAGGAGCCTCTGGCCTTTGTTAGTCTTGTATCATTTTAATTTTTAATTTTAGTTTCTTGTGTATAATTTGGAGTTTAGTATGACGTCCATTATCACTGAACTAGTATACATATTTGTTTAGGGGCCAGCTGAAGGACGCTTCCGGTGTGGGAGTTTCTCGCTGCATTGAAGACCCATTGGTGGCCTTCAGCTGTTGTCTGCTCTATGGTCAGGTTGTTGTCTCTTTGACACATTCCCCATTTCTATTCTCAATTTTATAGAAAGCTCATAAAATTGTTGAAAAACGTCCCTAATTTTGTCTTAAAATTATCAAATCTCCAATCCATAGATATTTTTTTTTCAAATAATATGTTGTTGAAACCTATACATTTGTAAAAGTTCTGATTCATCGATACTATAAAGGTTAATCCTTAAAAAAAATTGTAGAGCTAGATTTGTAAAATTCATCAACAGGTATATCTAATTTCTAAATTAATTCTTTTCAAATAGATAAATATTGTTGTTTTTAACATATCATAAAAAAGTGAGTGGTCGGAGTTCAAGATATAATGTCAAACAAGTTTTTTTACATAAATTTCCTGTCAGTGGTTTAAGAAATAAATTCACTGAAAAGCAAAACTTCATGTGCCTCTATTTATTTTTGGCAAATAATATGAAATGAATAGTTTTTCCTGCCTGCTGATCCTTTAATATTTTCTTGTATTAAGGGAAACCAACATTCAATTTTCAATGGCCTAAGTATGAGGGTGTTTAAGAGTCAAAGTTGCCTTAGAAACAAGTCCGAGTTCAATGTCTTACAAAGAGGTCTGAGTTGTTTTTTAATTGGTAGTGATGTCTTGGTATGAGCTGTCCTGGTTCCGTTATTAAGTCACAGTAAGAATCCATTGTTTAATGATGTCATTTAGGCTGATTGATCTAAGGCCAACCGGCATAACTCATTCATATAGTCTTTATTACCTATTTTTATTTCAGTCACTCATGTTAGGAATAGCCATTTTTTGGAGGATTATAACTTTATAGACGTATTTACACATGTATAAATGAAAAAGTCTGTTATTTTGATAAATTTCCCAATTCGATTGAACATTTCAAATCATTTTCTTAGGATACCCATTTTAAAACATGTGAATTCATCCCTGCAGCATACATGTATCTATTTATGTATATTTATCTAAATATAAATGTTTGTTGTTTTTTCTATTTTGTTTGCATCCAAAACTCAAGGATAACTTGACCAAGATCAATTCCATCAATATTTAAAAGCTGTTGCAACAGTCATGTAATACAAATGATTTAAAAGACTACATAATGTTGTTGCATTTAACAGGTTGACATTTAATCTTAGATACAATCTTGGGGAAATAACTTTGTCAAACCTTCATAGAAGTTTACGAAACTTGAATAGAAGTTTCTTCATGATCAAGAAAAAGCATTTTTATACATGTAATACCAGGGGTATATGTAATATGAGACATGTCTATTTATATCGTTCAATAACTGACTGAGATTTACCTGTCATTTAACTCTCACATTTGTTAAGACTATTATTTTATTTTTAACAGGTTGGCCAACTGGTTAGTCAATCATATGAGATGTTTGTTTGGTTTGTCTATAGAAGTTAGAGGAAGAGAAAATCTCGAATATGATGAAGCTTATATTATTGTCTGTAATCATCAAAGCTCCTTAGATCTGTTTGGTAAGTCGGTACAAAGTAAATGAGGGACTGCAGGGTTCTCTTTAAGGCACTTACATGGGATTTGGATGCATCATTATCTGTCTGGATGCACTATTTCAGGAACCTGTGCATCCACGGGACGTGTCCTTGTAACAAAAGCTTAGTCCTGTCACCATGATCTTATCTTTTCACTGATAAAAAGTATTTTTGTGAATATCTTTACCAAAAATTTACTTCTGTTTTCATTAATTGCATACAATAACAGTAAAATCCGAAAGAAACGAAAGTGAATGATGTAATTGATCTTTTGTAAATGTCTTATGCTAATGATAAAAAAACCTGAGGAAATCAAAATTTATTTACCTTTTTTAGCTCACCTGGACCAAAGGGCCATATGAGCTTTTCTCATCACTTGGTGTCCGTCGTCTGTTGTCGTCCGTTAACTTTTACAAAAATTTTCTCCTCTAAAACTACTGGACCAAATTTAACCAAACTTGGCAACAATCTTCATTGGGGTATCTAGTTTAAAAATTATTTCCGATGACCCTGCCTGCCAACCAAGATGGCCTACATGGCTAAAAATAGAAAATGGTAGTAAAATTCAAGTTTTGGCTATTATTTTGAAAACCGTTATAAATAGAGAAAATCTGACAGGCCAAAATGTTCAGATTGTTGAGCTGTACTAATTGTTTGTTGACGTCAAAACTGTTGGGCAACTTCCTACAGGAGTTGTTGCCCTTAAATGACAAATTTTACCATTGTTTTCCATTTTTGCCCTTTATCTTGAAAACTATAATAGATAGAGAGAAACTTTAAGTTGCAAAAATTATCAGCAAGATGAGATCTACAAAAAATTATCAGCAAAATCCACAAAAAAGTCAAATTTTGCCGATATAGTTAGTAGACTGTCACTCTTCATAGGAGTGATTGCCCTTAAATGAGGATTTTTTTACCCTCTTTGTGTTTTGAGCAAAAACTAAAGAAGATAGAGAGAAACTAAACAGACAAAATGATCAGCAATACAAGATCAACAAAAAAGAACTTTTTGTCATGAATTCATTTCTTGTCTTCAATGTTGGAGAGAGTCCATTGTTGATTATGCACATAGACCTAGTTGAGCGACACAGGCTCTTTAGAGCCTCTAGTTTCAAAAGCACATGTTTTACTGGCAAATAGAGTTATCAAAAGAATCCAATTAATTATCAAAGATTGCAAACCCATGTATTTCAATTGATAATTACGTTATGTAATGCAGTGGTCATAGTGTAAACAACTGTAAGTTAATTAGGGGATTTTTTCTAATTTAATGCATTAGACAGAAGGAGAAAATGTTATTAACAAAATGAAACTTGAAATAAGATAATTAAATATGAAGTTAAAAAACAAATTGCGATATGTTTAATTTACACAAAACTCCAGTATTTGTACATTTCCTTTATAAAAATATAAAGGAGATGAGGTATGATTGCCAATGAGACAACTATCCACCAAGTTCAAATAAAGTGGATGTAAGCAATTATAGGCAACCGTATGAGCTTCAACAATGAGAAAAACCCATACTGTATAGTCGGCTATAAAAGGCCCCGACATGAAATATATGAAACAATTCAATTGAGAAAACTAACGACCTAATTTATTACAAAACAATTTACAAAAAACAAATATGACCGACAAGAACCAACAACAATTACTGACCTGACTTGGGACAGGCACATATAGAATGTGGTGTGATGTAACTTCATCAGATGACAAAACCAATACTAAAAAGCCTGGCTAAAATTCAATCTAGTCACAGACCCTCGATGTCTAGGATGTATTCTAGTAATATAAGATAGAGAGATGTGGTATGATGATTGCCAATGAGACAACAAATCATAAATGATGTGGATTTAAGCAACTTTAGGTCATTTGTATGGCTTTTAACAATGAGCAAAACACATACAATATAGTCAGCTACAAAAGGCAATGATATGAAAAAATGTGAAATGATGTAAATGAAAAATTACTATAACAGACATTTAAATATATTTTTATATTTTTAGCTATGATGGAGATTTGGCCTGAACGCTGTGTACCCTTCGCCAAAAAAGAGTTACTTTATTGTGGACCATTTGGACTGGCTCTTTACTTAGTTGGGACTGTTTTTATTGACCGTGGAAACAGAGAGAGAGCTGTTGATGCAGTACAAAAGACATCAGATGAAATTAAAAATAATAAAGTATGTACATGATGAAAAAGTTCATGACAATATCACAAATTATAGAAATGCCTGAGTATGTAACTTTAACACGTTTATGAGTGTAATAAAGGTAGTTGTTATATTTTATAGATTCACACAATATTTCTCAAGACAAACAAGCTTCATCCAACACATGCAGCCATCCGGGCTGAAATCAGAAGCTGATCAGAAATTTTTTGAAGCTTATTGTACATTTATTTCAATCTGATCTAATGTGATGTGTAAATTGGATGAAGTTCAAGATTTATTCCTTTGGTTTATGATAAAATGGTTATTCATCTCTCTCATTGAGTCATATTTCAAATGCATTAAGAACATTTGAAGAAGAGTTTGATATATTGAATTAAGATGGTTTCAGGTATCTAAAATTGTGATGTTTGATCAAGATTTTTACTGAAATATTCTCATTTAGATTAAGAATGCAATTAATATGCATACATTTTTATTTACATGAAGTCATTTATAATTTTTATCTCATGGTTATTTGTTTTACAAATACAGAATATATTTTTTATTTATTAAAATAAAAGAAGAACGCCCCTGCTCAAGCTTTGCAATTTTCCAAGTTAAAAAGGGACAACTCTAGAACGGTAAATGATTCCTAATTCGAACACTTACTGTGTGTTGTGGTTTTTAGCATTGTGTATGAGTTTCATAAAATTTGAATGAGCCAAACTTAAGTTAGAGTGAGGAAACAAAAAAGTTTCCAAGTTATAAAAGGGCATAACTCTAGAATGGTAAGTGACTCGCTACCCAAATTCGAATTTTGTCTGCAAGTTTGGTTCTTATATGGTGTATGGGTTCTTAACTTAAGTTAGAGTGCGGAATCAAAAATGGGACGGATGGAAAGACAGACTGAAAGACAGAGGGTCAAGGGTAACACTTAATGCCCCCATTGCATAAGGCAGGGGCATAAAAATATTGCATACGACAGGGGCATAAAAATAAAGATTTCAATTCAAAAGGTTTTCATGGTTCATTTATCAATTTTTAGTTATGCTGACTAGATGGTTTTTGTCGAGCCTGCGACTTTTGTCGCAGAAAGCTCGACATAGGGATAGCGATCCGGCGGCTACGGCGGCTACGGCGGCGGCGGCGGCGGCGTTAGCTAACTTCTTAAAAGCTTTATATTTTAGAAGATGGAAGACCTGGATGCTTCATACTTTGTATATGGATGCCTCATGTTACGAAGTTTCCGTCAGTCACATGTCCAATGTCCTTGACCTCATTTTCATGGTTCAGTGACTACTTGAAAAAAAAGTTCAGATTTTTTGTAATGTTAAATTCTCTCTTATTATAAGTAATAGGATAACTATATTTGGTATGTGCGTACCTTGCAAGGTCCTCATGCCCGTCAGACAGTTTTCACTTGACCTCGACCTCATTTCATGGATCAGTGAACAAGGTTAAGTTTTCGTGGTCAAGTCCATATCTCAGATACTATAAGCAATAGGTCTAGTATATTCGGTGTATGGAAGGACTGTAAGGTGTACATGTCCAACTGGCAGGTGTCATCTGACCTTGACCTCATTTTCATGGTTCAGTGGTTATAGTTAAGTTTTTGTGTTTTGGTCTGTTTTTCTTATACTGTATGCAATAGGTCTACTATATTTGGTGTATGGAATGATTGTAAGGTTTACATGTCTAGCTGGCAGGTGTCATCTTACCTTGACCTCATTTTCATGGTTCAGTGGTCAAAGTTAAGTTTTTGAGTTTTGGTCTTTTTTTCTAATACTATATATGCAATAGTTCAACTATATTTGGTGTATGGAAATATTTTATGATCTATATGTCAGTTACGCAGGTTTTATTTGACCTTGACCTCATTTTCAAGGTTCATTGCTCAGTGTTAAGTTTTTGTGTTTTCGTCTGTTTTTCTTAAACTATAAGCAATAGGTCAACTATTTTTGTTGTATGGAAGAATTGTTAGCTGTACATGCCTGCCTAGTATGGTTCATCTGACCTTGACCTCATTTTCATGGTTCATTGGTCAATATTTAGTTTACTTGGTTAATGTTAAGTTTATGTGACAGTTGTAATAAAGCTTTATATTTAGGACTATCAACATAATATCAATGATTAGTAAAGAAGGCGAGACATTTCAGCGTGTGCACTCTTGTTTCAATAAATATGAGTTTTAGGTCAACTATATTTGGTTCCATAGAATCATTTTAAGGTACACATGCCTTTCATACAAGGGTCACCTGACCTTGATCTGACTTTCATGGTTCATTGATCCACAATTGTTTATTTCAGAAATAGGTCAATTTTTCAATAACTTTAGTAATATGTCAAAAATATTTTGTCTACATGTCTAACTGAACGTGTTCACCTGATTTTGACATCATTTTAATGGTTCATTAATCTAAATTAGCTTTCATGATTACAAACTTACTTTTTATGAAAAGTTAATAAATGATAAATTAACAGATATAAAGGACAACTGTAAAATCGCTATTTGTAAAACAAAATATTACAGAAGAAAAATATTTAACTTGCTCAAATTTGAATTTAGAAAACTGATAACAAAATTTGGATTAGTGACCACAATTTATTAATAGAAAAAGGGGGATATCTTAAAATACCAAGAGAAGAAAGATTAGGCAAATACTGCCAAAAAATTGAAGATGAAATTTATTTCTTTTATATTGTGATTTTAACAGTGATATTATATAAGTTTATTTTGATTTTTTGATAATTGACAACACACAATTTATAGATTTAAATGATATAGATAAAATCCCATATATCCTCAACCCAAGACCACACATTAAGGTAATTAATTATATATATATATATATAGCTTGGTTCCTTTTTAAAACATTCTATAGAACTGAGGAAAGGGGACTCTTGAAATATTTACTTTCATAATGTATAAAAATGATCCTTTTGATATTGTTCGTTTTCATTTTGTTATGTTGTGTCACATGCTATGAAATTCAGTGAAATAACAATAAAGATTTGAATTGAATGAATTTTTATACGACCGCAAAAATTTTGCAGTCGTATATTGGTATGACGTTGGCGTCGTCGTCCGAAGACACATTGGTTTTCGCACTCTAACTTTAGTTTAAGTGAATGGATCTCTTTGAAATTTTACCATAAGGTTCAATACCACAAAAGGAAGGTGGGGATTGATTTTGGGGATTATGGTACCAACAGTTAAGGAATTAGGGGCCAAAAAGGGGCCAAAAATAAGCATTTTCTAGTTTCCAGACAATAACTGTGGAACGTTGTATGGATCTCTCTGAAATTATACTACAAGTTTCCATACCACAAAGGGATGGTTAGGATTTGCTTTGGTGGGTTATGGCTCAAACCGTTTAGGAATTAGGGGCAAAAAAGGGGGAAAAACATGGTTGTCCTGGTTAATGGACAAATACTTTAGTACAAAACATAATTTAAAGCAGTGTAAGGGAGATAAATCAAATACATCATTGAAATTATCTCCCTTACACTGCTTTTAAATTATGTATAAAGTAATGGTTAATGAACAAGTAAGATAATTTAAAACAGTGTAAGGGAGGTAATCCAAATACAACGTTTTGGTTACTTCCCTTACACTGCTTTTAAATTATGTTTAAAGAAATGCATATTTATAAAGGAAGACCAGTAAAAATATCTGCAAATGTTGCATCTGTTTTTTTTACAAAAAAATCCATATGAAAGATTTGACACTATATTTTTAATTCTATTATAAAATAGATTAAGTTAGCACTATGGTAAATTTAAATGGGTAATTATGGTTGCCAACTCCATTGGAAATTTGAATTGAGATTATGACCATATCTTGAGGGAAAGAATTTTTTGGGGGAAAAAAGGGGGGGGGGGGGGTAAAAAGAAATTGGGGGGGTCAATTTTTTTCTCATTTCAGATTTCAGAAATTAAAAAGAATTATTCTTCAAATATTTTTTTTTTTTCAAATTTCAAATATTGAAAGATTTCAAGAAGTAATCTTTAATTGCACAGTATGGCGCATTAGATTTGTAAAATCTTTGACCACATTTATTTATTTGTTATGCCGAATCTAACCGTGTATTTAGATTTTTAATTTTGGGTCTAGTTTTCAAATTGGTCTACATTAAGGTCCAAAGGGTCCAAAATTAAACTTTGTTTGATTTTAACAAAAATTGAATATATGGGGTTCTTTGATATGCTGAATCTAAACATGTATTTAGATTTTTGATTTTTGGCCCAGTTTTCAAGTTGGTCCAAATTGGGGTCCAAAATTAAACTTTGTTTGATTTCAACAAAAATTGAATATATGGGGTTCTTTGATATGCTGAATCTAACCATGTATTTAGATTTTTTATTTGTGGACCCCGCTATCAAATTGGTTCATATTGAGGTCAAAAGGGTCCAAAATTAATCTTTGTTTGATTTCATCAAAAATTGAATTATTGGGGTGCTTTGATATGCCAAATCTAACCTTGTATTTAGATTTTTAATTTTGGGTCCTGTTTTTTAAATTGGTCTACATTAAGGTCCAAAGGGTCCAAAATTAAACTTAGTTTGATTTTAACAAAAATTGAATTCTTAGGGTTCTTTGATATGCTGAATCTAAACATGTGTTTAGATTTTTGATTATGGGCCAAGTTTTCAAGCTGGTCCAAGTTGGGGTCCAAAATTAAACTTTGTTTGATTTCAACAAAAATTGAATATATGGGGTTCTTTGATATGCTGAATCTAAACATGTATTTAGATTTTAGATTTTTGGCCCAGTTTTCAAGTTGGTCGAAATTGGGGTCCAAAATTCAACTTTGTTTGATTTCAACAAAAATTGAATATATGGGGTTCTTTGATATGCTGAATCTAATCATGTATTTAGATTTTTTATTTGTGGGCCCGCTATCATATTGGTTCATATTGAGGTCAAAAGGGTCCAAAATTAAACTTTGTTTGATTTCATCAAAAATTGAATTATTGGGGTTCTTTGATATGCCAAATCTAACCGTGTTTTTAGATTTTTAATTTTGGGTCCTGTTTTTTATATTGGTCTACATTAAGGTCCAAAGGGTCCAAAATAAAACTTAGTTTGATTTTAACAAAAATTGAATTCTTAGGGTTCTTTGATATGCTGAGTCTAAACATGTGTTTAGATTTTTGATTATGGGCCTAGTTTTCAAGTTTAGGTCCAAAATTAAACTTTTTTTGATTTCAACAAAAATTGAATATATGGGGTTCTTTGATATGCTGAATCCTTCCATGTATTTAGATTTTTTATTTGTGGGCCCCGCTATCAAATTGGTTTATATATAGGTCAAAAGGGTCCAAAATTAAACTTTGTTTGATTTCATCAAAAATTGAATTATTGGGGATCTTTGATATTCCAAATCTAACTGTGTATTTAGATTTTTAATTTTGGGTCCCGTTTTTTAAATTGGTCTACATTAAGGTCCAAAGGGTCCAAAATTAAACTTAGTTTGATTTTAACAAAAATTGAATATATGGGGTTCTTTGATATGCTGAACCTAACCATGTATTTTGATTTTGGACATTGGACCATAATAGGTAAATTAAAAAAAATCAAGTTCTTAGACCACATTCTTTCTGTGTCAGAAACCTATGCTGTGTCAAATATTTAATCACAATCCAAATTCATAGCTGTATCAAGCTTGAATGTTGTGTCCATACTTGCCCCAACTGTTCAAGGTTCGACCTCTGCGGTCGTATCAAGCTGCGCCCAGCGAAGCATTTTATTAGTAATTGGTAAACTATATTTGGATCTATAGAATTAAAACCAGGGAAACTAATATCATAGAGATAAAAGTATGTACATGCAATATAATACATCACTGTCAGCTGTCCTTGTTTAGTGCATCAAATTTTTATGTCATACATAAAAAAATTTGCGGTCGTATATTGGTATGATGTTTGCGTCATCGTTGTAGTTGTCGTCGTCGTCGTCCTCCGAAGACACATTGGTTTTTGCACTCTAACTTTAGTTTAAGTGAATGGATCTCTATGAAATTTTACCAAAAGGTTCAATACCACAAAAGGAAGGTTGGGATTGATTTTGGGGGTTATGGTACCAACAGTTAAGGGATAAGGGGCCAAAAATAAGCATTTTTGTAACTTCCAGACATAACTTGTGTGTTAGTGTATGGATCTCTCTGACATTGTACCACAAGGTTCCATATCACACAGGGAATGCTGGGATTGATTTTGGGGGTAATTGCTTCAAAATATTAGGAATTAGGGGCCAAAAAAGGGGCAAAAAACAAGCATTTTTCTAGTTTCATGACAATAACTTGTGTGTAAGTGTATATGGATCTTTCTGAAATTGAACTACAAGGTTCTATATCACAAAGGGAAAGCTGGAATTTAGTTTGGGGGTAATTGCCCTAAAACGTTTAGGAAAAAGGGGCCAAAAAGGGGCCAAAAATAAGCATTTTTCTAGTTTCCAGACAATAACTTGTGTTCAAATTTATGGATCTCTCTGAAATTGTACAGCAAGGTACCATACCACAAAGGGAATGTTTGGATTGATTTTGGGGGTAATTGCCTCAAAATTTTAGGAATAAGGGGCCAAAAAAGGGGCAAAAAACAAGCATTTTTCTAGTTTCATGACAATAACTTGTGTGTAAGTCTATGGATCTTTCTGAAATTGTACTACAAGGTTCCATATCACATAGGGAAAGCTGGGATTGAGTTTGGGGGTGATGAATCATAAGGGGGATCAAAAAATTGGGGGGGGGGGGGGGTTTCTTTAAAATTTTCCATTTTAAATTGGTTATTTCTGATTTATATATAAAAACAAATAATAATGATATGGTTTGAAAAGGTAAATTAAAAATTCTTAAGTTCTTAGACCACATTCATTCTATGTCAGAAACCTGTGCTGTGTCAAATATTTAATCACAATCCAAATTCAGTGCTGTATCAAGCTTGAATGTTGTGTCCATACTTGCCCCAACTGTTCAGGGTTCGACCTCTGCGGTCGTATCAAGCTGCACCCAGCGGAGCATTTTATTTAATTATACATTTTTAATTGGTAGAAGTAACACAACAAATAAAATTTCCTGCTACTTCAACAAGAGCAAATGGCTAAACCTGAAATTAACCATCTTTAAAAGGACGAAGAGGATTGTTTTTCTTTACCCATGAATATTAATATTCAAATTTAAATGAATCCACAGTCAAATACAGCGAAACCTGTTTTAAGAGACCATTTAAGAGAGAGCAAAAAAGCTGTCTAATAAGACAGGTAGTCTTAATACAGGTTCAATCTATATGAAATGTACTACAGAGAGATTAAAATTAATGTTCTTAATTAATAAACAGATTTCTGCTTAATATGGTGGTCTCTTAAGCAGGTTTGACTGTATATTGTTTGTGTAGATAAAGAAAGTTTCATTAATTAATTTACTGAATTTGTTTTGTAGGTAAAAGTTTTTATATTCCCAGAAGGTACAAGAAATCATGAAGGAGCCATGCTTCCTTTTAAGAAAGGAGCTTTTCATTTATCTGTGAATGCACAGGTAAGAAATTTGTATGAATGAGAGGGAAAAAAGTAAGTACCGGTAAGAGCATGCTTTATGAAACAAACAAAAAGTTAGATATCCATTCAGACCACTAATACAATGAGGGACTTGGTCACCAAGTAGTCTCATTATTTCATCTGTAGTAATCACTAGCCTGTTCACTCTGAAGTTTGAGTTCGAACACTTCTCATGGCACAGTGCATTCAACTCTGATCATAATTGACAAGGATAACCAGCTTTCCTGCAGAACGTTGTTGGCTCTCTTGAGGATCCTCAACCAATAAAAACTGACCGCCATGATATAGCTAAGGATACTGAAAGTGGAGTTAATCACCAGAAAACAAACAAACACAACTACAACATTTTCTTATATTCATGTGCAACTATTGTTCTACTTTTAATTCCAATGTTTGATTTGATGAAAAAATTGTATCAAAATAAAATTTCTCAGGAACTATTCTCAACAACACAAATAATGCACCAGTTTTAACAATATAAAATTGTTTCATAATTTCTTGTTTCTGCTTAAAATTTGTAAAACTCTAGTATATTTTAAGTATTACCTTTTGATCAATCCATGAGTGAACAGTTTTTTTTAGTGTTGACAATTGGATACCTGAAAAAAGTCAAATTTCAAAAGTCTGATATCTGTCAATTTCAAATTGGTCATGAGAAAAAAATTGGATTAAGAAAAATAACATCAGTCAGTTACCTTGCTTTCAGGTGAAAAGTTACAGGCAACTTCAGTTTTTATACGACTGCAAAAAAATATTGTGGTCGTATATTGGTATGACGTTGGCGTCGTCGTCGTCATCCGGCCTCGTCGTCGTCGTCGTCCAGCGTCGTCGTCCGAAGACACATTGGTTTTCGCACTCTAACTTTAGTTTAAGTGAATGGATCTTTTTGAAATTTGACCATAAGGTTAAATACCACAAAAGGAAGGTTGGGATTGATTTTGGGGGTTATGGTACCAACAGTTAAGGAATTAGGGGCCAAAAATAAGCATTTTCTAGTTTCCAGACAATAACTGTGGAACGGTGTATGGATCTCTCTGAAATTATACTACAAGTTTCCATACCACCAAGGATGGTTAGGATTTGCTTTGGGGGGTTATGGCTCAAACCGTTTAGGAATTAGGGGCAAAAAAGTGGGAAAAACAAGGTTGTCCTGGTTAATGGACAAATACTTTAGTACAAAACATAATTTAAAGCAGTGTAAGGGAGATAAATCAAATACATCATTGAAATTATCTCCCTTACACTGCTTTTAAATTATGTATAAAGTAATGGTTAATGAACAATAAAGATAATTTAAAACAGTGTAAGGGAGGTAATCCAAATACAACGTTTTGGTTACTTCCCTTACACTGCTTTTAAATTATGTTTAAAGAAATGCATATTTATAAAGGAAGACCAGTAAAAATATCTGCAAATGTTGCATCTTTTTTTTTTACAAAAAAATCCTTATGAAAGATTTGACACTATATTTTTAATTCGATTATAAAATAGATTAAGTTAGCACTATGGTAAATTTAAATGGGTAATTATGGTTGCCAACTCCATTGGAAATTTGAATTGAGATTATGGCCATATCTTGAGGGAAAGAATTTTTTGGGGGAAAAAAAAGGGGGGGGGGATAAAAAGAATTTGTGGGGGGTCAATTTTTTTCTCATTTCAGATTTCAGAAATTAAAAAGAATTAATCTTCAAATATTATTTTTTTTTCAAATTTCAAATATTGAAAAATTTCAAGAAGTAATCTTTAATTGCACAGTATGGCGCATTAGATTTGTAAAATCTTTGATCACATTTATTTATTTGTTATGCCGAATCTAACAGTGTATTTAGATTTTTTAATTTTGGGTCCAGTTTTCAAATTGGTCTACATTAAGGTCCAAAGGGTCCAAAATTAAACTTTGTTTGATTTTAGCAAAAATTGAATATATGAGGTTCTTTGATATGCTGAATCTAAACGTGTATTTAGATTTTTGATTTTTGGCCCAGTTTTCAAGTTGGTCCAAATTGGGGTCCAAAATTAAACTTTGTTTGATTTCAACAAAAATTGAATATATGGGGTTCTTTGATATGCTGAATCTAACCATGTATTTAGATTTTTTATTTGTGGACCCTGTTATCATATTGAGGTCAAAAGGGTCCAAAATTTAACTTTGTTTGATTTCATCTAAAATTGAATTATTGGGGTTCTTTGATATTCCAAATCTAACCGTGTATTTAGATTTTTAATTTTGGGTCCTGTTTTTTAAATTGGTCTACATTAAGGTCCAAAGGGTCCAAAATTAAACTTAGTTTGATTTTAACAAAAATTGAATTCTTGGGGTTCTTTGATATGCTGAATCTAAACATGTGTTTAGATTTTTGATTATGGGCCCAGTTTTCAAGTTGGTCCAAGATAGGGTCCAGTATTTAAACTTTGTTTGATTTCAACAAAAAATGAATATATGGGGTTCTTTGATATGCTGAATCTAAACATGTATTTAGATTTTTGATTATGGGCCCAGTTTTCAAGTTGGTCCAAATTGGGGTCCAAAATTAAACTTTGTTTGATTTCAACAAAAATTGAATATATGAGGTTCTTTGATATGCTGAATCTAACCATGTATTTAGATTTTTTATTTGTGGACCCCGCTATCAAATTTGGATCATATTGAGGTCAAAAGGGTCCAAAATTAAACTTTGTTTGATTTCATCAAAAATTGAATTATTGGGGTTCTTTGATATGCCAAATCTAACCGTGTTTTTAGATTTTTAATTTGGGTCCCGTTTTTTATATTGGTCTTCATTGAGGTCCAAAGGGTCCAGAATTAAACTTAGTTTGATTTTAACAAAAATTGAATTCTTGGGGTTCTTTGATATGCTGAATCTAAACATGTGTTTAGATTTTTGATTATGGGCCCAGTTTTCAAGTTGGTCCAAGTTGGGGTCCAAAATTAAACTTTTTTTGATTTCAACAAAAATTGAATATATGGGGTTCTTTGATATGCTGAATCTAACCGTGAATTTAGATTTTTTATTTGTGGGCCCCGCTATCAAATTGGTTCATATTGAGGTCAAAAGGGTCCAAAATTAAACTTTGTTTGATTTCATCAAAAATTGAATTATTGGGGTTCTTTGATATTCCAAATCTAACCGTGTATTTAGATTTTTAATTTTAAGTCCCGTTTTTTAAATTGGTCTACATTAAGGTCCAAAGGGTCCAAAATTAAACTTAGTTTGATTTTAGCAAAAATTGAATTCTTGGGGTTCTTTGATATGCTGAATCTAAACATGTGTTTAGATTTTTGATTATGGGCCCAGTTTTCAAGTTTGTCCAAGTTGGGGTCCAAAATTAAACTTTGTTTGATTTCAACAAAAATTGAATATATGGGGTTCTTTGATATGCTGAATCTAACCATGTATTTTGATTTTGGACATTGGACCATAATAGGTAAATTAAAAAAAATCAAGTTCTTAGACCACATTCTTTCTGTGTCAGAAACCTATGCTGTGTCAAATATTTAATAACAATCCAAATTCAGAGCTGTATCAAGCTTGAATGTTGTGTCCATACTTGCCCCAACTGTTCAGGGTTCGACCTCTGCGGTCGTATCAAGCTGCGCCCCAGCGAAGCATTTTATTACATTTGGGAACAATTTTAATTTTTAGGTTGAAAATATGAGTTTTTTTTAGTAGTTACAACTGAAAATTTAGAATAATGAATTTGAAGTTTTTGTTCAATAGGTCCCTATAGTACCAGTAGTCATATCATCATATACAGATTTCTACAGCAAAAGAGAAAAGAAATTTGGAACAGGTTTGAAATTTGTCATATTATTATTTGTGAGAAAAAAATGCTTGTTTGATTTGAAAAGATCAAAGAAGAATAAATGTTTAAAAGCTTCTTCAAATACATGTACAAACAGACAAACAAAGGAGATAAAGCAATAGAAATCAAATGTAGTCCAGGCAGTAAAAGCAAGTCCATTAGCAGGGTTGCTGTATTCTTAATGTCTAGTGGCAAATATTTCATTCATATTCAGGGCCACAACAAATTAACAATAAATCCAATAGGTAAGTTTTGTTAAATTGGTTGACCAGGTTAAAGGGCTGGAAATTTGGAACCCCAAAGGAAGAAAGGATATGTTTGATAAGGGTAGAAGTTTTGCCCTGCAATTGGCTACCTGTGGACCTCTCAAGAAGTTGCGACAGTTTTTCTTTAGGGAGCAGAGAGCCAAACACACTATAGAAGCATTAGATTTAGGGTTCCCATTTTAACAAGATATGGCTGCATATTTATATATCTCACACAGCTAAAGGGGAGTCCTACCCATGTTGACTTTTACTGCAGGATGGGAGAAGTCCAGGTGACCACATTTTTATACTCTAGTCAACTTTTGGGTCTAAGTAAACAAACTGAAAAGAAGACCAAACTAAAATTATGTTACATCATTCCAACAGTTGTTGATAGGTCATCAACATTTGACAGCCCACAACAAACAGCAAGCTCTAGTCTAAATCAAATTCATTTGATCCCAGGTTCTAACTTAGGTGAGTCCATGTGTCCTGGACTCATGAATATCTCTCTAGACTCATCATTTTCAAAACTGGTGAATCCAAAGATGCATTAAAATTATAAAATGTGGTATCAACTGAGCACATATATCAGCATTTTATAACAAAAGTTGAAAAATAATCTAAATTTTTGGTCTCATTTACATATACATGTGATACCCCCACATCTCTTATTATTTATATGGACAAATTAGTTATCATGAAAATATATATTTGCAGGTAAATTCATTGTCACATGCCTGCCAAAGTTATCAACAAAAGGCCTAACAGATGAAGACGTCCCAAAACTCTCTGACTACATCAGGAAACAAATGTTAGACTGTTTTAATCAGACTTCATTAGAAACAACACAGTCAAAACTTGCCAATCATTAATTGTTATGGAAACAAATAAAAAATCCTGCATCGAAAGTATACTGTAACTTTTGAAAAGTGCTTAAATTTTTGTTATGTATGAACTTTTTTGTTATACAATGTCACAGGAGTGACGACCATATGGAGTTTACAATTAGGCAGTTAAGTTTTTCAAGCATTATACTTTATGGTGGAACTCTTATATTTATTGTTTTTTTTAAATTTACCCTAACACAGTTGTGGGGACTATTACAGTTTGCCTAGCATCTTCGTGCAATTTTTTAATTATTATATTAGGTTCATGAACCCAAATTTTGGAATGAGACAAACTATGTATTTGAAGATTATCTATGATTTTTGTCCTTTTTTTCAAAGCAATGGCTCATATTTATGATATTACTTTAGGGTAATTTTCTTTGCCATTTTTGTATTCCTTTAAGGTTTATAAATGATAGATTAATTTCTTTGAGTTTTATTTTTGCATTGTATAGAATTAATCCAAGCTGAACTGAAAACTGGGTGCGCAGATAATGGGAGATTAACTTAGAACAGTGTGATGCTAATTTATAAAGATAGCAAATAGAAAAGTCAGTACATTGTATTACCAAATGTATTGTTTTCTTTAAAGCATGCTTCCTCGCTGCATTGGAGACCCATTGGTGGCCTTCGGCTGTTGTCTGCTCTATGGTCGAGTTGTTGTCTCTCTGACACATTCCCCATTTCCATTCTCAATTTTATTCAATATACATTTGGCATTTACAGTCATATTTTATTTTGAAATGCTTTCACTAGCTGTTTTCATTGCCTGAAAAATTAAATTTGATTCAATTTTATTGTTAAATTGTATGAATGCAAAATGTTTAAAGTGAAGTTAAATTCTTTCAATTGTAGAGGTTAAAGTTTTTCGTCTGTAAAAAAATATTAACTGAAGCAAAAATTTCTATTTCAGCCGTCTTTGCAATTCATCTTTATAATTTTGAGGTAGTACTTAAAAATCAAGGCTGGTGCTAAAAACTTCATCAAACATTGGAGGGGGAAATCTAGGGTGATGTTTTGATGAGAAATATAAGGGTGGAAGACCTCCACTGTTGAATGTATATCATAGTGATCCCTGCATTAAGGTCTTGAAAAGATTTTTTTTTTAATGTGTTAAATGCTTTTATATATACAGAAAGACTTTTTTTTGTTAGCTTATAGTGTTAAACCTATATAAACTGTTATTTGTTTTAAATTCATACATACATGTTTTTGTTATCTCTACAGTTACTTCTTTGTGCGAAACCTCTTACTTTTCAATTGCAACCCCTTAAATTTGTTCATACAGTTTTAGAGGTATATAAAAAATTATAGGTGTTGAAATATGAATCGCTGTGGTAAACCTTAGGTAATCTTTACATTCCAGGTGCTCGCGTTGACCATAGCAAAAACATTTTAAACGGTTTACTGTTCCTTGATATCTCATGTCATTTTTAAATCTAGAGGTACTGTGAACAAAATTTACAAAACTATGCCCCCACCCCTTTTTCAAAGTCCATAATTTGCTATGGGAAACTCCAAAAAAAATTTGAAAAAATAAAAATGCACGATGGCAATATTTTGTCAAAATTTTGATAAAGTTTTATAAAAATTCTTATTAGGGATTTTGGAAAAGAAGGGTATACAAATGCTAAATTTTAGTGTGTGGATATGACAAGTCCATGTCATGCCAAAGTAAATCCTCATGCATTGACCCAGGGTTTGATGTTAAGGAGGGGGTCACCCCATCTGAATCCATGCCTGACCCTTAAATGACTGGAGAGAAATGAAGTAAGAGGCGCAAAAGCAATTGAGTAAGATTCTGTGAAAGTTTCACAAAATTCTGTCAAGCAGTTTAGTTGGACAGAACATCAAACAAACAGACACCCTATCAATATAGACCACCTTATTCCAAAAGATAAGGATATAATAAAGAATGTTTATTTTTCTCATAAAACTTATATGATTGAAAATATTTGCATAATGACATACATGTATGTCTGAAATTTGTGTAACATATATCTTTACATGTTAAAACATATTGGTGCTCAAATATTGACTGTATTTCATTGGTGTCAACTTTTCAAACCCTTCAAACTTAGACATCTCCCTCTGAAGAAATTTTCAAAAGAGCCATTTGCCGTTGAATTGCTCTACATAGTTGATTTTATTACCATCAGCATTAGAGTAAAATCCATTTATTCATGAATCAATAAGCTAAAACAACCTGTCAGGTAACTAAAAATGCCATGACAAAAAATGACAATAATTTGTTTAAAAATGACAATAATTTGTTTAATTTGTAAAAAGTTTAACCAGAAAAAAATGAACTTATTAAATTATACAGGTATGTGTGTGAGAAATACAGAGAAGTGGAAATTTTTTTCTTAAAAGTAGGGGCTTTTATCTATCTGTCAGAAGACTTGCATTCAGAAGGAGAGTGTTGTGAGGTTCCAGCTGATATCTTGGTCGTTGAGACCATTTGCATAATATTAAATATTTTCATAATTGATAGTTCCATGAAATACAAAATAAAATTAGTAATGCAAAGAAGAAGGTATGGTCTTATTTTTCAATAAATCTTCTTCTGAACCTGTCAATTCAGAAATATTTGCAATGTTTTATTAACACATTGAATAAATACATTTTAGACGACTTTTGATGACAATCTGCATGAATTAATTCACAATTTATTTTCAGAATTCATATAATTTTTTAGATATAAATATATGTTGTGAACTAGGAAAAATTGTGTCATTAATATATTTTGAAAACAAAACTTAAAATACCAGTAGACTATTAATTTCGACAACATGTTTTCTTTTTTCAGACAAGAAGTTCTAATAATGTTGCTTGTTGCCACAGATCTTTTACCACATACTTTTGTAGTGTCAACTGTTTAATGGCAAATTTTAGTGCCTTATATAGACTTGAATGTCATTTTTGTAGATAGAATTTTTACAGCATTTTGTATTTTTTGTCATACACATGAAACAGATAACCAGAATCAATGTTAAAATCAATCAATATTGCTCAAGTGATTATAAGATATTGAAAACCAGCTAATTTTTGCTAGCAAGTTATTTACATGTCTTTCAAAAGTTGAAAATAATGCAAATATAAATTGTTGTGAATTCTTCATGTAAGTATATCAATTACATTTAAAGAATGGTAGAATTATAACACACAAAGTTGGCTGGAAAGGGCTAAAAGCTAAAACGTATCCACAAAAATAAGATGGTTTATATCAGTTCTTTTCTGTCCTGTTCTGTACAGGTATGTACCTCCATTTTCTTCGGAGCACTCCACTTATCCGATGAGCAATTATTATTTACTTATCGAAAAAAATATCAGTTCTTTTCATTGACATGCAGTAGTTGTTGCACTAGGATATGCATTATTGTAATTATTTATGCAATCTACATGTATATAGTGTAAAAAAAATACACAGAAGTTTGATTTTTTATCAAATTTATTTTATTTCACTGTTCAATTTTGGATATTTTTAGGTAAACCTTCAGATAGAATCATGTTGATAGAAGAGATACAATATGTTTGATCCATATTATTTCCATTACCAGAAGTATTCTTTTACTATAATCTGATTTCTCACGTCATATAAACGTTTTATGGGCTAACTGGATCCCGGCATCTTTGAACTGATAAAGTAATTGTGACTGCTTGACATTTTTCAAATACACGTCTTTATTCTTATGTAAATAATTCAACCCAACCAGTAAAAGAAATATATTGATATTGTCATTTTAAAAACAGTTATCAAAGCAGTCATAAGGAAATTATCCCCATCAGAATATCCATCCCTTAGCTCAACGTACTGACGTAGATTTTATGCCCAACAACTGCACAAATGATGTCAAATAAGGTCACCTAAAACCAAACACTATGACGGAAAGATAACGATTGAAATCAAGCGTATTATTCTAACCCAATTTTCTTCCTTGGAAAAATTCAGAAGTTACAGCTTTCTGTTTGGTCATGATAATTTTAGTCTCTTATAATTTAATTTTGGATGTAACACGTCTTCTGATTGGCTGAAAGTGTTTTGTCTATCAGCTCATAGACATAATTTTGTCATGTGACCGTGACGTCACCGACGTTTTTTTCAAAATCTACTCCTTAAAAATGGAATTTAGAATTAAATAATAAGGAATGACTAATATTTTTTCTGCCTATTCGAAATAACCTAAAAAATGTGGTGCACACTTTTAAATAACCCGCTACGCGGGTTATTCAGAGTGCACCACATTTTTAATGTTATTTCGTCATAGACAGAAAAAATATTACAGTCATTCCTTAATTAAAATACACATATTATTTATATTCTTCTTTTAGAAACTGTTGATCCATACCTTTTAAAATTGTCAGCAAGATTTGTCCTCTACTTCTATCCTATATTTATATTGAATATAGAATGAAATTTCATTTTATAATGTTTATATATTATCTCGATCCTGGAACAAACTATGTCTCACTCTACTGCAATACATTTGAATTTGCTTAAATTTTCAAAGTTTATTAACTCCCTTTGATCTGCCTTAAATAGGCCAAGTATTATTCAATCATACTCATGTTTTAAATGTTTTCTTTTACTTTTTTCCTAGTAAGCTAAGGGTGAAGGGGTTTTATCTTTCTTTTATTTTCTATTTTTAGTTGTGCTACTGTTATTAAACAATAGTGCTAAATTGGTGCTCATTTTATAACATGTGACAATTCTGATAATGATCACGAGCAGATCCAGGGTTAAAGGAAATGGGGGGCATTTTTTTTTATCAAAGGGGATAATTATGTATGCCAACTTCGCCCCTACTGGAATCCGCCACTGATGATGTTTAAGTTACATTGTAATGTTTGATTAGAATCCATAACTAATTGTTGTCGCAGCAATAGAAAATACTTTTGAATAAGGAGGGCAAGCAATTTATTTAGTGAAGAAGGAAGGTGCAATTGAAATGTGATATACCAAGTATTAGGAAACTTTTAATTCATAGTTTAAATAACAAATATTGAAAAAAAAGGCTACAAAATAAGTCTTGCCCTCTGTGCTCCCTTAACTTTAAGAGTTGAAGAGGGGGAAAGTTTTATTCTAAATGGTGTTTACAGATAAACATTAATTATTTTGAAAACCAAAGCAAATTACAAAATGGAAACTTACGCAAAAAAAATTGTTTCCTATTAATGTTTTTATTATGGACAGGTTGATGGGTCAGGATAGTTTTTCTAAAAAAAAGCTTTATTCAAACTTATATTGGAAGATATTTCGATTTTATTTAAGCTTATCAAACATTTGGAGAGTGAACACATAATTTTAATTTAGCTTATGATGATTTTTTTGATTTAACAAATTTGTCAGCTGTCAACTTTATTGCGTAGGTGAAGAAATTCTCATCTACAAGCAAATGTTTAGGTGCTAGAATTCATGTGCAAATGTGTGTGCTGCTATTGAAAATTGTGCAATGTAAAAGATAGCATTGCTATATTGTGAAAAATAAAAAAATTTAAACAGAATGCAATATACATGTATTTATTTACTGGCTAAATACTTCTGAAAATAAGAATGTCCAAAGGAGCTAGTTCTATCAAACAAAGATTTTCGTATTAAGAAATAAGGTAGATGTGATTTGTAAAGGTATGGTAGTTGGTCAAGTTTATAAGAAAGTTATTGCCCTTGATTGAACTTAAAAATATTTAGCACAAAAACATGTTAATTATTTTTTATCTTCAAGTCATCACTAAAGATATTCTTGAGATGGATAGAATCTTATTTATGATGGAGGTTTTTTTCCCCCGAAACAAAGTAAAATGCATACACACTCAAAAATCAATTTAAAGAATATGTATACACTGTAGGTTATTATAAATATTTTCAATAGAAATGGGGTTCAAAATGTAACAATTTTATACAGTTTTATTTAGAAGGAGGCAAATCACTTTTATGCAAATTAAAGAAGAAATTGAACTTAACTGTAAAAATTTATGACTTTTTTGAAGACATTATTTGGACCATTTTCTTTCATGGAATAAAAAAATATGCATGGTTGTTAAATGACTTTGTTACAAAAAAGTGTTGGAGCAGTTTATGATTTGTAACAATATCTAGTCAAATTATCTCTCCCTGAATTGAAAACATTTGTGCAAAAGCTCTCTCTCCTGGCAAGATCAGTTTTGTTGGTGAATGAATAAATCATTAAATCATTAAACACATAGCTATCTATGTGCTGCTTTTTATCTAGACAATAAGAGCAAAGTCTGATGAGAGTTAGAATAATGTTTGTTTCAGTAAGTTGGCATTTCTTCCTGCAGACTGTTACCTGGTAACTAGCACATTTAAAATTCAGGTCGGTATGTTAATCCAAGTACACAGTAGAGTTTTTATTCATGTCACATTAACAAGTTTTTGTCATAAATAGTCATCTGTATTGGGACACATTCAATTGAAATGAATGGATTTGGTGTATCAATACATGTACTTGGCACGAAATCTCTACAGGCACATGAAAAAGCCAAAAGCAAAGGAACAACTGTTATTGCTCAAATTCACAGTGTGGTCTTCAACATTGAGCAAAAACTTGCACTGTTTAAATAAAGCCCCTAGTACTGGTTTGAGTGGAATTGTTTGCTAGCCTAGGTGTCGATCACACTTCATCTTTTCATTGAAGACCACAACTGTTCATATGATTGTGTGTTATTACTTAAATATTGTAAATATTTAACCCCGGAAATAAACATGAAAATCATGAAACTCTTAATATAAATCCTTTTGGTAATTTATACATGGGGAATAATAACACAGGCTCCACGGTTCCTTTACTGACGGAGCAGGGAGCCCTATCAGAAGAGCCTGTAACCCTCCAACAGTGCTCAAAGGAATCCGAACTACAATGCTGAGCCTGTGCAACACAATGCTGAGCCTGTAGCCCAAAAAAAAAAACTAGTAATAGAGCCCAAACACTAGAGTATGTGTTATCCCCTTAAATTACATGATAGTCCAAAAAAAGAGTTGTATGGTATCCAATAAAATTACATGATAGTCCAAAAAAAAAAGAGTTATATGGTATCCCCTAAAATTACATGATAGTCCAAAAAAAGAGTTACAAAAAACATATGGCAATCAAAAACCACGAGTGGAAGAAAAACAGACAACATGGATAAATAAAAGATGAAAAGACAAAACAAACAGTCCAGTGCTGATGTGTTCTGAAAGGGACAGCAACAGCAGTTCCTTCATTATTGACACCAGTCCTGTTACTCCTGAAGGTAGTGTATTGTAAGTTGTTTGTATTAGTTTGAGTATAACAGCATCAATTGCAAACAAAATTGGGCAATGTTCGTCGCCAGGCAATGATTCTGTGTGCATGCAGTTCAAAATTCTTATCCAGTAACAAATGAGACGTGATAGATAGGTGTCTCTTATAACGAGTATCATGGCCAGGATCATTGTTCAACAATTATATATTTTGATTGAGCTTGCTTTTAACAAATTGCTTCTTGTACAGCATTCAAACAAGTATAGCTGTTACTTTGATAATAAGATCCAGTGAGAATATCTAGTAATTATAGTTGATTACAATTCAAATCAGTATATAAAAAAGTTTTTACAAAACAAGTAATAAGTTTTGTAGATAGTAATGATCATGTATAAGGTAAGAGACCGAGCTCGGTAGTACTTCCATGGACCAAGGATTTGTATAGTGATACACTATACAAATCCTTGCATGAACAGAGTTTAAACATCTCAAAAGTAGGTTTGGAGACTGAGACATTTTAAAGGTCGTCAATTTCGCGATATAAACAGAAGTTCTTAAGTAAAAATAGAAAGCATACAGTGAAATCGACATATATAAGATAGTGTAGCCAGAGCCATATATACATATATGTCTCTGGCGTAGCATATAGTGCCAGTTCAGCTACATAAATGCAGTATAGTGTAGGTCAGATACTATGTTACTACACAAAGAGAAGAAGACAATAGGGACAAATCGTTGAATTTCGACTTTGGAAAAAACTATGTCAATTTCTAAAATAATAATATATTCTCGGTATGAAGCAGAGCTTCCCCTTCCCTTATATCCTTAATGTCAGGTTCGCTAGGATATATAAACTAGAGGCTCTAAAGAGCCTGTGTCGCTCACCTTGGTATATGTGCATATTAAACAAAGGACAAAGATGGATTCATGACAAAATTGTGTTTTGGTGATGGTGATGTGTTTGTAGATCTTACTTTACTGAACATTCTTGCTGCTTACAATTATCTCTATCTATAATGAACTTGGCCCAGTAGTTACAGTGGAAAATATTTTGTAAAAATTTACAAAAATTTACAAAATTTATGAAAAAATTGTAAAAAATTGACTATAAAGGGCAATAACTCCTTAAGGGGTCAATTGACAATTTTGGTCATGTTGACTTATTTGTAGATCTTACTTTGCTGTACATTATTGCTGTTTACAGTTTATCTCTATCTATAATAATATTCAAGATAATAACCAAAAGCTGCAAAATTTTCTTAAAATTACCAATTCAGGGGCAGCAACCCAACAACGTGTTGCCTGATTGGTCTGAAAATTTCAGGGCAGATGGATCTTGACCTGATAAACAATTTTACCCCATGTCAGATTTGTTCTAAATGCTTTGGTTTCAGAGATATGAGCCAAAAACTGCATTTTACCCTATGTATTATTTTTTAGCCATGTCGGCCATCTTGGTTCGCGGGCGGGGTCATCGGACACATTTTTAAAACTATATACCCTCATGATGATTGTGGACAAGTTCGGTTAAATTTGTCTTAGTAGTTTCAGAGGTGAAGATTTTTGTAAAAGATTACAAAAATTTACGAAAAATGGTTAAAAATTGATTATAAAGGGCAATAACTCCTTAAGGGGTCAACTGACCATTTTGGTCAAGTTGACTTAATTGTAGATCTTACTCTGCTGAACATTATTGCTGTTTACAGTTTATCTCTATCTATAATAATATTCAAGATAATAACCAAAAACGGCAAAATTTCCTTAAAATTACCAATTCAGGGGCAGCAACCCAACAACGGGTTGTCAGATTCATCTGAAAATTTCAGGGCAGATAGATCTTTACCTGATAAACAATTTTACTCCATGTCAGATTTGCTCTAAATGCTTTGGTTTCAAAGATATAAGCCAAAATCTACATTTTACCCCTATGTTCTATTTTTAGCCATGGCGGCCATCTTGGTTGGTTGACCGGATCACCGGACACATTTTTGTAAACTAGATACCCCAATGATGATTGTGACCAAGTTTGGTTAAATTTGACCCAGTAGTTTCAGAGGAGAAGATTTTTGTAAAAGTTAACAGACGACGCCGGACGACGACGACGACGACGACGACGGACGACGGACGACGGACGCAAAGTGATGAGAAAAGCTCACTTGGCCCTTCGGGCCAGGTGAGCTAAAAAATAAGGAGGTGTTGTATGATTGGCAATGAGGCAACAATCCACTATACAGACCCCTGCATAAAAACATGAGATAGGATAAGATATGATATTTTATTGGTTTCAAATCCAAAATGACAGGATTATTGTCAAAGACAATATACATGCATTTGGCTGTACATAAACAAACAAACACATATCTGTCCACATTTATCATTAAACATTGTATATTAAATTTGTATATCCCCTCCATTATTAAAAAAGAAAATATTGTTACTTTAATATACATATGAAAACATGTGACGAAATGTTAAACAGATATGTAAGCTAAACACAATATACTAAAAGTGATAATGACAAAAAGCCACTAGATTACAGGCTCCTGACGTGGGACCTGACTCGACTAGACACATACAGAAAGTGATAGGGTTAAACATGTTTGTGAGCGCTCAAGGTCCACACCAAATGTTTTACCAAGAAAAAAATAAAGAAGGATAAAAAAGAAACGGATCCGTGTATAATATTCCAAAGAAGAGTGAAGATGTTTCCAAACGTTTGACTACACTACCCTTTCTACAAGTATTCAGCATTATTAACTTAAAACATGAAGAGTAAAAGTATCAGTCTAACCTTGTTTCATAAAAATGACCAGCGTAAATATCTTTTTAAGGAACGGACAAATTATACTATGGAAACATATTGATTAAAAAAAGAGGTTAAAACTGTAAAAGAGACATGACGCATGATTTTGATTTTATTCTCAACATATGTATAAAGTTTGTTGGACGTGCTTTTCAATAAACAGTCGGTATCCCTGTGGGAACCAACTATACCTCCTCTTCTCGTTCATAAATTTCTTTATTAAAATTAGGCAGACTTCATTTAGTTTTACCCATGCATCTGAGGAAAAACAAATGTATTAGGTTACAAGACATAGATGATCTTAAATTTTAAAATTACCGAACCAGTACAAAATATTTTATCTGCCAATTATGTTTGTATTGATTATGACCTGTGTCAACTTTAATAACGAGAATTAAAATTTTAACCACCATAGTAGCGTTCAATTATTTTGATTCAATGCACAATAAAAATGCCATTATTCCATGATACAATCTGATGTGCATATAATAGAACTGCATGGTGCCAGTGTGGTTAATTAATAGCCACAAACCAGAACCCCTAGGGCTAAAAAGCCAAAATTTGAAGATAGATATAATAGTTGAAATTTATGGACTGTGTTTCTATTCATAATTTTATACGACTGCAAAACTGTTATCTTTCATGAATATGAATATCTATATAATTTATTTTTATCATGCTTAAAAATGACTGAAATGTTGAGCTGGGGTATAAAAATGTGGTCAACCGTACTTTCCACGTAATTAAACCCAGATTCGTTTCTGTCCGACTTTCAGTTCAACTCACGCTCTTTTCCCTGTGGCAGTCTGAAAAATTTCGCCTTTATTCGGTCGTCCCATTTTGCCTAATCTACAGTAATCATTGTTGACGAATAAGCTCCAAGTGTAGACCAGTGGGGTTAGACATATGGCAATCCGTGGACTTCTCACATTTGGCAGTAAAACCTAAGCTTAAGGGGGGTCCGTGTAACATAATTGAATATATCTCTATGATGCACTTAATAATATATAAATATTACAACGTCGTTTTCAGACGAACCAAGATGCCAGATGACCATTTATGGCCTTGATGATAAACAAACCAATTGTCCCTTGTTAATATTAATTAAGAAGCCATGAACGTGATGAAGATGTTTACCTTATAATTAGTATTTAGATCATTAATTGACATTCTATAAACTTATGATATAGATCATCAATACCTCACTGTGTGCCTGTACTACAGAACCTCTAGTATAAACATTACCGTTTATGTACCGCACTATATACTACTATGAGAAAATTGTAAGTTATCTTAGCTGTATTTGGCAAAACCATTCGGAATTTGGGATACTAGTATTCAAAGCTCTTCAAATTCGTACTTTATTTGCATGGCTCCTCTAACTTTCTTTATTCGAACGTCACTGATGAGTCTTATGTACGCGCGTCTTAGATTTTATCAGATTACTCTTATGTTCGCACTCTATGCACAAACTTTAGATCTAAAGATTCGTATTATTTTCATGTAGTTGTTTGATAAATCATCGGCAATCAATCAATCAACCAAACCTGTATAAAAATCGACATTTCGCAATTGTATTATCCTCCCAGTATATAATATAGTCAGTGATTCGCCATGGGACTGATATGATTTATAACGTATGTTTAGCAAAAATTTCGTTGATAAATTAAGAATTTATTAGGATCCAAGGGTCTAACTCTCTCAGGTAAAATTGAGCTTAGACGGGTTTGGCTATTCTATTGGTCATGTAGCATTTATACATCCCTGACTTACAAATTTTGGATTTGAAGGTAAATACAGATTCGTTCGAACTTTGACTATCAAAGAGTCGCTGTAACCCCTCCTTGGAAATTCCTGGCTATGGGCCTGAAAACAAACAAATTTCGATAAACGTGAGAGCAAATTGTCATTTTTCACATGTTCCGGTTGTTGATCCGACCATACTGACATTATCAAGGATTAATTTGAAGTATCATATGACTTTAAGTGTACATCTTAATATGGATATTTATTAAGAAACAGGCCTTCGTGTATACTTTAGGGACCAAACCCTTCATTGTACCCAATATAGATTGATTGATTTGCTTGTGTTTAACGCCCCTTTGAGCTCTATTTGAAATTTCGTCGCGGCCAGTTTTTATTGGTGGATGAAGCCGGAGTGTCCGGAAAGAAACACCAATCTTCTGCATGACAACTGGCAATCCTAGGCAATTAGGATCACAGTCGAACACACCCAGATGCGGATTTTAGTGGGCGGGGACCCCGGGCCCCCCTTATTGAGCCAAATTTATGGTTAATCAGACTTTTTACCTATACCACCCCAAATTTGGTCTATATATTTATAGTTTGGGGGCCCACGCCCCCCCCCCTTTCAGAATTCTGGATCCGTATCTGGCATCTGACACGTGCGGGGGTTCTAATTCACAATTAACCTCAGTGTTGACAGGCTATGGATGTTAAATTTGAACTACTTATACCACTCTGCCACCGAGCCCCCTCCATAATTATAGACTAAACAAAACTAATCCTATTCCTCACACAAGCACAAATCGAGGCCAACTATCCCTATTTTATCATTTATAGATCATACACTTTTCAGAGCTCAAATCATTTGGAAATTACATCTTTAGTAATGCATTAGAAGACCTTAAAATATGATAGAAATAACTCATGGTACGCAAATAAGAAATTGAAGGTTACTGTTCTTTGAATTTAGAACTGTTGCACTGCCAGTAGATATAAAAATAAGGAGATGAGGTATGATTGCCAATGAGACAACTATCCACAGAAGTTCAAATAAAGTGGATGTAAGCCGGCAATTATAGCAAAATTATAGACAAACGCACGGCCTTCAAAGATGAGACTGAAAACCCCATCATTCCGTATATAGTCGGTAAAAGGCCCCGACATGAAAAATATAAAACCTAACCGGAGCGGCCTAATCTATAACAATGCAATGAACGCAAAACAAATATGACAGACTTGAACCAACGACAACCACTGAACTACAGGCTCCTGACTGGGACTGACAGGCACATAACTTGAAGAATGTGGCGGGGTTAAACATGTTTGTGAGCGCTCAACCCTCCCCTTAACCTGGGACAGTGGTGTAACAGCACAACATAAGAATAAACTATAAAAAAATCAGTTGAAAAAGGCTTAACTCATCAGATCGATTCAAAGCAGAAAACATCAATTATGTTATGTGACTTATGTTGTAGTGTAGCTGGGACTATCACTGAGTATACTCTCGCCCAAGTTATACTACGACCAGAGACATATATACATAGAGATTGGCAACTTCAACCTAAGACTACTATAACATATATGTTACAGTAGTCTCAGCTTCAACATAGTCCCAGGTTGTAGACTCTGCCTATAATGGTTTACTTTTATAAATTGTAACTTTGATGGAGAGTTGTCTATTGGCACTCATACCACATCTTCCTATATCTATCTACTGGCAGTGCGTTTAAAAGTATCAAAAGTAGTCTCTGTCAGGTAGAGTAATACAATGTACGAATTTTGCATATACATAACTCAACCATATCAGCTGAGATTATTGTAACATCTCAGATATGATATCGGTAAAAGAAAGGTTTTTGAAAAGTTAGCAGTCAGTTCAAGAGGGGAAATAACTTTAAACCATTTGAATTGTGGGTAATGACATCACGCTCATTTACATATTCATAGTGTTCGCCATTTTGGTAGATCAATTTTGACGCTACCAAGTAATCAATCCACGCATTATCAACAACCATCCGTCAATTTAGGAAAATCCTAAAGGATTGTTTATCTCTTTAAAACATCACCCACTAGAACGGACCCGTGTAAGTAGCCCGAAAAAGCATGTTTGGTACATTTTCCGTTCAGATGCACTAAATGCATCTTTGTTGCCTCCATGATAATGAATCATTATTCACTTTCTACGATATGCACTCATGCAAACTTTGTTATAGACGCATACGCACAAAGTCCAAATATTCACAATGAAAAAAGTTATTAATGCATATTCAAAGCTTCACGAAATATTCATATTGATCATCCAACTTGGTCGTAATTTGTAATTGCGACTCTTGTGAAAACATGTCCGCCGATCGTCTTTTGTGTTTTCAGACGACCATTCTGCATACCAGACAGTGACATGAAATGTTTTAAATGTATATTTCATTGCTGTATCAATGCGTTCTTGGAGATTTTTTTTTGTAACCAGGGAAGAAAAGTTGTAGACCCGTCAATCAACGTTTTCATACAGACCCATTGTCTTGAAAGTGTTCAAATTTATTTTGGTGGCCTTTGCTTCGAAACACTGCTATAGCTTGACAGATCAAAAAATTCTTCCAAAAAGTTTGTTCAGACGACTTGTCAGATAAACAGAAGTCGATGACAATAAATGTCGGACATCAGACTTACCAAATTACTGTCCAGCCTTTGGCCAGATTTATTGTACTGACCAAAAATCAGTAAAATCCTTTGTGGCGTCACTGCCGTCGGACATTTTCTATTGTGACGTCAACATTTTTCGGGAACATTTGTGATGTCCAGTAATGGTGGACATAGCAATTGGGAGTATGATTCATTTGACCCAACAAAAATTTTGGGATGGGTGATCCTAGAGAATTATAGTTATCTCGTACCATTGTAAACTCGTACCAATGTCAACTCGTACCACTATAAAAAAACTCGTACCAATGCAAACTCGTACCAATGCTAACTCGTACCACGGTAAATTCATACCATTGTAAACTCGTACCAACTTATTTAAATGTATTCAAATGGTGTTTAATGATGAATATATAGTTTAATTTCACTCAATACCTCTTAAGTCTGTAAAATGTATATAATCTGAAATTACACTGACCAATTTATGCTAATTTTCCTTGTCTAATTGGATAGAGAAAACCGTGGCAGATTGGCTTTGTTGTCTCCCTTGAACAGACCCTTTTTTTTACTTTTACTGACAACTATTTGATTTAATTTTTAATCATTCCAAATAAGTAACATTGAATAGATTTGGGTATTTTTCTATTGTTTCTAAAAGGAATTTTATTTAATGAGAGAATTTATTTCTTGTGTTTTAAAGGTTTAAAATTGGTTAAGACCAACAGTTAGAAAGTATGAAATTTATTTTTATACAATATTCAGCTCATTGTTGCACAAAATCATGATTAAGACCATGCTTTAATTCATATAATCAAAAGGTCATTATAATTTTCCCGATTTATATACATGTATAACACCTGTAGCCGAAGATACACCTCGCTCCAGCAACAGAGGAAAATAACTGATATCTGAAAAGGCACCTGAGATCACCCTCAGTTTCAAGTGGGGTTCGTGTGGCTTTTAATTTCAAGCTGTTAAATTATATAACAACAATCAAAATTTAATAATATGATTAACAAGTTGACTAGTTAATAATAACCCAATAATCATACAATCAAAGGAATTTAATATATCAATTAGCATGGTAATTAAGGAATTACATTCGTATTTTTGTCTAAGTTTTCATTAAAATCTGGTATAAAATTCAAGTAATTCAACTTTTTTATTAAGATTACAAAAAAAAATCATAAAACATTCGTATTTTTGAATATATTTTTAATGGTACGAGTTTGCAGTGGTACGAGTTCTGAATGGTACGACTTCCCAGTGGTACGAGTTTACGTTGGTACGAGTTAACTTTTTTGGTACGAGTTTACATGGTACGAGTTTACAATGGTACGAGTTAACTTGCTTCCATCCTAGAACTGGTCCTGATTTATATACTTTATCCAGTATGAAGCGTATGTTCAGAATTTGGACCTGTAAGTTGTCAATTTTTGTGTACCCAACGGCTTAATTGTCTGACTCGTCAGTGGACAGCTCATTTCCTGAAGCCTGAATTGGCACGTCCTCCGTTGAAATAAAACACAAAATTGTGACTTTTTGCCAAAAAATAAATGTTTTTAAATCTCAAATGGAAGGGAAAAGATGTGTCAGATACTGTATTCAAAATTTATAGGGACTGAAAGCAAAAAACAATAAATTTCCAAGAGTCGCCCAGTGACTTCATATCACACTGACGGTCTGGAATACTTGCAATAGTCCTCAACATATAAAATAGTTGTAAGTTAATTGTGATTTGAAAGTATAGAATATAGCCGAAAAAATGTCCTGAGCAAGTCTGTCATTTGAAGGAGCGAAAAACTTGTGTACATTTGTAAAATTTTGGAATATAGGCAAATATAATTTTTATCGAAACATAATTAGAAAATCCAATCGAATGACTGAATAATGTTTCTCTTTGTTTTCAGATTACACGGTTCGTTCATAGGGTACGGTGACTGAAGATCTTCAATGAATTGTCAGGCAAAATGTCATCGTTCTCGGGGATAGGAGGAAAGAATGACAAGAGCAAGGGCAAGTTCACTACAATCAACATAAATCAATATTTTCAAGGGAAACCTACTGCACCAGCAAAAAATACAGGTAAAAACAGTAGTATGGTTTGTTTTGCATACACCTTGTTTAGTGTGTAACTTGATCCAGCTATTAAACGATTACAATAAGTTGTCTTGTCATTACAGCTTTTCCTAAATAGGCAATGTAGACAGATTTGGAGGTATTTCAAATTTATGTAAAATTTTGTTTAAGCTTATAGAAATTGCTGAATTCCGATTTTGTCGAGCCTTCGACTTTAGTCGAAAAAGCGAGACATAGCGATCCTACATTCCGTCGTCGGCGGCGTCCACAAATGTTCACTCTGTGGTTAAAGTTTTTGAAATTTTAATAACTTTCTTAAACTATCCTGGATTTCTACCAAACTTGGACAGAAGCTTGTTTATGATCATAAGATAGTATCCAGAAGTAAATTTTGTAAAAATAAAATTCCTGTTTTTCCGTATTTTACTTGTAAATGGACTTAGTTTTTCTGCCAGGAAACATTACATTCACTCTATGGTTAAAGTTTTTAAAATTTTAATAACTTTCTTAAACTATCCTGGATTTGTACCAAACTTGGACAGAAGCTTGTTTATGATCATAAGATAGTATCCAGAAGTAAATTTGTTAAAAATTTTTTTTCATTTTTTCTGTATTTTTCTTATAAATGGACTTAGTTTTTCTGCCAGGAAACAATACATTCACTCTGTGGTTAAAGTTTTTAAAATTTTAATAACTTTCTTAAACCATCCTGGATTTGTACCAAACTTGGACAGAAGCTTGTTTATCATCATAAGATAGTATCCAGAAGTAAATTTGTTAAAAAAAAAATTTCATTTTTTCTGTATTTTACTTATAAATGGACTTAGTTTTTCTGCCAGGAAACAATATTTTCACTCTGGTTAAAGTTTTTAAAATTTTAATAACTTTCTTAAACTATCCTGGATTTGTACCAAATTTGGACGGAAGTTTGTTTATGATCAAAAGCTAGTATCTAGAAGGAAATTTTGTTAAAATTTGTACCTGTTTATCCGTATTTTACTTATAAATGGACTTAGTTTTTCTTCCAGTTAACATTAAATACAGTCTGCAGTTAAAGTTTTTAAAACATTTATTAGATTCATAAACTATCCTGGATTTATACCAAACTTTGACAGAAGCTTCTTACAATCAAAAGATAGTATCTAAAGGAATATTTTTATTGATTTTTTTTCCTCATTATTGTTGAGCCTGCGATTAACAGCAAAAGTAGGCGAGACACTGGGTTCCGCGGAACCCTTGCGAAATTTTGAAGAAAAAAATGATGCATGTTGCAATTAAACATCTAGAGAGACAATGAAAAAATTGTGAAATAGATTTAAACACATATTATTGAAATATCTTTTCCTTGCAGTACCACGACAGCATGGGTTACAAAGCTTGGGAAAAGTGGGTAATGTGCGGCGTATGCCGCCTCCGGCTAATTTACCAAGTTTGAAGAGTGAGAATCTAGGAAACGATCCAAACGTTAATTTAGTACCAACTGGAGGATCAGGTAAGTAAATCTATAATAATAAACCTTTTACAAATATCCCAAAATTTCTTTTCCTTTATTCTACATTCTGATATATTTACTTCATTACAAAACATTTTTGTATACTTTCAAAAGTCATGTAAAATCCTACTCAGAAATCTGTATTTACAATGTATCTGAATTATCTATAATCCACTCACCCATTTTTTGCCACAAGAAATCGGGTAACTTTTTCTTCACGTGAAACTTGTGTAAGTTTCTTATCCTTCGTGATAGTTAGGGGTAATTCATTGAACAAATCTGCTTTCATTTAGCAATAAGAAGTTAAATGTGTTAATAATTGATTCTAAAACTCTTCACAAGTGGTAAAAAGAGCCAAGATCACCAAAAAAAATCTAAAATTGTGTTCGTCATCGTCTTGGAAATTGTTGAGGATGTGTAAACTGTAGACAATTTTTGTTGGATCGTGCAAAATTATGTATTTACATGTTACAGATATTAGAAATGAATAAGACTTTGAAAGTAATAATGCTGTTATTAAGTTTAAATTGTTAGATTATTCAACCTTTAATATATGGAGTACTTTTAGCTAAATGAAAACATCAGAAACTCTCTGAAACGCATTATTGGAATGAATAAACCATTGCATTTCAGATTATAAATTGTTATGCAATGCTACGTGATGTAAGAATAAATTGTCATGATGCATTATTGTAATTTGATATATAATTTTTATTTTAATTTATTAAAATTGCAATTGGAGAAATGATTAAAGAATGTGAAAATGAGAACACCCTCTTCTTTGAAACATAAACAAGCAAAGTGCAATGACTTTTATATTTTTCTAGTAGTATTGTAGAATCAACCTCTGCCTGGCTATTTGAATTTGTAGTAAAAATAAACGTGGATTTTACATACCATTATTTGGTAATCTTGCTATAGTAAAAAAAGTCTTCTACATACATTTGTTCTACATAGTCATGAATAAAAATATAATTTGCTTACAGGATGGGGCAACAAGGAAGAGGAGAAGAAGACACCAACAACAACAACTACAACCACCACCACCACCAATCAGCAGCAACAGCAGCCGCAGCAGCCGGTTACAACAGCACCATCGGGGCAAACTGTCAAGGTAAAGTATTGATTGTAAGGAATAAATGGGACTTGGAATCACCATCAAGGAAGTGTTAGATTATAAGGAGACTGGATAAGGGAAACTGGAAACTTCTACCACAACTAATCCAGTGATTTTCGGATAGCACCAGGATAACACATGCTCTTGGTAAAGCGATTTGTATAATGTGTCGTGTCGCTTACCTATATTTCTAGTTACTGTTGTTTTTATGTCTTTTGTTTTGTTTTAATACTGTGGTACTGGGTTATGTAGACATTGAGTCAGAAAATTATTGGTAAAAGAGAAGTAAATCAATAAACAGTTGAATATCTTTTTAAAATAAATAAAACATGATTCATTACTAAATAATTATAGTAATGAAATCTTTTATAAAATCAATGATCAATTATAAGAGTTCAATTTAAAAAAATTTCTAGTTTCTAGATAGAAAATTGTTGTATAAAAAAGGATTCCTGTCTTAAGGAGACATAGAATTTACAAGAACTAATATTGTTTTATTTGAACCAGTTTCTATCTTAAATTCTAATAAAAAAAAAATTCATAAACTTTTTAACATTTTGCCATAAATATAAATTTCATGTAAATATTTAGCTTTTTATGCCCACGCTGTAGTGGTGTGGGCATTACGTTTTACCCTTGTCTGTCTGTACGTACGTCCCAAAATTGGTTTCCCTTCTCTAACTTGAGTTTGCCTCAACCAAATGTTATGAAACTTATACACAATGTTTATTACCACAAAACACAGATCAAGTTTGAATTTTGGTGGCGTCTCTTTAACCGTTCTAGAGTTATGCCCCTTTATAAATGGAGAAATTGCAAAAATTTTTGTTTCCGTTCTCTAACTTAAGTTTGCCTCGACCAAATGTTTTTATACAACCGCAAAATTTTTGCGGTCGTATATTGGTATGACGTTGGCGTCGTCGTCGTCCGAAGACACATTGGTTTTCGCACTCGAACTTTAGTTTAAGTGAATGGATCTCAATGAAATTTTACCATAAGGTTCAATACCACTAAAGGAAGGTTGGGATTGATTTTGGGGGTTATGGTACCAACAGTTAAGGAATTAGGGGCCAAAAATAAGCATTTTTGTAACTTCCAGACATAACTTGTGTGTTAGTGTATGGATCTCTCTGACATTGTACCACAAGGTTCCATATCACAGGGAATGCTGGGATTGATTTTGGGGGTAATTGCCTCAAAATATTAGGAATTAGGGGCCAAAAAAGGGGCAAAAAACAAGCATTTTTCTAGTTTCATGACAATAACTTGTGTGTAAGTGTATGGATCTTTCTGAAATTGTACTACAAGGTTCCATATCTTTCTATCCTATTAGGTCCAAGGACACAGTTATCGTCCTTTGGTTTTCGTTGTCTACGAATATAGTCCCTAGTGTGAACAGTGTATAACTTGCATTTTTTTTTATACACTTTCCCAATTTATTACTTGATATTTTATGCATGAAATATTAAGTAAGGGGATGAAATTACATGTTAAAAAAATTTGGGTGCTGAATCTTTATGTTAAGTAGTGATTTGGTCCAGTTAAAAAAGGTCAAAAATTAGAATGTCTGAAGCTGTCAAACTGAATTTTAGCCCCCCTTAACACAGAATTGTCAATATTTTGAGTTAGAGCTGGTACAAGTTTCTATAATTTTGATATTATTTGTATCAATAGTAGTACACTACACAGTAAAAATCTTTTCGAGATAGAGCAGGTGCGATTTTTTTAATTTGAATTTACTGTCTAAAAGAAATGCACTACGAAATAACTGTGTTCTCGGGCCAGTATTGTGCAAAAGAAGATACTTCATATAAATTGCTTATTTCTTGACCAATTTCAATGGGGTTTTATTCTTGAATTCTTGGGGTTCTTTAATATGCTGATTCTAACCGTGTATTAAGTTTTTGGATTTTGGGCCCCGTTTTTAAATTGGTCCACATTGAGGTCCAAAGGGTCCAAAATTAAACTTTGTTTGATTTCATCAAAAATTGAATTATTGGGGTTCTTTGATATGCCGAATCTAACCGTGTATTTAGATTCTTAATTTTTGGTTCCGTTTTCAAATTGGTCTACATTAAGGTCCAAAGGGTCCAAAATTAAACTTAGTTTGATTTTAACAAAAATTGAATTCTTAGGGTTCTTTGATATGCTGAATCTAAACATGTATTTAGATTTTTATACGACCGCAAAAAAATTTTGTGGTCGTATATTGGTATGACGTTGGCGTCGTCGTCGTCGTCGTCGTCGTCGTCGTCCGGCGTCGTCGTCGTCGTCGTCGTCCGGCGTCGTCGTCCGAATACATATTGGTTTTCGCACTCTAACTTTAGTTTAAGTGAATGGATCTTTTTGAAATTTGACCATAAGGTTAAATACCACAAAAGGAAGGTTGGGATTGATTTTGGGGGTTATGGTACCAACAGTTAAGGAATTAGGGGCCAAAAAGGGGCCAAAAATGAGCATTTTCTAGTTTCCAGACAATAACTGTGGAACGGTGTATGGATCTCTCTGAAATTATACTACAAGTTTCCATACCACAAAGGGATGGTTAGGATTTGCTTTGGGGGGTTATAGCTCAAACCGTTTAGGAATTAGGGGCAAAAAAGGGGGAAAAACAAGGTTGTCCTGGTTAATGGACAAATACTTTAGTACAAAACATAATTTAAAGCAGTGTAAGGGAGATAAATCAAATACATCATTGAAATTATCTCCCTTACACTGCTTTTAAATTATGTATATAGGTTGAAATAAACAATTAATTTCCCCATAGGCGACAATGATAGCCTTTTTTGAGATACAGACTTTAGAAAGTTGATTTTTTTAACGAAACCTTGCTAGAATTACAGAAAAGTTATTCGGACAGTATTTTTTGGTCCAAAAAATATAGGTTCGCGTTGCTTTTCTTAACGTATTTTGTACTTATCTCCCATGCCTATCAATTTTGCACTTAAAAATACGTGTCTCGTCCTAGCGTTAAAAAGACATCTCATTTCCGTTAGGGCTAAGGAAAATAATTTGTTTGGCCTTTGATATAATGCAGAATGCACGAAGTCTCTAATAATAAAAAATAACGGGCGCACATATCAACCAATCAGGATTAGCCATACTCTTAATTCTGAATACCATGTTATGCTCATAAAATGGCTGCGCCCATACAATCTAATGGTGTATTGTAACCTAAAGTAATGGTTAATGAACAATAAAGATAATCTAAAACAGTGTAAGGGAGGTAATCCAAATACAACGTTTTGGCTACTTCCCTTACACTGCTTTTAAATTATGTTTAAAGAAATGCATATTTATAAAGGAAGACCAGTAAAAATATCTGCAAATGTTTTCATCTTTTTTTTTTACAAAAAAATCCATATGAAAGATTTGACACTATATTTTTATTAATTCTATTATAAAATAGATTAAGTTAGCACTATGGTAAATTTAAATGGGTAATTATGGTTGCCAACTCCATTGGAAATTTGAATTGAGATTATGACCATATCTTGAGGGAAAGAATTTTTTTGGGGGAAAAAGGGGGGGGGGATAAAAAGAAATTGTGGGGGGCCAATTTTTTCTCATTTCAGATTTCAGAAATTAAAAAGAATTATTCTTCAAATATTATTTTTTTTTCAAATTTCAAATATTGAAAAATTTCAAGAAGTAATCTTTAATTGCACAGTATGGCGCATTAGATTTGTAAAATCTTTGATCACATTTATTTATTTGTTATGCCGAATCTAACAGTGTATTTAGATTTTTAATTTTGGGTCCAGTTTTCAAATTGGTCTACATTAATGTCCAAAGGGTCCAAAATTAAACTTTGTTTGATTTTAGCAAAAAATGAATATATGAGGTTCTTTGATATGCTGAATCTAAACATGTATTTAGATTTTTGATTTTTGGCCCAGTTTTCAAGTTGGTCCAAATTGGGGTCCAAAATTAAACTTTGTTTGATTTCAACAAAAATTGAATATATGGGGTTCTTTGATATGCTGAATCTAACCATGTATTTAGATTTTTTATTTGTGGACCCCGTTATCTAATTGGTTCATATTGAGGTCAAAAGGGTCCAAAATTAAACTTTGTTTGATTTCATCTAAAATTGAATTATTGGGGTTCTTTGATATTCCAAATCTAACTGTGTATTTAGGTTTTTGTCGAGCCTGCGACTTTTGTCGCAGAAAGCTCGACATAGGGATAGCGATCCGGCGGCGGCGGCGGCGGCGGCTACGGCGGCGGCGGCGGCGTTAGCTAACTTCTTAAAAGCTTTATATTTTAGAAGGTGGAAGACCTGGATGCTTCATACTTTGTATATGGATGCCTCATGTTACGAAGTTTCCGTCAGTCACATGTCCAATTTCCTTGACCTCATTTTCATGGTTCAGTGACTACTTGAAAAAAAAGTTCAGATTATTTGTAATGTTAAATTCTCTCTTATTATAAGTAATAGGATAACTATATTTAGTATGTGCGTACCTTGCAAGGTCCTCGTGCCTGTCAGACAGTTTTCACTTGACCTCGACCTCATTTCATGGATCAGTGAACAAGGTTAAGTTTTGGTGGTCAAGTCCATATCTCAGATACTATAAGCAATAGGTCTAGTATATTTGGTGTATGGAAGGACTGTAAGGTGTACATGTCCAACTGGCAGGTGTCATCTGACCTTGACCTCATTTTCATGGTTCAGTGGTTATAGTTAAGTTTTTGTGTTTTGGTCTGTTTTTCTTATACTGTATGCAATAGGTCTATTATATTTGGTGTATGGAATGATTGTAAGGTGTACATGTCCAACTGGCAGGTGTCATCTGACCTTGACCTCATTTTCATGGTTCAGTGGTTATAGTTAAGTTTTTGTGTTTTGGTCTGTTTTTCTTATACTGTATGCAATAGGTCTATTATATTTGGTGTATGGAATGATTGTAAGGTGTACATGTCCAACTGGCAGGTGTCATCTGACCTTGACCTCATTTTCATGGTTCAGTGGTTATAGTTCAGTTTTGTGTTTTGGTCCGTTTTTCTTATACTTTATCCAATAGGTCTACTATATTTGGTGTATGGAATGATTGTAAGGTGTACATGTCCAACTGGCAGGTGTCATCTGACCTTGACCTCATTTTCATGGTTCAGTGGTTATAGTTAAGTTTTTGTGTTTTGGTCCGTTTTTCTTATACTTTATCCAATAGATCTACTATATTTGGTGTATGGAATGATTGTAAGGTGTACATGTCCAACTGGCAGGTGTCATCTGACTTTGTCCTCATTTTCATGGTTCAGTGGTCAAATTTAAGTTTTTGAGTTTTGGTCTTTTTTCTTATACTATTATGCAATAAGTCAACTATATTTGGTGTATGGAAATATTCTATGATGTACATGTCAGTCTCGCAGGTTTTATTTGACCTTGACCTCATTTTCACAGTTCATTGCTCAGTGTTAAGTTTATGTGTTTCAGTCTGTTTTTCTTAAACTATAAGCAATAGGTCAGCTATATTTGTTGTATGGAAGGATTGTAAGCTGTTCATGTCTGCCTGGCATGGTTCATCTGACTTTGACCTCATTTTCACGATTCATTGGTCAATGTTTAGTTTTCTTGGTTAAGTCTGTTTCTTAGAAACTATAAGCAATAGGTCAACTATATTTAGTGTATTGAATGATTGTAAGGTGTACATGTATTTCTTGTTTGGTTTATATGACCTTGACTTCATTTTCTTGGATCATGTTAAGTTTATGTAATAGTTGTAGTAAAGCTTTCATTTAGGACTATCAACATAATATCAATGGTTAGTAAAGAAGGCGAGACATTTCAGCGTGTCCACTCTTGTTAATTTTGGGTCCCGTTTTTTAAATTGGTCTACATTAAGGTCCAAAGGGTCCAAAATTAAACTTAGTTTGATTTTAACAAAAATTGAATTCTTGGGGTTCTTTGATTTGCTGAATCTAAACATGTGTTTAGATTTTTGATTATGGGCCCAGTTTTCAAGTTGGTCCAAGATAGGGTCCAGTATTTAAACTTTGTTTGATTTCAACAAAAATTGAATATGTGGGGTTCTTTGATATGCTGAATCTAAACATGTATTTAGATTTTTGATTATGGGCCCAGTTTTCAAGTTGGTCCAAATTGGGGTCCAAAATTAAACTTTGTTTGATTTCAACAAAAATTGAATATATGAGGTTCTTTGATATGCTGTATCTAACCATGTATTTAGATTTTTTTATTTGTAGGCCCCGCTATCAAATTGGTTCATATTGAGGTCAAAAGGGTCCAAAATTAAACTTTGTTTGATTTCATCGAAAATTGAATTATTGGGGTTTTTTGATATGCCAAATCTAACCGTGTTTTTAGATTTTTAATTTGGGTCCCGTTTTTTAAATTGGTCTTCATTGAGGTCCAAAGGGTCCAAAATTAAACTTAGTTTGATTTTAACAAAAATTGAATTCTTGGGGTTCTTTGATATGCTGAATCTAAACATGTGTTTAGATTTTTGATTATGGGCCCAGTTTTCAAGTTGGTCCTAGTTGGGGTCCAAAATTAAACTTTTTTTTATTTCAACAAAAATTGAATATATGGGGTTCTTTGATATGCTGAATCTAACCATGAATTTAGAATTTTTATTTGTGGGCCCCGCTATCAAATTGGTTTATATTGAGGTCAAAAGGGTCCAAAATTAAACTTTGTTTGATTTCATCAAAAATTGAATTATTGGGGTTCTTTGATATTCCAAATCTAACCGTGTATTTAGATTTTTAATTTTAAGTCCCGTTTTTTAAATTGGTCTACATTAAGGTCCAAAAGGTCCAAAATTAAACTTAGTTTGATTTTAGCAAAAATTGAATTCTTGGGGTTCTTTGATATGCTGAATCTAAACATGTGTTTAGATTTTTGATTATGGGCCCAGTTTTCAAGTTTGTCCAAGTTGGGGTCCAAAATTAAACTTTGTTTGATTTTAACAAAAATTGAATATATGGGGTTCTTTGATATGCTGAATCTAACCATGTATTTTGATTTTGGACATTGGACCATAATAGGTAAATTAAAAAAATTCAAGTTCTTAGACCACATTCTTTCTGTGTCAGAAACCTATGCTGTGTCAAATATTTAATAACAATCCAAATTCAGAGCTGTATCAAGCTTGAATGTTGTGTCCATACTTGCCCCAACTGTTCAGGGTTTTGACCTCTGCGGTCGTATCAAGCTGCGCCCCAGCGAAGCATTTTATTGATTATGGGCCCAGTTTTCAAGTTGGTCCACATTGAGGTCAAAAGGGTCCAAAATTAAACTTTGTTTGATTTCATCAAAAGTTGAATTCTTGGGGTTCTTTGATATGCTGAATCTAACCATGTATTTAGATTTTGGATATTGGACCATAATAGGTGAATGTCTAATTTAAAAAATTTTAAGTTCTTAGACCACATTCATTCTGTGTCAGAAACCTATGCTGTGTCAAATATTTAATCACAATCAAAATTTAGAGCTGTATCAAGCTTGAATGTTGTGTCCATACTTGCCCCAACTGTTCAGGGTCGACCTATGCGGTCGTATCAAGCTGCGCCATGCGGAGCATTTTATTAAACTTATACGCAATGCTTATTACCACAAAACACAGATCAGGTTTGAATTTTGGTGGCATCATTTTAACCGTCCTAGAGTTATGCCCCTTTATAAATTGAAAAATTGCAAAATTTTTATTTTCTTCTAATTATCAAGTAATATTATACGACCGCATAAAAATTTTGTGGTCGTATATTGGTATGACGTTGGCGTCGTCGTCCGAAGACACATTGGTTTTCGCACTCTAACTTTAGTTTAAGGGAATAGATCTCTATGAAATTTTTCCATAAGGTTCAATACCACAAAAGGAAGGTTGGGATTGATTTTGGGGGTTATGGTATCAACAGTTAAGGAATTAGGGGCCAAAAATAAGCATTTTTGTAACTTCCAGACATAACTTGTGTGTTAGTGTATGGATCTCTCTGACATTATACCACAAGTTTGGGATTGATTTTGGGGGTAATTGCCTCAAAATTTTAGGAATAAGGGGCCAAAAAAGGGGCAAAAAAAAGCATTTTTCTAGTTTCATGATAATAACTTGTGTGTAAGTGTATGGATCTTTCTGAAATTGTACTACAAGGTTCCATATCACAAAGGGAAAGCTAGAATTGAGTTTGGGTGTAATTGCCCAAAACGTTTAGGAATTAGGGGCCAAAAATAAGCATTCTTCTAGTTTCCAGACAATAACTTGTGTTCAAGTGTATGGATCTCTCTGAAACTGTACTGCAAGGTACCATACCACAAAGGGAAGGTTGGGATTGAGTTGGGGGGGGGGGGGTGATGAATCATAAGGGGGGTCAAAAAAATTTGGGGGAGGGTTTTTTTTTCCTTTTTTTTCTTTAAAATTTTCCATTTTAAGTTGGTTATTTCTGATTTATATATAAAAGCAAATAATAATGATATGGTTTGAATAGGTAAATTAAATTTTTTTAAGTTCTTAGACCACATTCATTCTGTGTCAGAAACCTATGCTGTGTCAAATATTTAATCACAATCCAATTTCAGTGCTGCAACAAGCTTGAATGTTGTGTCCATACTTGCCCCAACTGTTAAGGGTTCGACCTCTGCGGTCGTATCAAGCTGCGCCCAGCGGAGCATCTATTTTTTTTTTATACGACTGCAAAAATTAAAATTTTTTTGGTCGTATATTGGTATGACGTTGGCGTCGTCGTCGTCGTCCGAAGACACATTGGTTTTCGCACTCTAACTTTAGTTTAAGTGAATGGATCTCCATGAAATTTTACCATAAGGTTCAATACCATGAAAGGAAGGTTGGGATTGATTTTGGGGGTTATGGTACCAGCCTTCACGCTTAACTTTTGAGTCCACAAGCCGGAAGCTCAATTTTTTATACATTTTAGTTGGATTCTGTTGGCTTGTAGAGTAGAATTTTACAAGCCCGAAAGCAATTTTACAAGCCAATGCCGTAGGACTTGTGGTTAAGCGTGAAGACTGTGGTACCAACAGTTAAGGAATTAGGGGCCAAAAAGGGGCCAAAAATAAGCATTTTTGTAACTTCCAGACAATAACTTGTGTGTAAGTGTATTGATCCCTCTGACATTGTACCACAAGGTTCCATATCACATAGGGAAGGCTGTAATTGATTTTGGGGGTAATTGCCTCAAAATTTTACGAATTAGGGGCCAAAAAAGGGGCAAAAAACAAGCATTTTTCTAGTTTCATGACAATTACTTGTGTGTAAGTGTTTGGATATTTCTGAAATTGTACTACAAGGTTCCATATCACAAAGGGAAAGCTGGAATTGAGTTTGGGGGTAATTGCCCGAAACGTTTAGGAATTGGGGGCCAAAAAGGGGCCAAAAATAAGCATTTTTCTAGTTTCCAGACAATAACTTGTGTTCAAGTGTATGGATCTCTCTGAAATTGTACTGCAAGGTACCATACCACAAAGGGAAGGCTGGGATTGAGTTTGGGGTTGATGAATAATAAGGGGGTTCAAAAAATTTGGGGGGGGATTTTTTTTTTTCTTTTTTTCCTTTTTTTTTTTCTTTTAAAATTTTCCATTTTAAGTTGGTTATTTCTGATTTATATTTAAAAGCAAATAATAATGATATGGTAGGAGATACACACCAAACAGGATGTGTAAATTATTATATAATAAGTATTGTGCAATAGCAAGAAATTTTCAATTGCACAGTATTGCGCAATAGCAAGAAATCTTCAATTGCACAGTATTGCGCAGTAGCAAGAAATCTTCAATTGCACAGTATTGCGCAATAGCAAGAAATATCCAATAGCACAATATTGCGCAATAGCAAGAAATTGTCAATTGTACAGTATTGCGCAATAGCAAGAAATATTCAATTGCACAGTATTGTGCAAAAGAAGATACTTCGTATAAATTGCTTATTTCTTGATCAATTTCAATGGGGTTTTATTCTTGAATTCTTGGGGTTCTTTAATATGCTGAAGCTAACCGTGTATTAAGTTTTTGGATTTTGGGCCCCGTTTTTAAATTGGTCCACATTGAGGTCCAAAGGGTCCAAAATTAAACTTTGTTTGATTTCATCAAAAATTGAATTATTGGGGTTCTTTGATATATCGAATCTAACCGTGTATTTAGATTCTTAATTTTTGGTTCCGTTTTCAAATTGGTCTACATTAAGGTCCAAAGGGTCCAAAATTAAACTTAGTTTGATTTTAACAAAAATTTAAATTTTAGGGTTCTTTGATATGCTGAATCTAAACATGTATTTAGATTTTTGATTATGGGTCCAGTTTTCAAGTTGGTCCAAATCGGGGTCCAAAATTAAACTTTGTTTGATTTCAACAAAAATTGAATATATGGGGTTCATTGATATGCTGAATCTAACCATGTACTTAGATTTTAGATTTTTGGGCCCCGTTATCAACTTTGTCCACATTGAGGTCAAAAGGGTCCAAAATTAAACTTTGTTTGATTTCATCAAAAATTGAATTCTTGGGGTTCTTTGATATGCTGAATCTAACCATGTATTTAGATTTTGGATATTGGACCATAATAGGTGAATGTCCAATTTAAAATTTTTAAGTTCTTAGACCACATTCATTCTGAGTCAGAAACCTATGCTGTGTCAAATATTTAATCACAATCCAAATTCAGAGCTGTATCAAGCTTGAATGTTGTGTCCATACTTGCCCCAACTGTTCAGGGTTCGACCTCTGCGGTCGTATCAAGCTGCGCCCTGCGGAGCATTTTATTTTAAATTGGAGTTATCTTCCTTTGTCCATGATTATACCATGAAGCTTTATACAATGCAATGTTTAATTTTGACTGATAAAACACAGATCAAGTTGAATTTGGATAGTGTCACTTTAACCATTATTGAGTTATGCCACTTTATAAATCGAAAGATTGCAAAATTTTTAGTTTCCATTCTGTAACTTAAGTTTGCCCAAACCAAACATTATGAAACCTATACACAATATTCATTACCACAAAACTAAGATCAAGTACAATTTTTTTTTCTGTTTTCTAACTTTAAATCGCCTCAACCAAATGTTATGAAACTTATACACAATGCTTATTACTACATAATACAGATTAAGTACGCAATTTGGTTGTAACACTTTTAGCATTCTTGAGTTATGTCCCTTTTTAAACATATAAATTGCTGAATTTTTCATTTCCGTTCTCTATAGTTTGTCTCAACCAAATGTTATAAAACTTATACACAACTGTTCTAGAGTTATGCGTGTTTACAAATAGAAAAATTACTGAATTTTTAGTTTCTGTTCTCTACTTAAGTTAGCCGCAACCAAATGTTATGAGACTTACACACAATGCTTATTACCACAAAACTCAGATCAAGTTCAAATTTGGGTAGCGTCACTTTTACCGTCCTTCAGTTATGTCCCTTTATAACTTTATGATATGCAAGCGGGGGCATCATCTGTGTCCACATGTGGACACTATCCACATGTCGGACATTAACTCAAAAACGCTTTAACCAATTTGCATAAAACTTTGTTGAATTGTTTATATCTATTGACGTTAGCTCCCTTTTGATTTTTATAAATTTTGGATTTTACGTTTCGAAGTTGTGGGGTTTTATTCATTAAAAAAAGGGGGATTTTCCAGTTTTCTGCACAATAACTCTAGAATGCTTTCACCAACTTGCAAGAAATTTTGGTTAATTGTTTATATCTATTGACATGAGCTCCCATTTATTTTTATAAATTTTAGATTTTACGTTTTCCAAGATGAGGGGTTTTATTCATAAAAAAAAGGGGGATTTTCCAGTTTTGGACAATAACTCAAAAATGCTTTCAGCAGTTCTCATGAAACTATGATGAATTGTTGATATATATTGATGTAAGTTGCCTTTAGAATGTTATAAATTTTACATTTTACATTTCTGAGTAATGGGGTTTTATTCATTAAAAAAGGGGGGATTTTCCAGTTTTTGGACAATAACTCAAAAATGCTTTCAGCAATTCTTATGAAACTTTGGTGAATTGATTATATCTATTGATGTAAGCTCCCTCTAGAATTTTATAAATTTTATTTGTTTATAGTCTTGACAACAGATTTACTAAGTATTGCGCAACAGCATAGTGTATTGCACACAAAATAATCTTTAATTGAATATAAATTCAATTCATGTAACCAATTTCAAGTTCTTTGACTACATTTATTCAGAAACCTATAATATGTCAAATATTAAATTACAATCCAAATTCAGACCGGTATCAAGGTTGAATTTTGTGTCCATTTTTGCCCCAACTGCTTAGGGTTGGACCTCTGCGGGAGTATCCAGCTGCACTCAGCGAAGCAGTTTATTCAACATGGTTATGATATTTTATCATTTTGGATTATATAAGATTAGATTTAATATAAAGGTGAATTTGAATTTCAGACCACTGTTGCTGGGGGCACAACAACAAGTACAAGTACACCTACACCAACACCGACGGGATCCAGTTCTGCATCAGGGGGCAAGCCATCATGGAGCAGTGTAACTGTTGGGGACACATCAAGGGGCAATGTTGTCGGTCAACAGTCGCCATTATTTCAGGACGAATTTCCAACTCTAAAATCTGCTGGAGAAGAAAAACCAAAAGATGTCAAAAAGGAAGAAGACAAGGATACACAATATGGACCAGGGCCAAGTTTGCGACCACAAAGTAAGTTAATCAAAGTTTCTGGTGCAAACCTTCACTTGTTTTAGCAATTTGTGAATTACTTTCAGATTAATTTATTGCAATATTTGGACCAATGATAAGAGCTCATCAATATTAATGTGTTAACTTTTAGGATTCTCCTAGCTAAGACCATGTTAAAATGTATTGTAAATCTTCATTGTATGGTCATTATCTTAAAAATCAAGGAATTTTAAGTACATGACCCTACAAGTCCATTTATTTTCTTTATATACAACCAGAGTGAAAATTAGAACAAATAATTCAAAAGCAGTTATTTACTGTAGATTAAGAATATTGTGTTAAAAATGATTGAGATATTCAATCTGTTAGTCAGCCCCTAAAAAATGTATGCCTGTTTCCTCTCCAAAAAATATTCAAGAAAAAAGAGGTGTGAGTCATCTTTATATTTGACTATGATTCCAATTTTTGGTGGAGCATTCACCTAAATTTGTATTAAGATCGACACAAATCAAGTTTTATAACTTGTCAAACCATTGAAAACTATTAACCTATCAACATGAATACGCAAACTACTTGTTTTGCATAAGTGAATAGCGGTATAAACTCGAGAAAAATTTAATTTTTACGGATTTTGTAAATATAAAACATATCATAAGACAAAATCCCATCTGACCCTATTTTGAAATGGTTGAAGGCAAGAAACAGACATGTATTTTTTTTTTGGACCTCATTATAACCCTAAAATATCAAAAAAAGCAAATCTGCCACTGGAATTAAACTTTCCTAAGGGGTTGAGAACACAAAAAAAATTTAACATGATAAGAGTTTTAAATGATATGGCTAACACATTGGCTTGGTCCTTCCATTTACATTTTCAAGTTGGAGCGTTGAATGGTCTTGTGTCAGTTCCATTTTCAATAAGAAAGACAAAACTGCAGTAACATGTAACACATTATTGGTATATAACATGAAGTGGACAAGGGTATCATTTCATCAACTCTTCTCACAGACATCTGTAGTTGAAACTTTATGATGTGTAATACAGAATGTTTTATCTTTTAGATGTAGGGAGCTGGAAAGAAGGAGGAGGTCGTGGCGTCATGCAACAGCAGCAGCCAAAAGCAGACACACCATCATCACAAACTTCGACCTCGCCAAGCCAGACAGAAACACAACAGAATGGCCCCCAGATTACCAGTGGTGCCTCGGAGACCCAAACCCAGCAAATGCCACCTAGACCTGGGTCTGGGCCGGGTCCTTCACAGGGACCAGGAATGCCAATGGCACCAATGGGGATGCATCCACAGTACAGAATGATGCCACCTTTTGTATGTTCTCTAATTTTAAAAGTGCTTGCTATAAATGATACTAGTCCTGTTACATTTATATAGTTCACTACATTTCTGCATGTTTAGGTATTTGTGACCTACAATTACCATAAATGAACATGAAAAAGGATCATCCATTTCAAACTAAAGCATGTTCTAGTGTTGAACATGTAGATGCAAAATATTATATAGTAAATAAAAAAATAGAATGTTTGTAATATTCACCTGAAACAAGTGTCTGATCTGCTTTGGAAAAAGAAACTAATGTGAACTATTACTATTGGTTCATTTCTTTACAGTTTTCGGGTTTTATGAAAGTATAAATAACTGCAGACAGTAGTAGGGTAAAAGTTGAAAGTTGCGTATTTAAAATTTTTAATATTTTCAATTTCAGATGTATGGGAGATTTCCACCAGGATATCCACCTAATTATCAAGGCATGCCACCAAGATTCCCTTATGATGCTAGGTATGTTTAAGAATCTGTCACCAGTTGAATTTTTATACATTTATGGTTGTTTGCAAATTCATTTTACTTTAAAAAATTTGTCATGGCCGGTTACAAACAGTGCATGAATCGGAGTTGGCAAGGTATTACCCAGGCAGGAAAACTTTTTTTGGACAGTGTGTACCTTTCTTTTTCAATTATCTGCCAAAAAATTGTGTTCATTCTATATGATTTCATAAATATTGTTGCCTATTTTTGTGACATCATAATAGGGAAATCAAGAGGAAAGCAAGAACATAATTGAATTTTGACCAATGAAGTACTGAGATCAAGTGAGCCACATGTTGAATTAAATAAAAAAAGAAGATATAATCATCTGTTCAGGGAAAGTACAAATCTGCTATAAAGAATGAGAGAAAGGTGATTTAACATGCACTTCAAAATCAGTATTAAAAAAAATTCAAATCTATCAAACTTTATATGATATAATACTGAAAGAGTCATCACACATGAAAGTAGGCATTCATGAGTCTTTCACTTGAAGATATTTGCTGATTGTAGCACTACTGTTCTTTAAGGTTTAGACCTCAACATCCAATGCAACAACAACAAAGGCCTGCAGGAGATGGTGGTGAGGATGCTCCTAAGCGGGCAGCAATAATTTCAGATAAAGATTTGAAAGAATTTGAGAAATTGCGCATTGACCCTGAGGATGGATGGGCAGGAGCTCATGAGGAAATTGACTATTCGTAAGTAAATTAAATATTTTGTGCAGATAAAGTTCAATATTAGGAAAGATTTGTGAACTTCAAATTAAGGTAATATTAAATAATAATGCAAAAGATAGGTAAAATTGAAATAGATTGAGGCCCCTGATAATGGGTTCAACAAATATAGATTTTTCTGTACTTTTTCGATCAAAAAAAGGTTTGTCAGCACACAATAAATTCCAATTTAAGTATGAGTCCTCGTTTATAAACTCTTAAGGGAAGCCTTCAAATTAAAGTTTGTTATATGTAATAGGATTTTGATTGGGGCTAACAGCCTGTTTCAGACAAGATGATTGATTAAAAGGCAGTCTTTGAGATCCATCAAAATGACTACAAAGTTGTTTTTATACGACCGCAAAAAAATTTTGAGGTCGTATATTGGTATGACGTTGGCGTCGACGTCGTCGTCGTCCGGCGTCGTCGTCCGAATACACAATGGTTTTCGCACTCTAACTTTAGTTTAAGTGAATGGATCTCTATGAAATTTTACCATAAGGTTCAATACCACAATAGGAAGGTGGGGATTGATTTTGGGGGTTATGGTACCAACAGTTAAGGAATTAGGGGCCAAAAAGGGGCCGAAAATAAGCATTTTTGTAACTTCCAGACATAACTTGTGTGTAAGCATATGGATCTCTTTGACATTGTACCACAAGATTCCATATCACAAAGGGTCAATGCTGGGATTGATTTTGGGGTTAATTGCCTCAAAATTTTAGGAATAAGGGGCCAAAAGGGGGCAAAAAACAAGCATTTTTCTAGTTTCATGACAATAACTTGTGTGTAAGTGTATGGATCTTTCTGAAATTTTACTACAAGGTTCCATTTCACAAAGGGAAAGCTGGAATTGAGTGTTGTGGTAATTGCCCAAAACGTTTAGTAATAAGGGGCCTAAAAAGGGGTTTAAAATAAGCATTTTTTAGTTTCTAGACAATTACTTGTGTTCAAGTGTATGGATCTCTCTAAAATTGTATTACAAGGTACCATACCACAAAGGCAAGGCTGTTATTGAGCTTGGTTTGGGGGGAAAGGGGGGTGGGGGTGATGAATCATAAGGGGGGCGGGGGTCAAAAAAGGGGTAATTTTTTTTTTTCCTTTTTTTTTTGTTTAAAATTTACATTTTAAGTTAGTTATTTTTTATCACGAAGAGAAAGTAGGAATTGAGTTTTGGGGTTAATTGCTCAAACATTTATGAATAAGGGGCCAAATATTGGTCGAAAATAAGGATTTTTTTAGTTTGCAACAAAAACTTGTGTTCAAGTGTATGGATCTCTGTGAAATTGTATTGCAATGTACTATACCACAAATTGAAGGTTGTGATTGAGGTGGGGGATGATGAATCAAAAGGGGGTTGAAAAAATGTGTGGGGGGTAGAATTTTTTTTTTCCTTTTTTTTTCTTTAAAATTTTCCATTTAAAGATGGTTGTTTCAGATTTATATATGAAAGAAAATAATATTGATACGGTTATATATCATGAGGAATTGAAATTTAAAATTATGTATATTGGAAATTTAGGTTACATTGGAAAGTAATAATTGGCTTTGGTGGGGGGGGGGGGGGGGGTGGGGTTGGTGGTTATGGCTCTAATGTTTAAGGAATAAGGGGAAAAAACAAGGGTTTCCATTTTAATAGACAAATAATTGAGTAAAGAACATTATTTAAAAGCAGTGTAAGGTTGGTAATTCAAACTCATTTAAATATCTCATCTACACTGCTTTTAAATTATGTAAATTGGAAATTTGCCAATAACTTTATTGTTAATAAATGCATTGGAAATTTGCCAACAATTTTAGTGTAATAAACTTCATTGGAAATTTGCCAATATAAAATTTTGCTGATGAAGGTTTTTTGTTTACCTTTAGCCTTGACTATGAAGTCATTTTCTATTTTTATAGCCTTATGATGTAGTTGAATTATTTAATACTTTTATGATGTGTTTAAATGGGGTTTTATCATGTTTATGGTTGCAAATTTATTGTTTTAGTATAATAAACTCCATTTAAAATTTGCCAATAAAAAAAAATTTTGTTTATTTTTAGCTATGATTATGATGTCATTTTCTATTTTACTTTTATGGTTGCAAAGAAATTTTTATTTTTAGATATTACTGTTAAATGATGCTGATTAAGGTTTTTGCTATGTTTAGCCATGACTATGATGTCATTTTCTATTTTAATATCTGTTATGATGTATTTAAATGGGCTTTTATGGTTACAAAGGAATTTTATTTTTAGATATTACTATAAAATGTTGCTGATGCTGATTAAGGATTTTGTTTATTTTAAGCCATGACTATGATGTCATTTTCTATTTTAATACCTTTATGATGTAATTTCCATTTTTAGATATTACTGTTAAATGATGCTGATTAAGGGTTTTTTGCTATGTTTAGCCATGACTATGATGTCATTTTCTATTTTAATATCTTTATGATGTATTTAAATGGGCTTTTATGGTTACAAAGGAATTTTATTTTTAGATATTACTTTAAATGATGCTGATTAAGGATTTTTGTTTATTTTTAGCCATGACTATGATGTCACTTTCTATTCTAATACCTTTATGATGTATTTAAATGGGCTCCCATGTATTTAGATTTTTGATTATTTATACATGTTACCAAATTGGTCCACATTGAAAAAAAAACGGTCCAAATTTCAACTTTATTACATTACATCAAACATTGAATTCTACATATTCTTTGATATATTGAAATTAACAAACAATTTAGTTTATGGATATTCCACCATAATAGGTAAATTAAATTTTTTCCAGTTCTTACACCACATTCATCCTGTGTCAGAAACCTATGCTGTGTCAAATATTTAATGACAATCCAAAGTCATAGCTGTATCAAGCTTGAATTTTGTGTCCATACTTGCCCCAACTGTTCAGGGTTCGACCTCTGCGGTCGTATCAAGCTGCGCCCCAGCGAAGCATTTTATTAATTTTATATCCATGGGTAAAATGATACATCAGAAAAGATTGTTAATGGCTGAATACATTTTTGCGAGTTTATTAAAGCTTATATCTTTTAAATTCTTTTTACAGTGAGAAGTTGGTATTCAGTGATGATGAAGAAAACGGAGGAGATAAAGAGTGAGTTAAGGCATTGTAAATGTATCATTTTAATTCATATCTGTGTTTGACAACTACATGCACATAGTCCAGGTATTTGAGGGATATAGATTACAATTCTGTAAAAATTGACATGTATGTGTATCATGGTTCTTATGGGTTTTATGCCACATGATGAAAAGTGATGGAACATAGTCTAGGAACTAGGATGACAGCTTTCATCATCACTCACCGAACTGATGGCTTTATATCTTTATGAAATAGGGTCTTCACCACAAGTTTTAAGCTGCAACTTAAGCAGTTATCTTAATTATATTGAGCTGTCAAATAATTTCAAGTTTTAAATAGAACTTCATTTTATTGATTCCCTCCACTGAAGGATAGTATAATGGAAATGTTTATGTCTATGTTTAATACAACAATAGAGTTTAAAATCGTTATGGTTTTGAGGATACTAGAGTATATTTTGAGTATCTCTATGAGTTCTATAAAAAGAAATCTCAATAGTTTAGGGCATATGGAGTAAGAAATCAAGTTACCTGTACACATTTTTGTGCAATTATCCAATAAAGAATGCTGTGGTTGTTGTCTCTTCTGGATTTGTATGCCCTGCAGTCAGCTTACGTACGTACGTCCAGAAACTGGTTTAAATTCTCTAACTTTGGTTTGCCTTGACCAAATGTTATGAAATTTATACACAATGCTAATTACCACAAAACACAGATGAAGTTTGAATTTGGGTGGCGTTACTTTTACCGTTCTCAAGTTAGGCCCCTTTATAATGTTGTTTGCAAGCGGGGGCATCATTTGTGCGTGGACACATTCTCCATTTATTTCTTAATGAATTCCTTTGGAGAATATATTGTTTAATGTATTATGTTAATTTCAGGGGTAAAGGCGAGAAAAAAATCAGGAAGTCATCAAAGGCAAGTGAAGAGGAGAAAGAAAAAAATGATGATGTTAAGGTATCTCCAGAACATGTGCTTAAAATTTCTATTGTCATCATAGTCCTTAACGTGTTTCTTAAACTTGAAAGTCATATCTTCTGAATGGCCATGCTTATATATCAGATTATGATTATTATTATCTTTATTGCAAACTCCTCCTTTACAGGATCAATTTTTGACTTTTCTGTTGCAGAATGAGAGTCATTGGGATGCTTATACGGTAACAGCTTAAACTTTTTGAACAAAGCTTTAAATTTCATTGGGTAGTCCAGCTGGATGATATCTATATGTAATATACAGATGCCTTTCGGTCTAAAGTTTCTGTCTAGCATATGTCCTTTTGTGTTTTACCTAATTCCATCATTCAGTGACCTCTTAAAAAACTAATGATTCTTACAGTAATAAAAAAATAGGATGAGTACTATTTGGTATATAGAATCATTGCAATGTTTTCATGCCTTTCAGACAGTGTTAATCAGACCTTAAACTCATTGATGGTCAATTTTTATACGACCACAAAAAATTTTTGTGGTCGTATATTGGTATGATGTTGGCGTCGTCATCGTCCGAAGACACATTAGTTTTCGCAATCTAAATTTAGTTTAAGTGAATGGATCTCTATGAAATTTTACCATAAGGTTCAATACCACAAAAGGAAGGTTGGGATTGATTTTGGGGGTTATGGTACCAACAGTTAAGGAAAAAGGGGCCAAAAATAAGCATTTTTGTAACTTCCAGACATAACTTGTGTGTTAGTGTATGGATATCTCTGACATTGTACCACAAGGTTCCATATCACAAAGGGAATGCTGGGATTGATTTTTTGGGTAATTGCCTCCAAATTTTAGGAATTAGGGGCCAAAAAAGGGGCAAAAAAAAGCATTTTTCTAGTTTCATGACAATAACTTGTGTGTAAGTGTTTGGATATTTCTGAAATTGTACTACAAGGTTCCATATCGCAAAGGGAAAGCTGGAATTGAGTTTGGGGGTAATTGCCCAAAACGTTTAGGAATAAGGGGCCAAAAATGGGCCAAAAATAAGCATTTTCTAGTTTCCAGACAATAACTTGTGTTCAAGTGTATGGATCTCTCTGAAATTGTACTGCAAGGTACCATACCACAAAGGGAAGGCTGGGATTGATTTTGGGGGTAATTGCCTCCAAATTTTAGGAATTAGGGGCCAAAAAGGGGCAAAAAAACTAGCATTTTTCAAGTTTCAGGACAATAACTTGTGTGTAAGTGTATGGATCTTTATGAAATTGTACTACAAGGTTCCATATCTCAAAGGGAAAGCTGGGTTTGAGTTTGGGGGTAATTGCCCTAAACATTTAGGAATTTGGGCCCAAAAAACAAGCATTTTTTCTAGTTTTCAGACAATTACTTGTGTTCAAGTGTATGGATCTCTCTGAAATTGTACTGCAAGGTACCATACCACAAAGGGAAGGCTGGGATTGAGTTTGGGGGTGATGAATCATAAGGGGGTTCAAAAAATGGGGGGGGGGGACTTTTTTCCCTTTTTTTTTTCTTTAAAATTTTCCATTTTAAATTGGTTATTTCTGATTTATATATAGAAGCAAATAATATTGATATGGTTTGAATAGGTAAATTAAAAAATTTTAAGTCCTTAGACCACATTCATTCTGTGTCGGAAACCTATGCTGTGTCAAATATTTAATTACAATCCAAATTCAGTTGCTGTATCAATCTTGAATGTTGTGTCCATACTTGCCCCAACTGTTCAGGGTTCGACCTCTGTGGTGGTATCAAGCTGCGCCCAGCGGAGCATTTTATTTTCTAGTAGTATGCCTTGATAATAAGACTGTATAAGAATAAATGTTTGTTTTCCATGTAAGAATCAATCTCCAAATGCACATATTCTGGATTTATCAATAAACATTTTGCATGTATTGTATTCAAATCTCTCATATATTTGTATAATTGTCCTACCTTACTATAGAACTAACATTCCTATAAACTAATGATTCTATTTTGGTTTTTTTTAAATGTTCAATTTTCTTAATGTTGACATCTATGTTTCATTTTATTTGCATGGCTTGCAGTTCATTTCTGTATTTAAGGACTACTTCATGTAAATATAACATCTTTTCAAGAATGCTTAGAATTTCTTAATAATTGATTGTGTAAGGAGGAATGCTTAATGTTCCAATGGGAAATTTTACATGCAAATTATTGACAGTGATAACATATTATTGAGAGAAGAATATGTCGTACTATTCTAGACCAACTGGCAGAGTCGAGTTTTTATACGACTGCAAAAAAAATTTGCGGTCGTATATTGGTATGACGTTGGCGTCGCTGTCCGAAGATACAATGGTTTTCGCACTCTAACTTTAGTTTAAGTGAATGGATCTCTATGAAATTTTACTGTAAGGTTCAATACCACAAAAGGAAGGTGGGGATTGATTTTGGGGGTTATGGTATCAACAGTTAAGGAATAAGGGGCCAAAAATAAGCATTTTTGTAACTTCCAGACGTAACTTGTGTGTTAGTGTATGGATCTCTCTGACATTGTACCACAAGGTTCCATATCACAAAGGGAATGCTGGGATTGATTTTTTGGGTAATTGCCTCCAAATTTTAGGAATAAGGGCCAAAAAACAAGCATTTTTCTAGTTTCATGACAATAACTTGTGAGTAAGTGTATTGATCTCTCTGACATTGTACCACAAGGTTCCATATCACAAAGGGAATGCTGGGATTGATTTTGGGGGTAATTGCCTCCAAATTTTAGGAATAAGGGGCAAAAAAGGGGCAAAAAACAAGCATTTTTTCTAGTTTCATGACAATAACTTGCGTGTAAGTGTATGGATCTTTATGAAATTGTACTACAAGGTTCGATATCACAAAGGGAAGGCTGAAATTGAGTTTGGGGGTAATTGCCCAAAACGTTTAGGAAAAGGGGGCATAAAATAAGCATTTTTCTAGTTTCCAGACAATAACTTGTTTTCAAGTGTATGGATCTCTCTGAAATTGTACTGCAAGGTACCATACCACAAAGGGAAGGCTGGGATTGATTTTGGTGGTAATTCCCTCAAAATTTGAGGAAAAAGGGGCCATAAAGGGGCAAAAAAACAAGCATTTTTCAAGTTTCAGGACAATAACTTGTGTGTAAGTGTATGGATCTTTATGTAATTGTACTGCAAGGTTCCATATCACAAAGGGAAAGCTGGGTTTGAGTTTGGGGGTAATTGACCTAAATGTTTAGAAATTTGGGGCCAAAAACAAGCATTTTTCTAGTTTCCAGACAATAACTTGTGTTCAAGTGTATGGATCTCTCTGAAATTGTACTGCAAGGTACCATACCACAAAGGGAAGGTTGGGATTGAGTTTGGGGGTGATGAATCATAAGGGGGTTCAAAAAATTGGGGGGGGGGGGATTTTTTTTATCTTTTTTTTCTTTAAAATTTTCCATTTTAAATTGGTTATTTCTGATTTATATATATAAGCAAATAATAATGATATGGTTTGAATAGGTAAATTAAATTTTTTTAAGTTCTTAGACCACATTCATTCTGTGTCAGAAACCTATGCTGTGTCAAATATTAAATTACAATCCAAATTCAGTGCTTTATCAAGCTTGAATGTTGTGTCCATACTTGCCCCAACTGTTCAGGGTTCGACCTCTGCGGTCGTATCAAGCTGCGCTGCAGCGGAGCATTTTATTTTTGTTTAAAATTTTCAATTTTAAATTGGTTCTTTCTGATTTATATATAAAAACAAATAATAATGATATGGTTTGAATAGGTAAATTAAAAAATTTTAAGATCTTAGACCACATTCATTCTGTGTCAGAAACCTATGCTGTGTCAAATATTTAATTACAATCCAAATTCAGTGCTGTATCAAGCTTGAATGTTGTGTCCATACTTGCCCCAACTGTTCAGGGTTGGACCTCTGCGGTCGTATCAAGCTGCGCCCCAGCGGAGCATTCTATTTATTGTGCTAGCTCATATTTTCCTGGAAGACATAAAACTCTCTGAGACATATTATTATTTAATGAGAGCAATTCTTTGCTTTTAATCTTGAATGCTGCATGCTTGCACAGAAGCAGCAAATACCATTTCTGGAGTGGGATGCACCCACCAATCTCTTGATACCAAATGCAACCATAAGATCACTTCTGTGGTTAATTTTTTTAGGAACTACTGTTATTAAACATCTTGATATTCTTAGGGGGGAAGGGTAATTCATTAAAAATTAAACTTGCTGGTGTGCATTGAATGACTTAACAATGTTTTTTTTGGTGACTGTTTTATGACATCATTTTAACAGCTATGGATATAAAGGAAGATACTGATACAGTAAATCACTGGCACACAATTGGAAAACTAGCACCAGTGATCTTTTTCTGAATAACCTCGTCTATTTCATAGTTGTAATACAATCAGCCAAACATAAAAGAAACAGTATTGTGTTTTAATAGCTGGGGCATGAGCAGGTTTCTTTAAATGGAGTAGTCCTACAATTATTTTCTATCAATATTTTTATTTATACAGTTGCTTTCAAACATATTTGTTGTTAAAACATTAAATCCTGAATCATATATAATGTCTATGAATGTTTGCGGCTTGCATCAAGTGGCAAATGCTAAATAACAATTAAAAACTGCTTCATTTTATCCCACAGTAATATGAATGTTACTGAAACTAGTAAAAAAGAACAGAGAAAAACATTGAAATACCATCTAATGCATTCATTGAGACCTGTATTTTAGATCTTTTACATTAGAATTTAATTCAACATAATGATTTTAGTGGGTTTAACTATTAATATTGATATTAGTCTATTTAAATGTGTTTTCACATAGAATATAAGTATGAACAAAAATTCACTGTAATTGATTTGTAAAGGCTACATTCCTTTTAACATAAAATTTGAAATGTCTATACAAACAGAATGATCATGGGCCACCACAATCAAGAGAAGCATGGGGTCAAGGACAAATACCACCACAATTCAGAGGTCAGCCACCACCACCACCTATGGATGGGGTAAGTTTGAGACTTTAAAACACTGACCTATTTTATTTTGCACTACCGTAGAAAGGCTTGTATAGTTCGCACTGGTACATAGTCCGCACCCCCTTCTCCCCACGAAATTTTAGGTAAAAAAACTTTTTGCAACTGTTAGAAAAGGTTAAATGAAACTCCGGTAATTTCAAATCCTGTGCGGTCGTTTGCGGTATTTTCTTGGAAAAACCTGTTTTCCATCATCAAACAGAAGCTGAAACTGCTTGTAAATGATTCTAGAACGCTTCATGATTGTTAAAATAAGTTTAATTCACTTAAAAAACAATTTAGAAACTTGTGTATGTTTAAACAGGAAGTTTAAAAAGCTCGTGTAAAAGAAGAAATTACCCGGTGAGAGTTGAAATCTGTACATAACAGATATCACTATAATACGACTTTGAAAGTAAAACAGTTCCATCCTTTTGTAAAACAGTCTTTAATATATCTATCACATTAATGTTTGAAGGGTCTTAAGCTAATACAAACCATATTAGTCAGTATGAAACACCAAAACGGAACGAAAAATAACCGATTACGTTTTGTAGTTTACAAATTCTAAGCTGGTTTACGGTTTTCTTTTTATACGACCGCAAAAAAATTTTTGTGGTCGTATATTGGTATGACGTTGGCGTCGTCGTCGTCGTCGTCGTCGTCGTCGTCGTCCGAAGACACATTGGTTTTCGCACTCTAACTTTAGTTTAAGTGAATGGATCTTTATGAAATTTTACCACAAGGTTCAATACCACAAAAGGAAGGTTGGGATTGATTTTGGGGGTTATGGTAATAACAGTAAAGGAATTAGGGGCCAAAAAGGGGCCAAAAATAAGCATTTTTGTAACTTCCAGACATAACTTGTGTGTTAGTGTATGGATCTCTCTGACATTGTACCACAAGGTTCCATATCACAAAAGGAATGCTGGGATTGTTTTTGGGGGTAATTGCCTCCAAATTTTAGGAATTAGGGGCCAAAAAAGGGGCAAAAAACAAGCATTTTTCTAGTTTCATGACAATAACTTGTGTGTAAGTGTATGGATCTTTCTGAAATTGTACTACAAGGTTCCATATCACAAAGGGAAAGCTTGGTTTGAGTTTGGGGGTAATTGCCCTAAACGTTTAGGAATTTGGGGCCAAAAAGGGGCCAAAAAACACATTTTTTTCTAGTTTCCAGACAATAACTTGTGTTCAAGTGTATGGATCTCTCTGAAATTGTACTGCAAGGTACCATACCACAAAGTGAAGGCTGGGATTGAGTTTGGGGGTGATGAATCATAATGGGGGTTCAAAAAATTTTGGGGGGGGATTTATTTTTTTTTCCTTTTTTTTCTTTTTTTCCTTTTTTGTTTCTTTTAAAATTTTCCATTTTAAGTTGGTTATTTCTGATTTATATTTAAAATCAAATAATAATGATATGGTAGGAGATACACACCAAACAGGATGTGTAAATTATTATATAATAAGTATTGTGCAATAGCAAGAAATTTTCAATTGCACAGTATTGCACAATAGCAAGAAATCTTCAATTGCACAGTATTGCGCAATAGCAAGAAATCTTCAATTGCACAGTATTGCGCAATAGCAAGAAATATCCAATAGCACAATATTGCGCAATAGCAAGAAATTGTCAATTGTACAGTATTGCGCAATAGCAAGAAATATTTAATAGCACAGGATTGTGCAAAAGAAGATACTTCCTATAAATTGCTTATTTCTTGACCAATTTCAATGGGGTTTTATTCTTGATTTCATGGGGTTCTTTAATATGCTGAATCTAACCGTGTATTTAGTTTTTGGATTTTGGGCCCCGTTTTTAAATTGGTCCACATTGAGGTCCAAAGGGTCCAAAATTAAATTTGTTTGATTTCATCAAAAATTGAATTATTGGGGTTCTTTGATATGCCGAATCTAACTGTGTATTTAGATTCTTAAATTTTGGTTCCGTTTTCAAATTGGTCTACATTAAGGTCCAAAGGGTCCAAAATTAAACTTAGTTTGATTTTAACAAAAATTGAATTCTTAGGGTTCTTTGATATGCTGAATCTTAACATGTATTTAGATTTTTGATTATGGGCCCAGTTTTCAAGTTGGTCCAAATCGGGGTCCAAAATTAAACTTTGTTTGATTTCAACAAAAAATGAAAATATGGGGTTCTTTGATATGCTGAATCTAACCATGTATTTAGATTTTTGATTTTTGGGCCCCGTTATCAACTTTGTCCACATTGAGGTCAAAAGGGTCCAAAATTAAACTTTGTTTGATTTCATCAAAAATTGAATTATTGGGGTTCTTTGATATGCCGAATCTAACCGTGTATTTAGATTCTTAATTTTTGGTTCTGTTTTCAAATTGGTCTACATTAAGGTCCAAAGGGTCCAAAATTAAACTTAGTTTGATTTTAACAAAAATTGAATTCTTAGGGTTCTTTGATATGCTGAATCTAAACATGTATTTAGATTTTTGATTATGGGCCCAGTTTTCAAGTTGGTTCAAATCGGGGTCCAAAATTAAACTTTGTTTGATTTCAACAAAAATTGAATATATGGGGTTCTTTGATATGCTGAATCTAACCATGTAATTAGATTTTTGATTTTTGGGCCCCGTTATCAACTTTGTCCACATTGAGGTCAAAAGGGTCCAAAATTAAACTTTGTTTGATTTCATCAAAAATTTAATTCTTGGGGTTCTTTGATATGCTGAATCTAACCATGTATTTAGATTTTGGATATTGGACCATAATAGGTGAATGTCCAATTTAAAATTTTTAAGTTCTTAGACCACATTCAATCTGTGTTAGAAACCTATGCTGTGTCAAATATTTAATCACAATCCAAATCCAAAGCTGTATCAAGCTTGAATGTTGTGTCCTTACTTCCCCCAACTGTTCAGGGTTCGACCTCTGCGGTCGTATCAAGCTGCGCCCTGCGGAGCATTTTATTCACTATGTTTGTATCGTTTCAATCAAGCAGATACCAGTTTATTTCAACCAATGCATTGAAAAGAAACGAGAAATTTGTAATGAAAGGTTTAGTTTTTATATTTATCAGTATTAATTTGATATTGAATAGAAATAACTAATTAATATGGATGAGTTAAAATTATTAGTTTGAAAAATGATAAGAGCGCACTCTACAATATAAATAACAAAGATGGCGGAACGTAAACAAACCACCTCGCCCGCGAAATTGAAATTTTTCTCTTATTTCTTGCTAATTGTACTCTATAGTCCGCACCCCGTCTGGAAGGTCCAATTTTGGAAAATAAAACCGCGGACTATACATATACAAGCCTTTCTACGGTAATATTATTAAAAGATACAATTTGAAGTTATTTATATTGATTTGCATATATGTGCCTGATCTGAACATTTTCCTTTTTATATATATATATTGGTATAGATTACCTTATTACTTAGAATTCTGGCAAAAAAATAAAAGAATCTTTTAAAACCTTGTTGTAATTGTAATGGGTGATTTGTAATTTTTTCAGCGCTGGCCAATGAATCCTTATGATTTTATGGGACCACCACCAAGAGGACATCCTCCATATCCTCCACCTTACAGAATGCCTCCAGGACCACCTAATCAGGTAGCTTACCTTTAGTAACTTCATATTAAAATTGACAAAATTACACAGTGATGTAAATAGCTCTTTAAAATTAAAGGATATGGACAAGAGTATTGTTGAATTTTTTGGGCAAATTAAAGACAAATTAAATCTGTCTGCTGTTTTCAAATATTCAGATAATACATCACAGTATAGTTTTAGAACAAGTAAGTCAAGGATCAATTTTGAATTATTATATTTTAAGCGTCCTCCATTTTCCCAGCCTCCCCCATCAATGAGTCCTGCAGTTACACCTACAAAAAAGCCAGTAGAAGATGATGATGAAGTGTGGCGACAAAAAAGACAGCAAAGAAAGGAGGAAAAATCTGATGCTATAGAGAGAGCAAGACTAAGGAGGGACGAAGAGGAGAAAAAGATTGAACAAGACAGGAAGGCTGCAGCTGCTGAGAAGCTGAGACAACTTGATGAGAGGACTGGGAAAAAGAAAGAGGATTCAGTAAGGGTTAATTTTATAAAATTTGCTAGTCTCGACTCTTCCATTGCTTGTTGATACTAAAAATGAATTAAAATAGCATAATTTTGTCCAATATTTTTATTTATTTTGTATGAAATAATACTGAAAATATTAAGTGTATATTTTGGATTAAAACATACACACTTGAAATAGTGTTTTATTATACATGTCGTATGAAGTTAAGGATTTTAACATGGTAATGGTTGTTCTAGAAGAAGGAACATAGGTCTTTTAGGGCAATTTTTTAAGAAGCCTCTTCACCAATTTAATTTTAAACATGGGACACAATTATATAATGTGTTCAAGACCTAGCCATCCTTAAAAATTGATATGCTATAGTCTTCACACCCAGAAATTATTCTTGAACAGCCCAAGAATTATTGGAGAAATGTAACTTGTAGAAAAGATGGTATACATATTTTTATACGAACGCAAAAATTAAAAATTTTTTGGTCGTATATTGGTATGACGTTGGCGGCGTCGTCCGAAGACACATTGGTTTTCGCACTCTAACTTAAGTTTAAGTGAATAGATCTCCATGAAATTTTACCATAAGGTTCAATACCACGAAAGGAAGGTTGGGATTGATTTTGGGGGTTATGGTACCAACAGTTAAGGAATTAGTGGCCAAAAAGGGGCCAAAAATAAGCATTTTTGTAACTTCCAGACAATAACTTGTGTGTAAGTGTATGGATCTCTCTGACATTGTACCACAAGGTTCCATATCACAAAGGGAAGGCTTTAATTGATTTTGGGGGTAATTGCCTCAAAATTTCAGGAATTAGGGGCCAAAAAAAAGGGGCAAAAAACAAGCATTTTTCTAGTTTCATGACAATAACTTGTGTGTAAGTGTTTGGATATTTCTGAAATTGTACTACAAGGTTCCATTTCACAAAGAGAAAGCTGGAATTGAGTTTGGGGGTAATTGCCCGAAACGTTTAGGAATTGGGGGCCAGAAAGGGGCCAAAAAACACATTTTTCTAGTTTCCAGACAATAACTTGTGTTCAAGTGTATGGATCTCTCTGAAATTGTACTGCAAGGTACCATACCACAAAGGGAAGGCTGGGATTGAGTTTGGGGGTGATGAATCATAAGGGGGTTCAAAAAATTTGGGGGGGGGGGATTTTTTTTTTTTCTTTTTTTTTCTTTTTTTCCTTTTTTTTTTCTTTTAAAATTTTCCATTTTAAGTTGGTTATTTCTGATTTATATTTAAAATCAAATAATAATGATATGGTAGGAGATACACACCAAACAGGATGTGTAAATTATTATATAATAAGTATTGTGCAATAGCAAGAAATTTTCAATTGCACAGTATTGCACAATAGCAAGAAATCTTCAATTGCACAGTATTGCGCAATAGCAAGAAATCTTCAATTGCACAGTATTGCGCAATAGCAAGAAATATCCAATAGCACAATATTGCGCAATAGCAAGAAATTGTCAATTGTACAGTATTGCGCAATAGCAAGAAATATTCAATTGCACAGTATTGTGCAAAAGAAGATACTTCGTATAAATTGCTTATTTCTTGATCAATTTCAATGGGGTTTTATTCTTGAATTCTTGGGGTTCTTTAATATGCTGATTCTAACTGTGTATTATGTTTTTGGATTTTGGGCCCCGTTTTTGAATTGGTCCACATTGAGGTCCAAAGGGTCCAAAATGTAACTTTGTTTGATTTCATCAAAAATTGAATTATTGGGGTTCTTTGATATGCCGAATCTAACCGTGTATTTAGATTCTTAATTTTTGGTCCCGTTTTCAAATTGGTCTACATTAAGGTCCAAAGGGTCCAAAATTAAACTTAGTTTGATTTTAACAAAAATTAAATTTTTAGGGTTCTTTGATATGCTGAATCTAAACATGTATTTAGATTTTTATACGCCCGTTTACGGGACGTATTATGGTATACCGTTGTCCGTCTGTCCGTCCGTCCGTCTGTCCGTCGTCAACATGTCGGACATTAACTCAAAATTGCTTAAACCAATTTGCATAAAACTTTGGTGAATTGTTTATATCTATTGACGTGAGCTCCCTTTCGTTTTTTATAAAATTTAGATTTTACGTTTCCGAGTTTTGGGGTTTTATTCATTAAAAAAAGGGGGATTTTCCAGTTTTCGGACAATAAGTCAAGAATGCTTTCACCAACTTGCAAGAAATTGTGGTGAATTGTTTATATCTATTGACATGAGCTCCCTTTTGATTTTTATAAATTTTAGATTTTACGTTTCCGAGTTACGGGGTTTTATTCATAAAAAAAGGGGGGACTTTCCAGTTATCAGACAAAAACTCACAAATGCTTTCAGCAATTCTTATGAAACTTTGGTGAATTGTTTGTATGTATTGATGTAAGCTCCCTTTAGAATTTTATAAATTTTACATTTTACATTTCTGAGTTATGGGGTTTTATTCATTAAAAAGGGGTGATTTTCCAGTTTTCTGACAATAACTCAAAAATGCTGTCACCAATTCTCATGAAACTTTGGTGAATTGTTTATATCTATTGATGTAAGCTCCCTTTTTATTTTCATAAATTTCTAATATGACATTGAGAATTAATTATACTTTATTTGTTTATAGTCTGACAACAGATTTACTAAGTATTGCACAACAGCAAGAAATCTTTAATTGAACATAAATTCAATTCATATAACCAATTTCAAGTTCTTTGAATACATTTATTCAGACACCTATAATATGTCAAATATTTAATTACAATCCAAATTCAGACCTGAATCAAGCTTGAATATTGTGTCCATTTTTGCCCCAACTGTTCAGGGTTGGACCTCTGCGGGCGTATCTAGCTGCGCTCTGCGAAGCAGTTTATTGATTATGGGCCCAGTTTTCAAGTTGGTCCAAATCGGGGTCCAAAATTAAACTTTGTTTGATTTCAACAAAAATTGAATATATTTGGTTCTTTGATATGCTGAATCTAACCATGTATTTAGATTTTTGGGCCCCGTTATCAAGCTTGAATGTTGTGTCCATACTTGCCCCAACTGTTCAGGGTTCGACCTCTGCAGTCGTATCAAGCTGCGCCCTGCGGAGCATTTTATTTGCATCTTTCGTTCTATAATTTGTATTGCAGTATTTCATATAATCTTGTTATGCATAGCAGAAAAAAGATTGTTGATCTTTATGATGATAATGATGCATCATAATCTTCAATGATGAGATATCCATCATTCGCCATTCTGAAAGATCTTATAAAGATTAAGTGTTTCAGCATTTGACCCTTATATTTGATTTAATGCTTACAAGTGTGTCTGTTTTAGGACAAAGATGGTGAATCTGACACTAAATCTGAGGGGAGATCAAGTAGAACTCCCAGTGAAAGCAGTGAGAAAGATTCCAGAGAACGCTCATACAGCAGAGAACAACATAAATTTTCCCCCGGAGAAGGTGTAAGTAAATTTATATAAGGATATTTCCAAATGTACTTGTTTCCCGCTGCATGATAATGGTTTCTGTCCATTCAAAACAAATCAATACTTAAAGACTGTTTGACAGACAGCTTGCAGTTTGTTTTCAATGTCAGTTTGTTTCGTTGTCAGTTTGTTTTCGATCTATGAGTTTGACTGTCCCTCATATATCTTTCGTCCCTCTTTTGCAAACTTGGTAGGCTTTTTTGTTATCGTATTTTGATATTCTCTTAAAAATACGGTACCATCAGTTTAATTTGACCCTTTTTACAGTTTAGGGAGTCAAGGACACTTACTTACATCTAAGAAAAAATAAAAAATGGTTTCCGGATGGTAATTGAGTTTCGGGCCAAAGGTCACTGTCATAAAATGTATTTGAAAAAAATGTATTTGTTGCGGGATGTATCCCACTATGAATTGTAACAACATTTATACAGGTGAAAAATCTGCAACAACGGTAATGTTTATTTGTCCCTCCAAGCATACTAGCAATTTGTACCCTATAAATAAAAATGTTTTCTCTCAATAAATATGCAGTTCAGCATCAGTTGGCAGTGCCAGCTTTATTTGTTTCTGTTTTTTTTTTTGTAATTCAAAACCAATGGTCAGCAAAGAACAGAACTTTTACAAATTCAGTGGATCAGAAAAGTACCAATCATTTTATTTAGAGACACAGTTGATCTTTATGATGATAATGATGAAGCATAGTCTCCACAAGGATGAGATATCCATCATTCGCCATACTGAAAGATCACCAAAGTTGAAAAAATATTCACATTTAATATTAGTTTTGAATATTATTAGTTTATATAAACTGGAAACTATAATTTTATATTCTAGACTAGCAAGTCATCTTCAAGAACTGTACCTCCACGCTTCCAGCGACAGCAGTCTGATCAACAGATGCCTCCAAGATCACAGCCCCAACAACAACCAGGGTCTCCTCAGCCACATCCAGCTCAAATGAGACCAGGCCAGCCACCACCACCTTGGGGATTTTGGCCACCAATGCCTTTCATGGGTTATGGTCCTAGACCCCCTATGGATATGTCCAGTAAGATTCTGTAAAAAGAAATAAGTGTTTGTGCTGTTCTTCAAAGTTCCCTGTACTGACAAAAGCATGAAAAACATTTGTAGTTTAATGCAAGAAAATAAAATAAAACTAGCAAAATGCTATGACCAACAGAAGTGCAAAACTTGATACATTACAGAAGTTCTGAAACTTTAAGCTAGAAATAAACTGTTCTGAAGTTCAGCTTCATACTTGCACTGTACATGCCTTTTGATCAAAAACCAGAAACGTGAATACCACTTTATTATGATAACAATCAAATTGGCATCTAAAATTTGGCGAACACAAGCAATGGGTGCTATATTGGTTTCACATTGTACGTCCGTCCGTCCAATCACCCATCAAATAATTTGGTCGGCAACTTAACAGTCCTGAGTTAAACTTTAGGATCTGTATGACGCCTACTTTGGATATTTATAATTACAATTTGTTGTATGCTTAACAGGACAACACATGAAACTTTTTGTTTCTTAATTCAGTGACAAATATTTCATTATATTCAGATATGCCGATGTATCCACCTGTGAGGCGACGCAATGATAGTCATGGTTCAGGAACAGAGAGTCAAGATAATGATGGTAAACATGACTACGAAAGAGATCCAAGAGCTTGGCAAAATTATCCTGTACCTCCTCATCCAGGTGGGTATATCTTTTTAGTTATACTTTGTAAAAATAGCTGTTCTCAAACCACACCTCTTTTGGTGAGATATTTAATATTGTTTTGTTTGCCTACTGGTTCATAGATATGATATCATTGAGGTACAACTTGGGAATTTTACCAGTATAAATACAATTTGATAGCAGTTAAAATAAATTCTCAGAACTTAAGAAAAGGAGGTTGTAGTACATATTTTGGTGTAAGCTTCAATTTCAAGGATTTGAGGCATATAATTTTTGATAATATGCTGCACAACCCTATATTTTGGCTTCCAAAAAATAGAAGTTGTGCATGAAATCTTCATTCAGTATAAGAATTTTGATGAAACTTGGTAATAAAAGTACAAACAGGTAACCTACATATTTTGTGTACAGTATTCTTGTAGGTAGAGAAAGGAAAATAGCTTTTTGGGAGATATATCTTGGACCTATAGTAATATCGACCCACATATATACATAAAATCTTGGAAAACCATAAAAGCTTTTCAGCAGATTGATTTAAAAAGTATTAGCATTGTGACTCTTAACCCAGGAACTTATTTTGAATTCTTAACTGTTTTTCAGGTCAGTTTGATGGGCGCCCACCATTCTTTGATGGCAGGATGTATCAAGATTATGATAGAGGTTTTCTAGAATATGATAGACGGTATGTGTTCAGCAAATATGTGATCCAAAATAGATTTTCATATAGAATGAAATGCACATTATTCCTTTTTCCCTTTAATTTTTACTCAAATCTACAGTATAATAATGTAGAAAGAGTGCCATGCTTTCTACATGTTAAAAACCCTTGCAACAACTCATTTAGGGGTTCGTAGGTAACCTGTTGATTCTTAATTGCTGTCCCTATCCAATATACCCTCATTATTATTGGCATTCCAAATTTCCTGCCCACTTTTGAGGTACATGTAGACCCCTATTACAGGACCTTCCTATTGTAATTATTTTATTAATTTGGTCTTGACTGAACATGCATGAAATATTTGCCACTGAATTTAAAGCAAACAACAATCAAATAATAAATGTTTTTTTAGGGAGCATGAAAAGAAAGAAAGTGGAAAAGATAATAAGAGGGATCGATCGTTTTCTGGTGATTATGAAGAAGATGAGGATCTAGACAGACCTACAAAGGAACAGGAGCCTAAGCAACCAGTCATACAAAAAGATCCTTTTGATGATACACCTGACAAAGAAAGCAAAGATGACAGAGCTACTACACCAAGGTTTGTTTTATTGGTGATTTAAATCCTTCAGATTTTAAACAGGCCAGTTATTTGCCAAACTAGGTCCAGCACAAATCATCAGGACTGACCATGAACGCACATTTTGCAAAGCAAATTGTCCAAGAAACTATTAGAATTTTAGATTTATTAACTTGTATGTTTATTATTTGAATAGAATGGTTTTTATACGCCCGTTTACGGGACGTATTATGGTATACCGTTGTCCGTCTGTCCGTCCGTCCGTCCGTCCGTCCGTCCGTCTGTCCGTCCGTCCGTCTGTCCGTCTGTCCGTCCGTCGTCAACATGTCGGACATTAACTCAAAAACGCTTTAACCAATTTGCATAAAACTTTGGTGAATTGTTTGTATCTATTGACGTGAGCTCCCTTTCGTTTTTTATAAATTTTAGATTTTACTTTTCCGAGTTATGGGGTTTTATTCATTAAAAAAAGGGGGATTTTCCAGTTTTCGGACAATAACTCAAGAATGCTTTCACCAACTTGCAAGAAATTGTGGTGAATTGTTTATATCTATTGACATGAGCTCCCTTTCAATTTTTATGTATTTTAGATTTAACGTTTCCAAGTTACAGGGTTTTATTCATAAAAAAAGGGGGATTTTCCAGTTTTCGAACAAAAAACCAAAAATGCTTTCAGCAGTTAGTATGAAACTTTGGTGAATTGTTTATATCTATTGATGTAAGCTCCGTTTAGAATTTTATAAATTTTACATTTTACATTTCTGAGTTATGGGGTTTTATTCATTAAAAAAGGGGGGATTTTTCAGTTTTCAGACAATAACTCAAAAATGCTGACAGCAATTCTCATGAAACTTTGGTGAATTGTTTATATCTATTGATGTAAGCTCCCTTTACATTTTCATAAATTTCTAATATGACATTGAGAATTAATTGAACTTTATTTGTTTATAGTCTGACAACAGATTTACTAAGTATTGCACAACAGCACAGTGTATTGCACAACAGCAAGAAATCTTTAATTGAATATAAATTCAATTCATATAACCAATTTCAAGTTCTTAGACTACATTTATTCAGAAACCTATAATATGTCAAATATTTAATACAATCCAAATTCAGACCTGTATCAAGCTTGAATATTGTGTCCATTTTTGCCCCAACTGTTCAGGGTTGGACCTCTGCGGGCGTATCCAGCTGCGCTCAGCGAAGCAGTTTATTACACATCATAGGTCATTTGTTGTGTCACCTGACAGCATCCAGCTGTCATAAAGCAACAAAGGGTTAACTTCTTTTTGTCTTGTATTCTCCACATCACACTTGATGATAATCTGCAACTCCTTGACAATGGCTGGACAGAATACTGCAGGTCCTGAAGTTCTGCACCTGCTATTTTAATATTTATTTTAAATGATCTTTTGGGTTTCCCATCACTGCTTATATTGTTTGAAGACAAACAGGTCGTCCTTGAAAAATAGTATTCATGAAGAAATAAAAAAATAAATAGATTAGTAATTCAAGCACTGACACTCTATAACTGAGTTTAATAGACAGACAATTTGTTGCTTTATAAATGATGTTTAAAGTTTATATTTAGGGAAGAAAAGAAAAAAACAGAAGAAACCTCTAAACCAAAGGTGGAAGAAAGACCAAAAGACAGTTCAGTCAAAGCAGACAAGGAAACAAGTAGAGAAAAGAGGTCTGATCATCAGAAAGACAAGGATAGAAGTAAGGAGAAATATGATAGAAGAGATCGCTATGATGATAGAAGGCGAGACCACAGATATGATGACAGACAGAGAGACAAGTACGACGATTCACACAGTAATAAACAGACTGATAATTACTGGAACCCTTCCTCGTACAATAAATATGGTAGTAAGTATTAGTAACAAACTTGAAAAATAAGATGACTATGCCACTTTTCAGTTATGAAAATTATATACATTGGATTATGCAGGCAAATTGTCAAAATGGTCGTTCATTCATACAAGAAAAAAAAATCATAATCATTGTTGGGCCTCATAATACTTTACAGCTAAACAACAGAGTATTGTTCACTCAATAAGTTCTGTGGCCAATAGCTTTGCGGGGCATAAATTTGTCTAGTTCACAATTGTTAGTTTATAAAATTGTTTTTGAAAGAGTAATTCTATTCTTTAATATGGATGGAAATTTATTTTCTTTGACATTTCAGAGAGAGAACATCCAGCTTGTCCACCTCCAATTACACCTCAACAAACACAGCAGGTGCCATCCAGAGGCAGTCATTATACTTCACTCAAAAGAAGTGCATCCAACATGTCAAGTGGAGCATCTACACCTAGTGATCGCAAGACAGAATCTCCTAAAGAATTTGTTGATAAATCAGATTCTAGTAAACCAAAGTCGCTAAGCAAGGTAGATATTGTAAAATGGTATTTAAAAAAAAAACAGCAACAAATTAAGAGGAAAATAATTATAACCAAGTTATTTTCTGAAGACCTCAAAGTAGTCTTTTGTGAAACATGAACAACTTTTTATGCCCCCGCCAAAGCGGAGGGGGCATTAAATTTTACCCTTGTCCGTCCGTATGTCCCAAAATTGGTTTCCGATCTCTAACTTAAGTTTGCCTCAACCAAATGTTATCAAACTTATACACAATGTTTATTACCACAAAACACAGATCAATTTTGAATTTTGGGGGCGTCACTTTTACTGTTCTAGAGTTATGCCCTTTACAAATGGAAAAATTTAGCAAATTTTTATACGACCACAAAAATTTTTGCGGTCGTATATTGGTATGACGTCGGCGTCGTCCGAAGACACATTGGTTTTCGCACTCTAACTTTAGTTTAAGTGAATGGATCTCTATGAAATTTTACCATAAGGTTCAATACCACAAAAGGAAGGTTGGGATTGATTTTCGGGGTTATGGTACCAACAGTTAAGGAATTAGGGGCCAAAAATAAGCATTTTTGTAACTTCCAGACATAACTTGTGTGTTAGTGTATGGATCTCTCTGACATTGTACCACAAGGTTCCATATCACAAAGGGAAAGCTGGGATTGATTTTTTGGGTAATTGCCTCAAAATATTAGGAATTGGGGGCCAAAAAAGGTGCAAAAAACAAGCATTTTTCTAGTTTCATGACAATAACTTGTGTGCAAGTGTATGGATCTTTCTGAAATTGTACTACAAGGTTCCATATCACAAAGGGAAAGCTGGAATTGAGTTTGGGGGTAATTGCCTGAAACGTTTAGGAATAAGGGGCCAAAAATAAGCATTTTTCTAGTTTCCAGACAATAACTTGTGTTCAAGTGTATGGATCTCTCTGAAATTGTACCACAAGGTTCCATATCACACAGGGAATGCTGGGATTGATTTTGGGGGTAATTGCCTCAAAATTTTAGGAATTAGGGGGCAAAAAAAGGGCAAAAAACAAGCATTTTTCTAGTTTCATGACAATAACTTGTGTGTAAGTGTTTGGATATTTCTGAAATTGTACTACAAGGTTCCATATCACAAAGGGAAAGCTGGAATTGAGTTTGGGGGTAATTGCCCGAAACGTTTAAGGAATTGGGGGCCAAAAAGGGGCCAAAAAACACATTTTTCTAGTTTCCAGACAATAACTTGTGTTCAAGTGTATGGATCTCTCTGAAATTGTACTGCAAGGTACCATACCACAAAGGGAAGGCTGGGATTGAGTTTGGGGGTGATGAATCATAAGGGGGTTCAAAAAATTGGGGGGGAGATTTTTTTTTTTGCCTTTTTTTTTCTTTTTTTCCTTTTTTTTTTCTTTTAAAATTTTCCATTTTAAGTTGGTTATTTCTGATTTATATTTAAAAGCAAATAATAATGATATGGTAGGAGATACACACCAAACAGGATGTGTAAATTATTATATAATAAGTATTGTGCAATAGCAAGAAATTTTCAATTGCACAGTATTGCACAATAGCAAGAAATCTTCAATTGCACAGTATTGCGCAATAGCAAGAAATCTTCAATTGCACAGTATTGCGCAATAGCAAGAAATATCCAATAGCACAATATTGCTCAATAGCAAGAAATTGTCAATTGTACAGTATTGCGCAATAGCAAGAAATATTTAATTGCACAGTATTGTGCAAAAGAAGATACTTTGTATAAATTGCTTATTTCTTGACCAATTTCAATGGGGTTTTATTCTTGAATTCTTGGGGTTCTTTAATATGCTGAATCTAACCGTGTATTTAGTTTTTGGAATTTGGTCCCCTTTTTTAAATTGGTCCACATTGAGGTCCAAAGGGTCCAAAATTAAACTTTGTTTGATTTCATCAAAAATTGAATTTTTGGGGTTCTTTGATATGCCGAATCTAACCCTGTATTTAGATTCTTAATTTTTGGTTCCGTTTTCAAATTGGTCTACATTAAGGTCCAAAGGGTCCAAAATTAAACTTAGTTTGATTTTAACAAAAATTGAATTCTTAGGGTTCTTTGATATGCTGAATCTCAACATGTATTTAGATTTTTGATTATGGGCCCAGTTTTCAAGTTGGTCCAAATCGGGGTCCAAAATTAAACTTTGTTTGATTTCAACAAAAATTGAATATATGGGGTTCTTTGATATGCTGAATCTTACCAAGTATTTAGATTTTGGATATTGGACCATAATAGGTGAATGTCCAATTTAAAATTTTTGTTCTTAGACCACATTCATTCTGTGTCAGAAACCTATGCTGTGTCAAATATTTAATCACAATCCAAATGCAAAGCTGTATCAAGCTTGAATGTTGTGTCCATACTTGCCCCAACTGTTCAGGGTTCGACCTCTGCAGTCGTATCAAGCTGCGCCCTGCGGAGCATTTTATTAAAATTGGAGTTATCTTTCTTTTTCCATGATTATAGTTGAATCAACTACAATCAATGCTTTATACAATGCAATGTTTAATTTTGACTTCCACTGATAAAACACAGATCAAGTTGAATTTGGGTAGTGTCACTTTAACCATTATTGAGTTATGCCCCTTTATAAATCGAAAGATTGCAAAATTTTTAGTTTCCATTCTGTAACTTTAGTTTGCCTCAACCAAATGTTATGAAACTTATACACAATGCTTATTACTACATAATACAGATTAAGTACGAAATTTGGTGGCTACACTTTTACAATTCTTGAGTTATGTCCCTTTATAAACATAAAAATTGCTGAATTTTTTGTTTCCATTCTCTAACTTTAGTTTGTCTCAACCAAATGTTTTAAAACTTATACACAACCGTTCTAGAGTTGTGCGTGTTTACAAATAAAAAAAATTGCTGAATTTTTAGTTTCTGTTCTCTACTTAAGTTAGCCTCAACCAAATGTTATGAGACTTGCACACAGTGCTTATTACCACAAAACTCAGATCAAGTTTAAATTTGGGTAGTGTCACTTTTACCGTTCTTCAGTTATGTCCCTTTATGACTATATGATATGCAAGCGGGGGGCATCTGTGTCCACATGTGGACACTATCCACATTTATTTTTTTTTTTTTTTTATATCTTGAAATTTATTTTTGAATACCCAACAGAGCAAAACAAATCGATCATGTGTATGTCTGGCACATATTACCATTTGTAGCAACTTTAATGTAAGTGTTAGAATGTCTACCCCTTAATTTCCTTTATATTAACATGATTTTTGAGTTTAAATTATTAGAAAAATTTAAAAACTGCAAAGAATTTGGCCAGTCCCCCTTATCCTAAAGGAACATATTTTTTGAAAAATATGAATGTACTATTTAATAATAAACTCAGTAAAAGAATTTGTCTGGTGATTTTTAGTTACCAAAATTTAAATGACAAAAAAAAATAACTTTACAAATTAAGCCCTTCCCCTTTACACCCTTTTCCCAATTAAATTGGTGTAGATTGAATTATATATACCAAGTTTAACTATTTTCCTGGCACTCCTATATCAGCTGTTTATTTTAAATGTCTATAAATATCCAGACAGGGTTGTCTGTTATTTAGGTGTTTCCCCAAGTATTTTTTCCGCCAAAAGTGATCATGTGACACGTTTGTCAACAAAAGAAAGCATGTGGTCAAGGAATTCATTTAATTTCTGGATTATACTGCTTTTAATAATTTAGTTTGGATTGATATGCATTCCATTTAAGGTACAGTCAAGCATTTGTATTTAAAAAAACAAGTTTGCAAACAATTTTTATACGCCCGTTTACGGGACGTATTATGGTATACCTCTGTCCGTCCGTCCGTCTGTCCGTCGTCAACATGTTGGACAGTAACTCAAAAGTGCTTTAACCAATTTGCATAAAACTTTGGTGAATTGTTTATATCTACTGACGTGAGCTCCCTTTCGTTTTTTATAAAATTTAGATTTTACGTTTCCGAGTTATGGGGTTTTATTCATTAAAAAAAGGGGGATTTTCCAGTTTTCGGACAATAAGTCAAGAATGCTTTCACCAACATGCAAGAAATTGTGGTGAATTGTTTATATCTATTGACATGAGCTCCCTTTCGATTTTTATAAATTTTATATTTTACGTTTCCGAGTTACAGGGTTTTATTCATAAAAAAAGGGGGGATTTTCCAGTTTTCGGACAAAACCTCAAAAATGCTTTCAGCAATTCTTATGAAACTTTGGTGAATTGTTTGTATGTATTGATATAAGCTCCCTTTAGAATTTTATAAATTTTACATTTTACATTTCTGAGTTATGGGGTTTTATTCATTAAAAAAGGGGTGATTTTCTAGTTTTGGGACAATAACTCAAAAATGCTGTCACCAATTCTCATGAAACTTTGGTGAATTGTTTATATCTATTGATGTAAGCTCCCTTTTTATTTTCATAAATTTCTAATATGACATTGAGTATTGCACAACAGCAAGAAATCTTTAATTGAACATAAATTCAATTCATATAACCAATTTCAAGTTCTGTGAATACATTTATTCAGAAACCTATAATATGTCAAATATTTAATTACAATCCAAATTCAGACCTGAATCAAGCTTGAATATTGTGTCCATTTTTGCCCCAACTTTTCAGGGTTGGACCTCTGCGGGCGTATCTAGCTGCACTCAGCGAAGCAGTTTATTACTTTTCAATTTGACAAAACTGGGTCATGATCATTCATTGGCTTGTTCAACCATGCAGACAAAGTAAATTATAAATCAATCAGCTGTCAAAAATATTGATCTCTGCATCACATAGATTTTTCGACATCGACTTCGGTTTAGTTTCTTGTCAAAACAATGTCGAATTATAAATCTTCTAAGCAAAACGATGTGTTTGGGACTCAGGGGATACAATCTGGACGCGTCCCAGGGACTCACGGGTTTCAAAAATGACGCGTTCAGCTCAATTTCCATGCGTCCAGGACGCAGATACGCGTCTTAACGAGAACCTTGAACATATGGGGTATCTGGACTCCTGTCTGAGTCACCCTAGTTGTCAGAAACAAACAGATAAAAGGACAGGGAACCAGTCTACCATGCCGGCAAGTACGCAAGTTCGTACCCGATCTGGTCGTACCCGGATCCGGTCATACCCCAGATATTTAAAAAAAAAATTTCAACTCAGAACTCAAAATAAAAATTTGAGTCGGCGGCTATTTTCTCAGTCGGTCGGGGCGTGGGGAAACAAACTTAATTTTAATTTTGGTCTTATACAGATTAAGTACGAAATTAGTGGCGCCACTTTTACCATTCTGGAGTTATGTCCCTTTATAAACATAAAAATTGCTGAATTTTTTGTTTCCATTCTCTAACGTTAGTTTGTCTCAACCAAATGTTATAAAACTTATACACAATGCTTATTACCACAAAACTCAGATCAAGTTCAAATTTGGGTAGCCTCACTTTTACCGATCTTCAGTTATGTCCCTTTATAACTATATGATATACAAGCGGGGGCACCATCTGTGTCCTCGTGTGGACACAATCCACATTTTTTTTTTTTTTTTTAAAGGAAGTCGTGCTATGTTCAAAATGCTGTGATGAAAAGGGAAAAAATTCAAACATTGCTAAAGGTACACTTTTAAAAGATTTAAGTCCTAAAGGTACACTTCCATAAGATTGAGTGCTAAAGGTATGTTCCATTAGATTATGTCATACCAAAACATGGACTTTGCATTTTTCTGCTTTTATTATTTGGAGACATCAGGGGACGCATGTTTTTCTTTGGAAGACGTGAACAATAATAATTTGGTTGGTCTTACCTATTTAAGATTGTCTAATTCAATATTTCACACTTTTCATTTAATTTTCAGCAGGATTCTAAAGAAAGCAAGCCAGTGCATAAAGAACAAAAACAAGAGAAAACAGAAAAGGCTGACACTGTTGAAAAGTAAGAAATAGAAATATATTGCTGTAGATTGTGGCTATAAATATTGAGTACACAAATATGTAGTGTTAACAATTACTTGAAATGATAGGAAATCTGAAACAGTACATGAAGCTTGACAAGGTCTAAATTGCTGCAAGCCTAGTCAAGTTTTTACTCTATTCAATAGACACTACCAAATAACTGACACCAACTCCAAACTCTTGAAGGGTAAGAAAAAATCAGGAACAACAGCTGGCATGATTACTCATTCTGGATATGCACATACTTGTGTCTTTTCTGTGTTTTTGTCGGGTTGTTGTCTCTTTGACATATTCCCCATTTCCATTCTCAATTTTATTTTTAGCTCACCTGGCCCGAAGGGCCAAGTGAGCTTTTCTCATCACTTGGCGTCCGTCGTCCGTCGTCGGCGTTAACTTTTTACATTTTGAACTTCTTCTAGAGAACCACTGAATGGAATGAAACCAAACATGGCATGAATCTTCCTTATGAGGTGCTGACCAAGTGTTGTTACTTTGTAGCCGATCCATCATCCAAGATGGCCGCCAGCGGGGGACTTAGTTTAACATAGGACCCTATGGGAAATGCATACAAATGACTTCTTTTAGAGAACCACTGAATGGAATGAAACCAAACATGGCATGAATGTTCCTTATGAGGTGCTCACCAAGTGTTGTTACTTTGTAGCCGATCCATCATCCAAGATGGCCGCCAGCGGGGGACTTAGTTTAACATAGGACCCTATGGGAAATGCATACAAATGACTTCTTTTAGAGAACCACTGAATGGAATAAAACCAAACATGGCATGAATGTTCCTTATGAGGTGCTGACCATGTGTTGTTACTTTGTAGCCGATCCATCATCCAAGATGGCCGCCAGCGGGGGACTTAGTTTAACATAGGACCCTATGGGAAATACATACAAATGTCTTCTTTTAGAGAACCACTGAATGGAATGAAACCAAACATGGCATGAATGTTCCTTATGAGGTGCTGACCAAGTGTTGTTACTTTGTAGCTGATCCATCATCCAAGATGGCTGCCAGCGGGGGACTTAGTTTAACATAGGACCCTATGGGAAATACATAAAAATGTCTTCTTTTAGAGAACCACTGAATGGAATGGAACCAAACATGGCATGAATGTTCCTTATGAGTTGCTGACCAAGTGTTGTTACTTTGCAGTCGGTCCATCATCCAAGATGGCCGCCAGCGGGGGACTTAGTTTAACATAGGACCCTATGGGAAATACATACAAATGTCTTCTTTTAGAGAACCACTGAATGGAATGAAACCAAACATGGCATGAATGTTCCTTATGAGGTGCTGACCAAGTGTTGTTACTTTGCAGTCGGTCCATCATCCAAGATGGCCGACAGCAGGGGACTTAGTTTAACAAAGGACCTATGGGAAATACATACAAATGTCTTCTTTTAGAGAACCACTGAATGGAATGAAACCAAACATGGCGTGAATCTTCCTTATGAGATGCTGACCAAGTGTTGTTACTTTGTAGCCGATCCATCATCCAAGATGGCCGCCAGCGGGGGACTTAGTTTTACAAAGGACCCTTTGGGAAATACATAAAAATGTCTTCTTATAGAGAACCAATAAATGGAATGGAACCAAACATGGCATGAATGTTCCTTATGTGATGTTGACCAAGTGTTGTTACTTTGTAGCCGATCCATCATCCAAGATGGCCGCCAGCGGGGGACTTAGTTTAACATAGGACCCTATGGGAAATGCATACAAATGACTTCTTTTAGAGAACCACTGAATGGAATGAAACCAAACATGGCATGAATGTTCCTTATGAGGTGCTCACCAAGTGTTGTTACTTTGTAGCCGATCCATCATCCAAGATGGCCGCCAGCGGGGGACTTAGTTTAACATAGGACCCTATGGGAAACACATACAAATGACTTCTTTTAGAGAACCACTGAATGGAATAAAACCAAACATGGCATGAATGTTCCTTATGAGGTGCTGACCATGTGTTGTTACTTTGTAGCTGATCCATCATCCAAGATGGCCACCATCAGGGAACTTAGTTTAACATAGGACCCTATGGGAAATACATACAAATGTCTTCTTTTAGAGAACCACTGAATGGAATGAAACCAAACATGGCATGAATGTTCCTTATGAGGTGCTGACCAAGGTTGTTACTTTGTAGCTGATCCATCATCCAAGATGGCTGCCAGCGGGGGACTTAGTTTAACATAGGACCCTATGGGAAATACATACAAATGTCTTCTTTTAGAGTACCACTAAATGGAATGAAACCAAACATGGCATGAATGTTCCTTATGAAGTGCTGACCAAGTGTTGCTACTTTGTTGCCGATTTACTGTTCAAGATGGCCACCAGGATATTTTATAAAATAACGGGACCAATATTAATCAAAATTTGGCCTCAATCATTATTTGGGTATCTGTTATGATTTTTATCTATCTTTACATGATTTCTAAAACAAAGTAGAGTCAGGTGAGCGACACAGGCTCTTGAGAGCCTCTAGTTGTTAAAAGCTTTTAGTCTTGATGACTTTCACTCCACATATCTCATTATACATACAGAAACATGTTAAATTACAATAAATATGAAACATTTAAAGGTTGAGTTATGTTGTCTATTTTTCCAGGAGCAAAGATGAAGTTACAGATAAGAAGGAAGATAAAGAAAAGGCTACTAGAAAAGAGGAAAAATCTCGTGAGGAGAAAAAATCTGAAATTAATTTGCTAGATGACAAAAAAGAAAGAATTCAGCCTCCTCAAAAAAAGAAAAAGGAAGATCCATCAGATCGTTATAAGAATACTTCAAAATCTAGAGAATTTGTACGAGGTAGAGGTCGTGGTGCTAGAGGACAATTTATTAGAGGCAGAGGACGAGGAGAATATCGCAGTTATGAAGGTAGACCTGCACGTGGTGGATTTAGGCCAGACAGAGGTGGTAGACCATTTAGTACAGGGAGATGGGGTGACTTTGAGCCAGAGGAACGTGATGAGTATCAACCAAGGAAACATAGAACTGAGGAAAGTGAAGAATCATTTGAGGACTTAAGTGATACTAGTGATAAAGACAATAGAGACAGGGATCATAGAAGTGATCGAGGATTTAGTAGAGGTCGTGGTAGAGGTGGAGTTCAAGACAGGAGAAATAAACAATATGAAAGTGACCGGAAGATCAATCATTTTGAAAGTAATGAGAGGAAAAATGTATGGCATGATAGAGCTAATAATGACTTTGACAATAGGAGACGGGAAGAACGAGGAGAAAATGGGAGAAGTTCAAGTGGCTTTTCTCCACGTGGAGAACCTTCAAGAAGAGGTCGAGGTAATTTTGATAATTTTTTATGACAAAATGCTATGTTTCTGACCGACTGTTTCAGAGAGAGGAATTGTATAGGGGTGTATAATGCGTGTGTTGATTAGATTCAAATTGTCTGCCAGGAAATACTTCAGTATACTGTGGATTCATTTATTTTCAAGGATGGAGGAAAATGATATTTTGGAGTTTGATTTTATGGTTCATCTATTCCCATGAAATCCATAAAATTGGTATCCCACAAATAATGATGAATCCAAAGTATGTGAACCAGAAAGTTTCCCTCTATACAAAATATTAAACTTCTTGCATACATTAATTTACATTTATTGTCTTTAAAAAAAATAATTTTAATGAATACAAGAATTTATTAAGATGTTGATTTTTAGTTGTAGAATGCAGAATTAGGGTCCATTAATATAATAGTTTACTTATTCAGGGGTAGAGGACATGTTTGCTATGATGATTTATTATATCTGTCAATCCCATGAAACAGATGATTACAAATAACTTCTGAGCAAGCAATGACTTCCACAGAATTGCATGGCTTACATGTAAACACATTTCCAATGTCATATGACCTAACCATTGTTTGGCAAAAGATTTAAAATGGCAGCAGTCTAGATTTGAGTGCAAATAAATTGACTTAAAAGCGGCATATTTATGGTTGGGTTGAATGTAGTCCAAAACTGGCTTATAGTATGATGATGATAGGGGGTGGAGGAAAAGGATACGTAGTTTGTGTAATCAACTTCTACATTAGTTGTCAACCTAGATCCTAGAAACTTCACAGAAAGATTGCACAACGATGATTGTGCACCTGTTAGGCCAGGGAAAAATGACTGTTGTTTTCATCTAACCTGACCGGTCTGACTTAAAGAAAAAACGACCATGTCTTGTTCCGATCCAGCAATGTTTTCATATACATTTCAGTTTTCTTGTCAAGAAGTACATCAGTGTCAAGTTAATTTTTTCCCACCTTGGTTTCTAGATCGCCAAAGCGCTTAACTGATCAGAAAGATAATAATAATCTAAAGTGTTTGAAAATTTTCCCATGTTGGGTGGAAACCAATAATCATTTTTCCCTGGCCTTCTGGAATTTTTTCCCATTTTTCTGTCTGTACAAGATAACCTGTTGAATTTCAGAGAATATTTTTAATAAATGTTTGCTATGATGATTTCTAATATCTGTCAATCCCATGAAACAGATGATTACAAAAAACTTCTGAGCAAGCAATGACTTCTGTAGAATTACATAGCTTTCATGTCAACATGTCATCCAATGTCCTATGACATCATTATAGTTAGGCAAACGATTTTAAAAGTGGCACATGTTTTGCAGGTGCTTCATCATCTACAAGGGGAGGAAGAGGAGGTGGAAGATACAACTCTGCCCCACCACCTCGAGGTGGATTTGGTAGACCTCCAACAGCACCAATGAATGATGGTGAAAGAGGAGAAAGACCAAGGTAAATTATTTGTTGAAATTGTTTAAATAAACTTTACTGTTTGTTAGTGTAAAAGCAATCTTACAAAAAAGTTTAAACATCTCATTCATTTTGCTATGATGACTTCTTATATCTGTCAATCCCATGAAACAGGATGATTACACAAGGAATCTGAGCAAATAGATATTATAGACATAACTCGAAACTTATAAATGTATTTTTATGCCCCACTTAGGGGCATCATGTTTTTCGGTCTGTGCGTCCGTTAGTACGTCTGTCCTGCTTCAGGTTAAGTTTTTCAAGGTACCGTAGAAACTCGCCTAATAGTCGATCCTACTATAAGTCGGGGGCCCTTTTCAGCTCCAAATTCTAAGGATTTAGTCTTGACCCTCGTATAAGTCGGACAAAATTTGGGCATTTTTTTTTTCAGCTGACAGTAACTGAACGCCGGTAAAACCAATGCAAATCCAGGAATAATATTCATTTCTGCATTAATGTTTGTTTGGTTTGAATTTAGTTGATGCTCTGACATCATGATAATTTATATTGCTGTTAATAATAAAGATGTTTTCATTTCTCTTGTTTTGTTCACTGTTCAAATGTTAGATTAGCCATGTGTTGTTTACGTAATGCATCAATGATTTTGTAGGGTATGACTAACAACCTATTGTTTGAGAAAAGCGAATATAAACCAATATGAACCTGAAAAATTTAAAGTCAATCAACACTTGATGAAAATATTTTTCACAGCATACATAACTCAGTGTTAAATGAGCATGTACACTTCATAATTCTTATTATATTGTGATGATTAAAGGATTAAAAAAATTAAGTGAAGCTAATCAATATATTAAAATAACTAACTCCAACTCATTAGTGTCATCTGTTTACCTATCACTGATAGTTTTCACACCTTTAGTAAATACAACTCTTTGTCTCTTAATTGGGGTTATCAATGGATTATATTGGCTTGTCAATCAATTTTGTAATTTTTATACGACCGCAAAAAAATTTTGTGGTCGTATATTGGTATGACGTTGGCGTCGTCGTCGTCGTCGTCCGGCGTCGTCGTCGTCGTCCAGCGTCGTCGTCCGAATACATATTGGTTTTCGCACTCTAACTTTAGTTTAAGTGAATGGATCTTTTTGAAATTTGACTATAAGGTTAAATACCATAAAAGGAAGGTTGGGATTGATTTTGGGGGTTATGGTACCAACAGTTAAGGAATTAGGGGCCAAAAAGGGGCCAAAAATGAGCATTTTCTAGTTTCCAGACAATAACTGTGGAACGGTGTATGGATCTCTCTGAAATTATACTACAAGTTTCCATACCACAAAGGGATGGTTAGGATTTGCTTTGGGGGGTTATGGCTCAAACCGTTTAGGAATTACGGGCAAAAAAGGGGGAAAAACAAGGTTGTCCTGGTTAATGGACAAATACTTTAGTACAAAACATAATTTAAAGCAGTGTAAGGGAGATAAATCAAATACATCATTGAAATTATCTCCCTTACACTGCTTTTAAATTATGTATAAAGTAATGGTTAATGAACAATAAAGATAATCTAAAACAGTGTAAGGGAGGTAATCCAAATACAACGTTTTGGTTACTTCCCTTACACTGCTTTTAAATTATGTTTAAAGAAATGCATATTTATAAAGGAAGACCAGTAAAAATATCTGCAAATGTTTTCATCTTTTTTTTTTACAAAAAAATCCATATGAAAGATTTGACACTATATTTTTATTAATTCTATTATAAAATAGATTAAGTTAGCACTATGGTAAATTTAAATGGGTAATTATGGTTGCCAACTCCATTGGAAATTTGAATTGAGATTATGACCATATCTTGAGGGAAAGAATTTTTTTGGGGGAAAAAGGGGGGGGGGATAAAAAGAAATTGTGGGGGGCCAATTTTTTCTCATTTCCGATTTCAGAAATTAAAAAGAATTATTCTTCAAATATTATTTTTTTTTCAAATTTCAAATATTGAAAAATTTCAAGAAGTAATCTTTAATTGCACAGTATGGCGCATTAGATTTGTAAAATCTTTGATCACATTTATTTATTTGTTATGCCGAATCTAACAGTGTATTTAGATTTTTAATTTTGGGTCCAGTTTTCAAATTGGTCTACATTAATGTCCAAAGGGTCCAAAATTAAACTTTGTTTGATTTTAGCAAAAATTGAATATATGAGGTTCTTTGATATGCTGAATCTAAACATGTATTTAGATTTTTGATTTTTGGCCCAGTTTTCAAGTTGGTCCAAATTGGGGTCCAAAATTAAACTTGTTTGATTTCAACAAAAATTGAATATATGGGGTTCTTTGATATGCTGAATCTAACCATGTATTTAGATTTTTTATTTGTGGACCCCGTTATCTAATTGGTTCATATTGAGGTCAAAAGGGTCCAAAATTAAACTTTGTTTGATTTCATCTAAAATTGAATTATTGGGGTTCTTTGATATTCCAAATCTAACCGTGTATTTAGGTTTTTAATTTTGGGTCCTGTTTTTTAAATTGGTCTACATTGAGGTCCAAAGGGTCCAAAATTAAACTTAGTTTGATTTTGACAAAAATTTAATTCTTGGGGTTCTTTGATTTGCTGAATCTAAACTTGTGTTTAGATTTTTGATTATGGGCCCAGTTTTCAAGTTGGTCCAAGATAGGGTCCAGTATTTAAACTTTGTTTGATTTCAACAAAAATTGAATATATGGGGTTCTTTGATATGCTGAATCTAAACATGTATTTAGATTTTTGATTATGGGCCCAGTTTTCAAGTTGGTCCAAATTGGGGTCCAAAATTAAATTTTGTTTGATTTCAACAAAAATTGAATATATGAGGTTCTTTGATATGCTGAATCAAACCATGTATTTAGATTTTTTATTTGTAGGCCCCGCTATCAAATTGGTTCATATTGAGGTCAAAAGGGTCCAAAATTAAACTTTGTTTGATTTCATCGAAAATTGAATTATTGGGGTTCTTTGATATGCCAAATCTAACCGTGTTTTTAGATTTTTAATTTGGGTTCCGTTTTTTAAATTGGTCTTCATTGAGGTCCAAAGGGTCCAAAATTAAACTTAGTTTGATTTTAACAAAAATTGAATTCTTGGGGTTCTTTGATATGCTGAATCTAAACATGTGTTTAGATTTTTGATCATGGGCCCAGTTTTCAAGTTGGTCCAAGTTGGGGTCCAAAATTAAACTTTTTTTGATTTCAACAAAAATTGAATATATGGGGTTCCTCGATATGCTGAATCTAACCATGAATTTAGATTTTTTATTTGTGGGCCCCGCTATCAAATTGGTTCATATTGAGGTCAAAAGGGTCCAAAATTAAACTTTGTTTGATTTCATCAAAAATTGAATTATTGGGGTTCTTTGATATTCCAAATCTAACCGTGTATTTAGATTTTTAATTTTAAGTCCCGTTTTTTAAATTGGTCTACATTAAGGTCCAAAATTAAACTTAGTTTGATTTTAGCAAAAATTGAATTCTTGGGGTTCTTTGATATGCTGAATCTAAACATGTGTTTAGATTTTTGATTATGGGCCCAGTTTTCAAGTTTGTCCAAGTTGGGGTCCAAAATTAAACTTTGTTTGATTTTAACAAAAATTGAATATATGGGGTTCTTTGATATGCTGAATCTAACCATGTATTTTGATTTTGGACATTGGACCATAATAGGTAAATTAAAAAAATTCAAGTTCTTAGACCACATTCTTTCTGTGTCAGAAACCTATGCTGTGTCAAATATTTAATAACAATCCAAATTCAGAGCTGTATCAAGCTTGAATGTTGTGTCCATACTTGCCCCAACTGTTCAGGGTTCGACCTCTGCGGTCGTATCAAGCTGCGCCCCAGCGAAGCATTTTATTGTTCACCTGAGACACTTTAATGAATAATATTTTGATTTTGGGAATGAATCTTAAAATTATTTTTTGATTATTATATGATTTATAAGCATTGAATTGATATCATGATGTCACAATAATGACACAATAACTCCGCTGAAAACATCCTTTCACATATTTGGTACATTGTTGTCTCCTTTTCATTTTTGGTTCTTGGCTCTTCTTTTGGGTTTATAGGAAAACCATGTGACCATGAAAATCAATACACAAACCGGAAACAGTAGAATTTTAACACGAATTTGCAGAAAATGTTTACCAAAGAACAAATAAAACACAAAGACAGTATTGTAGTCATTTATTTTCAACAAAAACTTTTTATTTATTGATTTATGTAGGTTTGGCAATCAAAAACGTAGTTTTGACCAGGAAATTCACTCCTGACCACTTTTCTCAAGCTTGGATTTTTCCTCTGGTCGCTAGATCTCGTCTATTAGTCGGTCCCCCTCTCTGGATTATGAATTTTACTCCCAATTTTCCGACTAATAAGCGAGTAGGAACGGTACTTGCAGCTTTTAAATGTTGTATGGGAGTTTGTTATTGAAAATTAAAATCTATTTTTATCATTTACAGGAAAGACAAAAAACCCGAAAGAGCACCCCCTCCACCAAGATTTGCTGCAAAAAGGGGTTTAAACGAGAGGGGGAGGGGCACTGATCGTGGCAAAGCCCGTGGCAAAGGTCGAGGAGGAAGTGCCCCTCCTAGCATTGGTTCAAAGCCGCCACAGCTAACACAACAAAACTCCTTGGAATATGCCGCAGTTGAGGGTGAAGAATGGGAAACAGCTTCAGAAAGCAGTGATTTTTTAGGGAGAAATGACTCCAGAAATGATAGAGATCAAGATAAAAGAGATTCTACCCCTGGAAGAAAGAGCTTCTCGAGCCAGCGTCCTGTAGGTGATCGCCAGAATAGAAAAGGTCAATCAGATTGGAGGAAGCAAAATGGTGTTGATAATTATAGAAATCCAAATAAAGAAAAATCTCCAAATCACCTGACAAAAAACGGGTTAGCTAGGGGTAGCAATGGTGCCCCGCGGAAATCAAATTACTCTAACAAGAAGGAGAATGTGTCTGATGTGTACCGAGTTGATCATATGGTGGCTAATGATCAAAATGCAATCAATAATGCATTCAACAATTTGAGTTACAAGTAAGTTGTTATGTTTCAATACCTGTAATGGATTTGTTTTGATTTACATTTATTTTTGTTAGACCAGATAGGTAATAACTATGTTACGTATGTAAATTTATATTGCATATCTTTATTTGAAATTTCAATTGTAAGAACCTTATCATCATGTTTACCAAATAAATAGTTTTAGTTTGGAAATAGATTAATATATATATATATACTGAGCGAGAACTTTCCCTGATAGAAACATATATGGTATTATGGACTGTGTACTTCGTAAAGTGTGTTCAACATTCTTGTTGGTTTTTGAAATCTTTCATTTTTAAGTTATTTTGTTTTTCAAAAAATCAGTTTGCTATGATGAATTCTAATATCTGTCAATCCCATGAAACAAATGATTACACAAAGAATCTGAGCAAATAGTTGTACTACCATAAAGCGGTCAAATTGTACTGCCTTAATTGGAAAAAGCAAGGCAATTTTTTTAATACCAACTGAGATTTTACTCGTGTTTATATGCATATTTTCATGTAATTGTAATACAAATTGAATGTGCTATCTCTAGAACCTGAATAAGATTAATATTTTTTTATCAATTACAGAAATCGGTCGACAAAACCCTCCGACTTGACAGATGTATCAAAACCATTGAAGCCAGAAGAAAGGAAGGAGAAAAATGTCTTGGAAAACATTGACATAAATAATTATGCTAGTATGTATATCTTATTATTAGGTCTTGTATGAATTGATATGATTACTTAAAATGCTTATGATTAGCTACCTATATTTCAGCCAAAACAGACATAAGCAAACAACAATCAATCATTCAACAAGTAAAATTGAGAATGGAAATGGGGAATGTGTCAAAGAGACATCAACCCGACCAAAGAGCAGAAAACAGCCAAAGGCCACCAATGGGTCTTCAACACAGCGAGAAAATCACGCACCGGGAGGTGGGATTCAGCTGGCCCCTAAACAAAAATGTGTACTAGTTCAATGAAAATGGACGTCACACTAAGCTCCAAAACATATAAATGAACTAGAATTAAAAAAAATACAAGACTAACAAAGGCCAGAGGCTCCAGAGTTAAGCATGTTTTGTGAGATCTCAACCCTCCCCCTATACCTCAAGCCAATGTAGAATAAACAAACACACAGCAATTCGCACAGTAAAACTCAGTTTCAAAGATGTCTGAGTCTGATGTCAGAATACATTGTAGTTAACAAAAGAAACTAAGCAAAATGACAATGATACATAAATTAACAAAGGACTACTAGCAGTTACTGACATGCCATCTCCAGACCTCAATTAAACTGATTGAAGAACTGTTCTGTTGTGGTTATTTCACTATTTAAAAACAGAAATAAAAGAATAGCTATCTTATGCAAATAAAGTTATCAAGGACTTAGAATAGCAGGTTTTCCAAAGGTTAAGGACATTTGGGATTATAGTTTTGAACAGTCTAAAATAGTCTTCAAGATCAAGCTGTAATCTCATTTAATTGTATATCTAGGTAAAAATGTTGCTGATATGACATGTCCAATAATCTTTGAAAATTTTCATGTGCTATTGAAATTGTCGAGGTCCATGATATCAACTTTCTTCAGGGTCCTCTATATCTGATATTTTAAGTGCAGAGATCCTAAAAATAAGATTTGATAGGTCGTTGTATTATTGGATAATTGCCATAAATATTATTGTGGTAGGATGGGGTTATAAGACAGTCCTCCCTCCCCATTCATACACATTTCAATTTTAAAGCAACCTCTGGGTGTTTAAAGGTGATATTTATGTTGTTTCATTACATGTTATTAACTTAAATTGACCTTAATGATGATTATGACACTCGTATGTAAAAAATGATGATACATTTCTCATTCGCCATGCTGAAAGGTCAAATCTGGAAAATTTACCTGAACTTTAGTACATCGAATTATTGCAAAGTAAGTCTCAGTTGCCTTGTTTGTTCCTTGAAGACTGTTTTCATGCCCCATCTATATAGTGGGGGTGATTATGTATTGCTGTCTGTTTGTCCATCCTATATTAGAAATGTAAAAATGAGAACAGAACATGATTTCCTATTGATATTTTCTTTTTTAAAGGGGTCTAGCCATTTTTATACGCCCGTTTACGGGACTTATTATGGTATACCTCTGTCCGGCTGTCCTTCTGTCGTCAACATGTCGGACATTAACTCAAAAACGCTTCAACCAATTTGCATAAAACTTTGGTGAATTGTTCATATCTATTGATGTGAACTCCCTTTTGTTTTTTATAAAATTTAGATTTTACATTCTGAGTTATGGGGTTTTATTCATTTAAAAAAGGGGGGATTTTCCAGTTTTCAGACAATAACTCAAAAATGCTTTCACCAATTTGCAAGTAATTTTGGTCAATTGTTTATATCTATTTTACATGAGCTCCCTTTTAAATTTTATAAATTTTAGATTTTATGTTTCCGAGTTATGGAGTTCATTAAAAAAAAGGGGGATTTTCTAGTTTTCGGACAATAACTCAAAAATGCTTTCAGCAGTTCTCATGAAACTTTTTAGAATTGTTTATGTCTATTGATGTAAGCTCCCTTTCAATTTTTATAAATTTTAGATCTTGCACTCACTGAGTTATGGGATTTTATTCATAAAAAAGGGGTGATTTTCTAGTTTTCGGACAATACCTTTAAAGTGCTTTGAGCAGTTTTCATTAAACTTTGGTGACTGGTTTATATCAATTAAGATAAACTCCCTTTAGTTTTTCACAAATTTTTGATATGACATTGATAAGTTATTGAACTTTATTCGTAAAAAATGCGACGGGCGTATCATGCGCTCATGGTGCAGCTGTTTATTAGATGAAGAAATACTTAAAGTTAATTTTGATAGGTGATTGTACTTTTTTACAACTTTTTTAAGAATCATATTATGGTAGGCTATGGTTTAAATAGTGCCTCTAACCACCACAATCCACATTCCCAAACATTGAATTCTGGAGCAGCCCAAAACAATATTTTGGAAAAAATGGGATCTGGAAGATGTAAAGTTATTTATGTTGTTAATTAGATGTCATGAACTTAAATTGACCTTGATGATGATTATGACATCTCTTATGTCAAAAATGATGATACATTTCTCATTCGCCATACTGAAAGGTCAAATATGAAAAATTTAACTGAACCATATAGTACTTTAAATTGTTGTGAGGTAAGTCTCAGTTGCTTTGTTAGTTTCTTGCAGACTGTTTTTATACAACTGCAAAAATTAAACATTTTTTGGTCGTATATTGGTATGACGTTGGCGTCGTCGTCGTCGTCTGGCGTCATCCGAAGACACATTGGTTTTCGCACTCTAACTTTAGTTTAAGTGAATGGATCTCCATGAAATTTTACCATAAGGTTCAATACCACGAAAGGAAGGTTGGGATTGATTTTGGGGGTTATGGTACCAACAGTTGAGGAAAAAGGGGCCAAAAATAAGCATTTTTGTAACTTTCAGACAATAACTTGTGTGTAAGTGTACGGATCTCTCTGACATTGTACCACAAGGTTCCATATCACAAAGGGAAGGCTGTAATTGATGTTGGGGGTAATTGCCTCAAAATTTTAGGAATTAGGGGCCAAAAAAGGGGCAAAAAACAAGCATTTTTCTAGTTTCATGACAATAACTTGTGTGCAAGTGTTTGGATATTTCTGAAATTGTACTACAAGGTTTCATATCACAAAGGGAAAGCTGGAATTGAGTTCGGGGGTAATTGCCTGAAACGTTTAGCAATTGGGGGCCAAAAAGGGGCCAAAAATAAGCATTTTTCTAGTTTCAAGACAATAACTTGTGTTCAAGTGTATGGATCTCTCTGAAATTGAACTGCAAGGTACCATACCACAAAGGGAAGGCTGGGATTGAGTTTGGGGGTGATGAATCATAAGGGGGTTCAAAAAATTTGGGGGGGGGGGGATTTTTTTTTTTTTCCTTTTTTTTTTTCTTTTAAAATTTTCCATTTTAATTTGGTTATTTCTGATTTATATTTAAAAGCAAATAATAATGATATGGTAGGAGATACACACCAAACAGGATGTGTAAATTATTATATAATAAGTATTGTGCAATAGCAAGAAATTTTCAATTGCACAGTATTGCACAATAGCAAGAAATCTTCAATTGCACAGTATTGTGCAATAGCAAGAAATCTTCAATTGCACAGTATTGCTCAATAGCAAGAAATATCCAATAGCACAATATTGCGCAATAGCAAGAAATTGTCAATTGTACAGTATTGCGCAATAGCAAGAAATATTCAATTGCACAGTATTGTGCAAAAGAAGATACTTCTTATAAATTGCTTATTTGTTGATCAATTTCAATGGGGTTTTATTCTTGAATTCTTGGGGTTCTTGAATATGCTGAATATAACCGTGTATTAAGTTTTTGGATTTTGGGCCCCGTTTTTAAATTTGTCCACATTGAGGTCCAAAGGGTCCAAAATTTAACTTTGTTTGATTTCATCAAAAATTGAATTATTTGGGTTCTTTGATATGCCGAATCTAACCGTGTATTTAGATTCTTAATTTTTGGTTCCAATTTCATATTGGTCTACATTAAGGTCCAAAGGGTCGAAAATTAAACTTAGTTTGATTTTAACAAAAATTGAATTTTTAGTGTTCTTTGATATGCTGAATCTAAACATGTATTTAGATTTTTGATTATGGGCCCAGTTTTCAAGTTGGTCCAAATCGGGGTCCAAAATTAAACTTTGTTTGATTTCAACAAAAATTGAATATATGGGGTTCTTTGATATGCTGAATCTAACCATGTATTTAGATTTTTGGGCCCCGTTATCAACTTTGTCCACATTGAGGTCAAAAGGGTCCAAAATTAAACTTTGTTTGATTTCATCAAAAATTGAATTCTTGGGGTTCTTTGATATGCTGAATCTAACCATGTATTTAGATTTTGGATATTGGACCATAATAGGTGAATGTCCAATTTAAAATTTTGAAGTTCTTAGACCACATTCATTCTGTGTCAGAAACCTATGCTGTGTGAAATATTTAATCACAATCCAAATTCAGAGCTGTATCAAGCTTGAATGTTGTGTCCATACTTGCCCCAACTGTTCAGGGTTTGACCTCTGCGGTCGTATCAAGCTGCGCCCTGCGGAGCATTTTATTATGTGTTGCCTTTGAAGTTGGGGTGCATGCAGTTGTGGTCACATCAACTTTTAAAAAAAAATGATCCTGGAGATATATTGTGGTATGCTAGGGCTATAAGATAGTGCCTCAGAACAAGCTCACCACAACAAACAAACACACATTTAATATTTAACAGCCCTATGCAATTTTAGGGGGGGGGGGGGGGGGGGGGGTGAGTGATGATTTATAAATTGATTTTATGTTAACTCATGAAAGGTGATTTACAATCACTTAAATTGACCTTGATGATGATTATGACATCTCTTATGTAAAAATGATGATACATTATCATTCGCCATGCTGAAAGGTCAAATAAAGTAAATTTACTAGAACTGTAGTAAGTCCAGTTGTTGCAACATAGTCTCATTGCCTTTCAATTTACCTGGGACCTGTTTTTATGTCCTGTCTATGTAGGAAGGGGGGGGGGGGGGCTTTATGTTATAGTTTTGGCGTCCTTCCACCATTCATCCTTTCAGTATTGTGTTAGAAGTTGACCACACTTTGAAGTTGTGGGCACATCAACTTGATAATTAGAAATATATGCAGAGATATTAAAATTAAAATTATAATTTGATAGTTGGTTGTTTTTTTTACATCTGCTTGAAGAATTATATTGTGGTATGCTAGAGCTATAAAATTGAAAGTATAATTTGATAGTTGGTTGTTTTTTATACGACCACAAAAAATTTTTTGTTGTCGTATATTAGTATGACGTTGTCGTCGTCCAAAGACACATTGGTTTTTGCACTTTTACTTTAGTTTAAGTGAATGGATCTCTATGAAATTTTACCACAAGGTTCAATACCACAAAAGGAAGGTTGGGATTGATTTTGGGGGTTATGGTACCAACAGTAAAGGAATTAGGGGCCAAAAATAAGCATTTTTGTAACTTCCAGACATAACTTGTGTGTTAGTGTATGGATCTCTCTGACATTGTACCACAAGGTTCCATATCACAAAAGGAATGCTGGGATTGATTTTGGGGGCAACTGCCTCAAAATTTTAGGAATTAGGGGCCAAAAAAGGGGCAAAAAACAAGCATTTTTCTAGTTTCCAGACAATAACTTGTGTTCAAGTGTATGGATCTCTCTGAAATTGTACTGCAAGATACCATACCACAAAGGGAAGGCTGGGATTGAGTTTGGGGGTGATGAATCATAAGGGGGTTCAAAAAATTTGGGGGAGGGGGGGGGGTTTCCTTTTTTTTCTTTTTTTCCTTTTTTTTTTCTTTTAAAATTTTCCATTTTAAGTTGGTTATTTCTGATTTATATTTAAAAGCAAATAATAATGATATGGTAGGAGATACACACCAAACAGGATGTGTAAATTATTATATAATAAGTATTGTGCAATAGCAAGAAATTTTCAATTGCACAGTATTGCACAATAGCAAGAAATCTTCAATTGCACAGTATTGCGCAATAGCAAGAAATCTTCAATTGCACAGTATTGTGCAATAGCAAGAAATATCCAATAGCACAATATTGCGCAATAGCAAGAAATTGTCAATTGTACAGTATTGCGCAATAGCAAGAAATATTCAATTGCACAGTATTGTGCAAAAGAAGATACTTCGTATAAATTGCTTATTTCTTGACCAATTTCAATGGGGTTTTATTCTTGAATTCTTGGGGTTCTTTAATATGCTGAATCTAACCGTGTATTTAGTTTTTGGATTTTGGGCCCTGTTTTTAAATTGGTCCACATTGAGGTCCAAAGGGTCTAAAATTAAACTTTGTTTGATTTCATCAAAAATTGAATTATTTGGGTTCTTTGATATGCCGAATCTAACCGTATATTTAGATTCTTAATTTTTGGTTCCGTTTTCAAATTGGTCTACATTAAGGTCCAAAGGGTCCAAAATTAAACTTAGTTTGATTTTAACAAAAATTGAATTCTTAGGGTTCTTTGATATGCTGAATCTAAACATGTATTTAGATTTTTGATTATGGGCCCAGTTTTCAAGTTGGTCCAAATCGGGGTCCAAAATTAAACTTTGTTTGATTTCAACAAAAATTGAATATATGGGGTTCTTTGATATGCTGAATCTAACCATGTATTTAGATTTTTGATTTTTGGGCCCCGTTATCAACTTTGTTCACATTGAGGTCAAAAGGGTCCAAAATTAAACTTTGTTTGATTTCATCAAAAATTGAATTCTTGGGGTTCTTTGATATGCTGAATCTGACCATGTATTTAGATTTTGGATATTGGACCATAATAGGTGAATGTCCAATTTAAAATTTTTAAGTTCTTAGACCACATTCATTCTGTGTCAGAAACCTATGCTGTGTCAAATATTTAATCACAATCCAAATGCAAAGCTGTATCAAGCTTGAATGTTGTGTCCATACTTGCCCCAACTGTTCAGGGTTCGACCTCTGCGGTCGCATCAAGCTGTGCCCTGTGGAGCGTTTTATTTACATCTGCTTGAAGAATTATATTGTGGTATGCTAGAGCCATAAGATAGTGCCTCACAACATGCTCACCACCACAAACAAACACACATTTAATACTAAACAGCCTTGTGCAATGTTGGGGTAAAAAAGGGATGATTTAAAAAATTAATTTTATATTGACTGTTAAAGGAGATTTACAATCACTTTAATTGACCTTGATGATGACTATGACATCTCTTATGTAAAAATGATGATACATTATCATTCGCCATGCTGAAAGGTCAAATAAAAAATGACTAAAACTGTAGTAATTCTAGTTGTTGCAACATAAGTCTCATTGCCTTTCATGGTATATGCAAACTGTTCTAGGCTGGGGTTATAAAATAGGGCCAAACAACACCACCTCTCCACACACACACACATATAATATGATATTTGAACAGTTCAGTGCAATATTGGGGAAAGGGAGTGATTAAAAAAAATAGATTTTATGTTAGTTCGTTATAGGTATTTTACAATCCAACCTTGATGATGATTATGACATTTCTCATGTCAAAAATGATGATACATTTATCATTCGCCATGCTGAAAGGTCATATCTTGGAAAAAAATTCCTGAAGCATAATAAGTTTTATTGTGGCACCTAAAGAGTCAGTTGCCTAGTATGCTACAAGTACTGTTTTTATGCCCTGCCTATATAGGAAGGGGCAAGGGTCTGGAAACGGTCATATATGCCAGTCATGTCCTAAGATGAAACTATTTGTCCTAAACGAGTAATTGGAAAATGCAAATTGATTTCATGCTAAATTAAACGTGTGCAACTATTGTCTGTTACATTCAAACACTTTTAAAGGTAATAAAATAAAAAAGCCAGTGATTTCCTGTCAATTTGATAAACAAAACAAATCCTGGAAATGAATCCGGAATTATTCGTACTTTATCGCAAACTTCCGGTTTTAACTTTAGTCAAATCGAAAGAAACGTAAGCAATGTCTCAGAGAGATTTACCATTTTGAGTCATTAAAATCATTTCAATTTTAAACTATTGCCTTCCCTAAACTGTTCTTCATGGTAATGGTAAGACATTTACTTAGTAAATGCGACGAAACAGCAATACAAGTTCGTTGATGCTATGAATCTGGTCAAGTTGACATCGACAATTTGGAAAGGGGCACCAACTTTTCAATCATCTCAAAAAAAAGTCAAAATGACCGAAATTGTGTGGAAAAATTTCCGGATCCTTGGGAAGGGGGCTTTATGCTTTGCCTTTTGTACTTTCTTTCATAATTCGTCCCTCCTGAATCAAGTTGAGTATTGGTTTAAGGAAGGTTATATGAAGTTGTGGTCCCATTACCTTGAAACATGGTACACATATTCTTTATGATTTGAAACTTTAAAAATATATGCCATACTAGGGTTTAACCCAGATTTTGTAGTTCACTGAATATTGAAACATCCTTGGTTATAAAATAATGCCTTACAACTTGGCTACTGTGTGATATTGGGAAAAAGATATGATCATGAAAATGTGATAATGTGAGCAGAACATGATGTCCAATGAGCATTTTCTTTTTTAAAAGGTCCATTAGATCAGATATTTTTATGTGCAGAGAAATTTAAATAAAAGTTTGATAGGTGGTTGTATATTTTTTTTTGAACTTCATTTAAGAATCATATTATGGTAGTCTGTGTTTATAAAATAGTGCCTCACAACACAGTCCCTCCACACACACACATTTTATTCATGAAAAGCCCTGTGCAATATAGGGAAAAAGATGTGATCAGAAATTAATTGTATGCTCAATTGACCTTGATGATGATTATGACAGCTCTTATGTAAAAACATGATGATATATTTATCATTCGCCATACTGAAAGGTCAGATCTGGAAAATTAACCAACACTGTACTAAGTTGAATTGTTGTTAAGTAAGTTACATTTATCTAGTATAACTTGTAAGATAAATTGTTGTGTTTTACAGGTGTTGTGGTCATTGATGACATTTATGGAGCACCAGTAGATGACCCAGAGTTCTCCGTTGAAAATGAGGGCTTTCAGGAAGTGACTTCCAAAAAGGCTATGAAGCTGAAGCAAAAAGCTCAACAGGAAGCTGAGTTAAAAAGGCAGATAATAACTGAAAAACAGAAAAAAGATGCTCACAACAAGGTGAAACAGCAATTCACATTAAAATTATTTACTAGTTTATCATGTAGGGTTATAGCGAGTCTGTTTGCCGTTTCTAGCATAGGGTTTTATAAGTCTGGTCCTGTCTTCTATACAACTGAAGGGATGTTATTATACCAGCCTATATTGCAATCAACTTGTCTGTCAAACAAATATTTTTATAGAAAAATAAATTCTCAGAAACTACTGAATAAAGTGACTTCTTACTGATCCTACTTTGAAATGTTTTAGATTAGCCTACTGTGGATCCACTTATTTTCGTGGGTATCAAAGTTCGTGGATTGCTGAAAACTTGCATATTCGTGGATATTTGATTTCGTAGTTTTGCCAATCTCTGTATACAAAGCCTATTGAAAATATGTTATTCGTTGAACATTGGAATTCTTGGTTCACCTGTACCCACGAATCCCAAGAAAATTGGTATCCAACGAATAATAATGAATCCACAGTATCTGTTTTTTTTTCAAATAGGTTTTGGCCAAACCAAAAGGAGTACATAATAACAGTGGAAAGTCTCGTAAAGGTAGTAAACTGCCTCCAAGGTTTGTGAAGCAGAAGGAGCAGAGAGACAGAGATAGTGATACTACTAGCCAAGGATTTGATATGAAGGTTGATAACTGGGACAATGATCTTGCCAATAACATACCCGCTATTTCTCCTGCTATCAACATGGAAATGGACACACGTCAAGGTAGCATATTAATACATTTTAAAAAAAATTACAAGTAGTGGTCATTTAGGGCATATTTGAAAGAAATGAAATTTAGACAAGGACAGCTAGCAAATGTCTAGATACAATAATTTATCACAATAATGCATTTAAAAAACATAGAGTAAAACGACCATAAATCAACTGATCTTGAAGATGAAATTGAATTACCGAGTCGTCACAGTAAAAGTTTTTAATTGTCTGTTAACAAACAGTCATTGAAAATAAGCTATGTATTATATTTGTGCAGCCCCAAACATGCAAGATCAGACATCACAGCTAGCTATGTCCACTCAGATGACAATGAATACTATCCCTGCACCGTTGCCACCAGTGAATGCCTGGACTGCAAAATCCACAAGTTATGCAGCTGCTGCAGTGACTGGAAGTTCTCTGCCACAGATGGTGGACAACAAGTTTGACAAGGGAGACCAACATGACAGTGGAATTGATGTTAGTGACCAGCCTAATTCGGCAGGCTCTTCAACTCGAAGTTCCCCAAGTGCAGAAAATAAATTGAGGACGGAGAAGGTGACGCCCAGCATTGTGGAAATGAATGACAAAAAAAATAATACTTGGTTCCATCTTTTTTTTTGTTAACTTTTTTTCAATTAATTGAATGTTTATGTCAAATTCAGTTTTTTAATAGAATGAAAAAAGAAATTGGAGTCCATATTAGACCTATAAAGTTGTATTCTATAAATGGTCTTATGACTTTAATGTTTTTGAAGTAAATAAGTCTTCTTTTGTCTGGATTTATTCTTGAGAAAGGGGGAAAGGCATTTTAGAATAACATTTGATAAAAGGAAAGTGTGATTTTATTTGAATTCCAATTTTCAATGTTTTCTATTATATTTGAAATATTTTACAGCTCTTTTATAAAAGCATGCAAAGCAAACCTTTGATCAACTTGCTTGCTATGTTTGTTTGGATGTTTGTAAACAATAGGTAGGTAGTCTGTTTCATTCTGTTTACTATATAATGGAATTTGATTGGACAATAAACATTAAATTCATTGCATGTCAATTTTTATTGTCCAATCAAATCCCAGTATATATAAAACAGACTGAAACTCCGCCTACCTATTGTTTGCAAACATCCAAGCAAACATAGCAAGCAAGTTGATCAAAGGTTTGCTTTGCATGCTTTTATAGAAGAACTGTAAGTTGATAGTGTAAAAATCAAAATAGAAAATTGGAAACCAAAAGAGAATTAAGAAACTAAGATTTTATTATACAGTCATAAGACCTAAGAATACAATGATACTGTACCAATTGATAAAGTATGGGATGAAAATCAATTATTTTTCTGCACTTAAAAAGTATTTGTGTTTAAAATTTTATTCTGTATTCATTGCTTGATACTGCTTCTGGCTTACAATCAGTTTTCAAGTAACTCTTATTTGAGGGGTCAAGGCTGTTCACGTTTTCAGTAAAAGACTGTTGGCATTTATTAAAAAGCATACACAACATTTTATTTAGTTTGTTAATTTGTTTGATTTTTTTTTTTTGGGTGGGGGGGGGACATAAACGTAAAATTGAGCTAGTCTGGTGTATGCTTTAAAATCTTTTCCACAGTGCAATACTGAAGTTGTGATATTGGGTAATTGGACAGATTTCTTTGCATGCTTTTTTGTCTTGCTGGTCATGTATTCTATTAAACTTAGTAGTTAATTCTCCATTTATAATCTGCATGTGTGTCTATAGTACATTATACAGAATGGTGGTAATGTTAATTCAGATGCAACACATGTTTAATTAAATAAGAAAAAGACTTTTGAGCAGAACTTGTAACATTTTGAAAATTCAATATTTGAAAAAAGTTTTCCTTTTGAAAATATGATTTAAATCATAATGTTATTAGTTTATTTGCCAAAGGTCTATTTTATTTTGTTATTTCGTGCTGTTTCTCCTTGTGAATTGTAGACTGGTTCTAAAACAGGGGGAAATGGGCTGCTGCCCTTTCAAAGCATAAGTTGTAAGTGATTCATGGCCAAAATTTTGAAGATTACCATATAACACACACACAAATTTGCTCTTTCCGCTAGCTCCATTTATTTTCCCTTTAAGGGAAAAAAAACTTGTACAAATTGATCTCCAATTACAGATTCAATTACCAAATTGGCAAATATACTATTCTATTCAATTTTGTTATAGCCCAATATTTGTTTGTGTATTTGAATTAAATCTCATATTGTAGTTTGATTGAAATGTTGTACAGGAAAATTTATGGCATGGTTGGAATGCAAATTTTATTTGGTTATAATGATTGAAATTATTTATATAAATTAGGGGAAATTTGATGCATGCACCATTCATTATATAGAGAATGAGGTCTAGTTGTTTTTGAAATGCCTTAAATAGTAGTATACATTTATAAAGTAGGTTTATTAATCCAATTTGAGATATGGATGCAGCATTTTGGTTTATCATCGTGTGTGACCAATGATTTAAATGTTAAAGTAAAAAACTGTTGGAATACTAACAATATTTTTCTTTGAATTTTGAGAGTTGGTAAAGTGTGATGTGTAGTTAATGTAAAGATATACTGGTAGGTAAAGTATGAAATTTAATCAATGAATATGAACAAAATACTAGTAACATGTTTAATATTACTTACAAGCAGTTGAAGCTGACTTTATTTGATCTTTGTACATGCAGTTATATTGTATGATGTTATATTGAAGTTGAGAAGAAAAACTATATCACACTTAACTATTTGAATAATTTTGCCCATTTCAGAAGAATGAACATATGAAAGTAGACCAACACAGAGGGGCATTTGATTCTCCAAAACCTCAAAGACAACCAAAGGTATCTTTCTACAAATTTGAAAAGATTAATGTTTTAATTTCAAATTTCTGTTCACTGTTGATTTACTTTTCTGTAATATCTACTACAATCCTGACTGCCTTTGAGGGTACAAATACAAAGCACAGCTAGGTGCAATTAGTTTTAACTTCTTGATCTATTGTGTGACACTAGCAGATTCTTATTTGATTTAATATTGTAAGAATTAGATTTGAATTTAGGGACATCTGCATGACAAACAAAACTCCCTCAGAAAGAATCTACAGTTCTAAAGGTTTTGGTTTTTCTTGCAAAATAAATGTAAGGATTGTTTTGACTTGTAGGTTGTAAGAAGTGAAAAAGTCAGTGTTAAGGATACGATGGAGAGAGACGGAAAAGCTGTAAAGAAACCTGAAGGGTTGAAAGAAAAATCCAGGAGTGCCGCAGCCATCGAAAAGCCTGAACCTATTCAGCTACCACCAAGCTTCAAAGATCATTTGTTTAAGGTATTTATACATTGAATAAGAAAAAAAATAAGAGGAATTTTTACACAAGGAGTGGTTGATGCCAGATCTTTTGGCTGTAAGGAAAAGATGCCATTCTGTATTTCCTTCTTCAAAATATGTGAAGTATTTTGGTAAGCTTGCTCACCATTGCTGATATACACCCTAACCATGGTTTTTAAAAAAAATATGAAAAATAGTGTGCCAGCAAGGGAGTAAAGATTAACCCTGGGTTTGAAAAAAAGAACTATGTTAGTATAAAGAAAGTGCAGTAGAGTACCGTCTTTTGGTATGCATAGTGCGCATTTATGTATTATGCGCACCCCCTTTATGGTCCAAGAAACTTGAGAAAAAAAGTTTCTTCTTCGTATAATACACAGACATTTTCGGAAAAGTCACAGCTCCAAAATCGGTATGTTGCTTGAGCATGATTTTTTTCGGCAAGGAATTAATAAGAAGTCATGATTAATATCATGGAAAGAATTTATTTTAGCTGAATAAAGAATTTTAATAGTTATCTTCTTTTTATAACCCACAAGTTAATGTTTGTCGTTTGTTGGCAAACAGGAAGTCTAAACTGGAATTTTTTTAAATGGTCACCGATGTCGGTGAATTCCGTACGGAATAAGTAATTAATACAAAATTGTATTATCTTGTATTATTTAATTTTATGTTATGAATTAGTGCTGAAATAATTTGTTAAAATCTCATTATTTTTATTTTTTGTTTGTTGATTCTAGCTGTTAATCCGGATTATCACACCTCAATCAATGGGTCTAATCGATGTCAAAACAATCAATGACAGGTTCACCTTGTTCCAAATTAAATTCGTTTAGGTTACAATTATGGGATAATCATGTTTTCAATCATAATTTCTTGAACAGTTTTAAACAGTAAAAGTTACAAAGTAGAAACGTATTTATAAAAAAAAAACTTCTCATAGACTAAATCATCACTTTACAATATTAAGTCACATGACTGGCGATCACCTGATACATATAAAAATAATGGCGGGTTTATCTTTTCAAAACGAGCGTGGTTTATTTAATTTGCATACACTTATCTTCTACTCTCCATGATGAACACATACAAAACAGTAAGTTATGACCACAAGAAACACAGAGCCTAAATTAACCGACAACAAAAGCTTCATGGTGTCTTTATTAAGACTATGGCAAACTTCCGGATTGCAAACAGATGGACAAATTTACACGATAAACGAACGTGACTACAGAGATATAAAATGTATTTTATTTGAATAAAACATGACATATCAAGTACAATAAGATACATATTTCAAATATAACATGTAAAACATAATAAAAGTCGAGGTAATAGTGAAAAATTCCGTACTCTTCACTTCACCTGTTTATTTCTTTGTCGGAGTTTGGACCTGAAAAAAGGCTAAGAAAAATGTTTGTAGGCATGTATAATGCGCACCCCTCTTACAAGAAACATGACCCAGGCTATAAATGTGCGCACTATACATACCAAAAGACGGTACAGAATGAAATATTGGACCTGAATTCTATGTTAAGCAGGTTATAAGTTTGTGAGCATTGTTATTTCTATTGAATATTTTGTATAAATTGCTTAGCAGAAATAAATCATTGTCAAAAGCCATTTACTGTTTGTAGATTATGCAAGTATAATGTATAAAAACTCATTGATGTTTTTTTAGGGAGATGATATGAGTGAGTTGATCTTCATTTATGACCATGATCTAGCGAATTATCCAGAAAACAAACTTGAAGAGGAGGAGAATGCAGTAACATCTGTACCCTCAATGAGTATCACCAACAGTTCAGGAACTTCACAGTCAGTTGTTACACTGCCCCCATCTCCAGCCTCTCAGGATCTTGACTTGAAAATAGCGTCTGTCAGAGGTTTTTGGGATGTTGACCAGATGCAACCAGCCATGGGATTTGATCAAGGGTAAGGTTTTGATCTAACCAAGGTGTAGAATGCTTTAGTCAGCTTTTTTTAGTGTATTAACTGTGAAATACTGTGGATTCGTTTTTATTCATGGTATACCAATTTTTGTGGGTTTCGTGGGTCACAGCGAACCACGAATTTAAGAATTCAACGAAGAATAATCCCGAGAAATGTGTATGGAGTAGAATGTTTATTTCCGGTTATGTTATGCAGTTCTAGTATAGTGTTGACTATCGATAAACATTGTAACATAACACATATTTTTATTAAAAGAAGATACAAGTATTTTGATTAAATCAATAATAAATATATCGAATATCAGTTATAATTTACTTTTTAGAATTGAATAAAACTGTTCATGGAAAATAACTGCAAGTTGTTAATTACCGTGTCATAGTATGGTTTACTGGTGATTAAAAATCAATAGGATTAAGTACCTGGATATTGCCCGTAGGTAATATTGTTTATGACAGGAACATTTATTTTCACACCTTTTACTTATATGACTGTTTATTATATCGTGATTAGGGAAATGAGCTTTCAATCATAGAGTTTTGAATGCCTTATAAAATTCCGACAAGAATTTATAAATTGCAAAACAAACAAGTAATTAGTTGTCTCTGTCCATTATTGTAATAGAAGTTTTCAATGAACGCTTTAACCTAGAATGTACAAGCGAGGATTTTGACAATTCAAAACTTTTTCAATGAATTCCATCTCTTTTGTTTGTTTTATTATTGATCAAACCAAGGAGGTTATATGATCTAAATTAAAAAGAAATCCACAAATTACGTATCTGAATTTTCTTTTTTCTTTTTGTAATCAGCGATCCACGAATTTACGTATACCACGAAACGTCTTTTTTTCTCTATCCACAAAAATTGATACCCACGAAAATAAATGAATCCACAGTAATTAATAATTATAAGAATAGACCAAGTTTAAATTTTATTATCTCTGCAGGATTTTCTCATTTCAGATAGCACATACAATGTACAACATTTCAACATTGTAAAAAAAAAAGTGTCAGTGAGGAGTAAAACTAGAAATTTGGTTGCAAAAAAAAAGTTGTGTTCAAAATTTTAAAGCAAAAATGTATTGATAATTGCAGAATGAACAGCAGCTCAGCATTGGGGACAACTGTATCATCAGAATCAGACAATGTGATGGTGACATCTTCCTATCCAACATTCAGCTCAGGAGATATGGATACTGATATAGTCGAGCACAAGACAATGGAGCTGGATCAGAGACAGGATGAAAACTCCTTAGTAGGCAATGGACCTATGTCAACGATGTCTCCTAGAAGTCAAGATGGCAGGAATTACAGTTCTAACAGCTCCTCTCAGGATAACAGAAGTTTTAATGCTTCTGTACAGGACAGTCTCAACTTCAGCAGTCATGCATCAGTACAGGATACACTGGCATTCAGCTCTAATGATACAGAATGTCTCCCCTTTGTACCACACTCCTCGGTTCAAGAAACCATGCAATTCAGTAGTCCAACTGTCTTACAAGACGCTCTTGGTAACTACACCTCTACAGAAGTCAGTTCTACCATGGATATAAAGGCATCAGAACAAAGTAATGTTTGTAAGGTAACCATTTTATGATTGATTTAGATTGTTGATGTTTAACGCCACTTTTAGAACACTTTGCTTCATCATTGCAACCAGTTTTTATACGACCGCAAAAAAATTTTTGTGGTCGTATATTGGTATGACGTTGGCGTCGTCGTCCGGCGTCGTCGTCCGAATACACATTAGTTTTCGCACTCTAACTTTAGTTTAAGTGAATGGATCTCAATGAAATTTTACCATAAGGTTCAATACGACAAAAGAAAGGTGGGGATTGATTTTGGGGGTTATGGTACTAACAGTTAAGGAATTAGGGGCCAAAAAGGGGCCAAAAATAAGCAATTTTGTAACTTCCAGACATAACTTGTGTGTAAGTATATGGATCTCTCTGACATTGTACCACAAGGTTCCATATCTCAAAGGGAATGCTGGGATTGATTTTGGGGGTAATTGCCTCCAAATTTTAGGAATTAGGGGCCAAAAAGGGGCAAAAAACAAGCATTTTTCTAGTTTCATGACAATAACTTGTGTGTAAGTGTATGGATCTCTCTGACATTGTATCACAAGGTTCCATATCACAAAGGGAATACTGGGATTGATTTTTGGGGGTAATTTCCTCCAAATTTTGGGAATTAGGGGCCAAAAAGGGGCAAAAAACAAGCATTTTTCTAGTTTCAGGACAATAACTTGTTTGTAAGTGTATGGATCTTTATGAAATTGTACTGCAAGGTTCCATATCACAAAGGGAAAGCTTGGTTGGAGTTTGGGGTTAATTGCCTTAAACGTTTAGGAATTAGGGGACAAAAAGGGACAAAAAAACAAGCATTTTTCTAGTTTCCAGACAATAACGTGTTCAAGTGAATGGATCTCTCTAAAATTGTACTGCAAGGTACCATACCACAAAGGGAAAGCTGGGATTGAGTGTGGGGGCGATGAATCATAAGGGGGTTCAAAAAATTTGGGGGGGGGGATTTTTTTTTCCTTTTTTTTCTTTAAAATTTTCCATTTTAAATTGGTTATTTCTGATTTATATATAAAAGCAAATAATAATGATATGGTTTGAATAGCATACATGTGAACCTCCCGACAGGTGTATAATAATCCTGTTTTCAGGAGTCTCCTCCTGACCTCCGGTTGAAGAGGAAAATTATAATCCCGTGTATGAAATTTTTCATGAATGAAAAATTTCTGCCCAACATATCATCTCAGGCATCTGGTGTAACTCACATTACCTGAAGTTATATTTTACCTGTAAATCAATTAACATGCATAATTATATGGCTTCACTTGTCAGCTTGGGTGTCAAACATACTGGTAATCAATGATTTTTTACCTCAGGCTAACTGCCGTTGTGTAACAAAAACTGTGTATTTATTGGGTTACTTCCCTTGATTTATCCTGTTTTAAGTTACTTTCCTTTTAATAATGAAAATTTTTAAAAGAATATAAATAAAATATAAATTGAACAAATAATCATAAAAGGATGGTAAATAAATGATTTTAAATGTCTTAGGACAAATAAAAAAATAATAATTTGAAAATTATTTGAGGATTCTATACTTCCTTTCAAGGCTTATATTGAAATTTATATAATAACTATGACCCTTGTTTTACAGTTAGAATGATTTTCTGAGTATGCAAACAAAAGCTATTTGCAGATAGTTAAACAAATGTTCTGGTTGCAATAAATGTTTTATAGAATATGAAGTAAAAAATTTAAAGAACATACTGAAAAAAAAAAATGTTAGATTGAACATGTAAAATATAAAGATGGAGAAACTTTATAAGTACAAGGGTACTATAAACATAATAAATTGGATGGAAAGTTGAAGAAAACACACTTTAAAAGACCATTTTTACAGCACACGGTTACATTTACGACAAAATTTATGTCGATTAAAAACCTCCTGATCTGAGTCCTAATCTCCTGACCAAAATTTCCCAATCTCCTGATCTGAGTTTCACAGTCCATCACATGTATGAATAGGTAAATTAAAAAATTATAAGTTCTTAGACCACTTTCATTCTGTGTCAGAAACCTATGCTGTGTCAAATATTTAATTACAATCCAAATTCAGTGCTGTATCAAGCTTGAATGTTGTGTCCATACTTGCCCCAACTGTTCAGGGTTTGACCTCTGCGGTCGTATCAAGCTGCGCCCCAGCGGAGCATTTTATTATTGTTGGAGAAAGCAGGAGAGAATCATTAACCTTCAGCAGGAAAACAGGCAATCCTTGTCCATTAAGATTGGAGTCGAATACACCTTGCCACAAGCAGGATTGAACTTCGCAACAGCAGTGACTGGCTGGCTAGTGAGCACTGAAGATGAGCTTCTAAGACTACTTGGCCTCACCATTTTATGAATTAACTTACTATGACAAATATAAATCAGTGTAAATTATAGTTCAACCTTTCAACAATGAGCACCACCAAAAAAAAAAGAAAAAATTAGCATGAGCAAAATGAACTTTACAGCTATGTGTAGACAAAAATAAACCAAAAAATGGTTTTGAAAGTTAGGAAGTACTGTAGTTATATGTAAAGTATGAATTAAAGGGGAATAGAGTTCTGTTAATCTGACAACAACACAAGTAAACTTTAAGAGGCACCATACACAAGCCTTAACATCTGTAATGGAAACAAGAATTAATATGTAAAAGAATTTGTATCATAATATAACAAGTTGTAATTTCATTAACGCCATATGATGATCCTGATGCAGTCTGCACCAAAATCTTTTCCAACATCTAGTCTGAAGACCAATATTCCAACATTTTTATACGACTGCAAAAAAATTTTTGTGGTTGTATATTGGTATGACGTTGGTGTCGTCCTCGTCGTCCGAAGACACATTAGTTTTCGCACTCTTAACTTTAGTTTAAGTGAATGGATCTCTATGAAATTTTACCATAAGGTTCAATACCACAAAAGGAAGGTGGGGATTGATTTTGTGGGTTATGGTACCAACAGTTAAGGAATTAGGGGCCAAAAATAAGCATTTTTGTAACTTCCAGACATAACTTGTTTGTAAGTGTATGGATCTCTCTGACATTGTACCACAAGGTTCCATATCACAAAGGGAATGCTGGGATTGATTTTGGGGGTAATTGCCTCCAAATTTTAGGAATTAGGGGCCAAAAAGGGGCAAAAAACAAGCATTTTTCTAGTTTCATGACAATAACTTGTGTGTAAGTGTATGGATCTCTCTGACATTGTATCACAAGGTTCCATATCATAAAGGGAATGCTGGGATTGATTTTGGGGGTAATTGCCTCCAAATTTTAGGAATTATGGGCCAAAAAGGGGCAAAAAACAAGCATTTTTCTAGTTTCATGACAATAACTTGTGTGTAAGTGTATGGATCTTTCTGAAATTGTACTACAAGGTTCCATATCACAAAGGGAAAGCTGGGTTTGAGTTTTGGGGAAATTGCCCTAAATGTTTAGGAATTTGGGGCCAAAAAGGGGCCAAAAAAACACATTTTTCTAGTTTCCAGACAATAACTTGCGTTCAAGTGTATGGATCTCTCATAAATTGTACTGCAAGGTACCATACCACAAAGGGAAGGTTGGGATTGAGTTTGGGGGTGATGAATCATAAGGGGGTTCAAAAAATTTGGGGGGGGGGGGGGGGGATTTTTTTATCTTTTTTTTTCTTTAAAATTTTCCATTTTAAATTGGTTATTTCTGATTTATATATAAAAGCAAATAATAATGATATGGTTTGAATAGGTAAATTAAAATTTTTTAAGTTCTTAGACCACTTTCATTCTGTGTCAGAAACCTATGCTGTGTCAAATATTTAATTACAATCCAAATTCAGTGCTGTATCAAGCTTGAATGTTGTGTCCATACTTGCCCCAACTGTTCAGGGTTCGACCTCTGCGGTCGTATCAAGCTGCGGCCCAGCGGAGCATTTTATTCTTATGTGGCTGAACAAAGTTTTGCAAAACTTACTAGTCTGAATAAAATTGTACTAGTCTGGGGCATCAGACATTATATATATATACTGGGATGACAATATACATCACTCATCGAACTGATGGTATATATCAGAATTTGATGATTGTTAAGGTCTGATATAATTTGTAAAGATTTGTAATGTCATAAAAACAACTGAATTAACCATTATTTGATGATGGCAGACAGAAAACCTTGTAGCATATCTCAAATGGTAAATTTATGATGGCATTGTTAAACTATTGAAGCCCTTTATTCAAAAGATCAACATGGGTAGCTAAATTGTCAAACCTCATTCTTAGTATATAGCAGGAAATTTAATCTACATTGTAAAAGTTTGATTTATCTGGCTTATATTAAGGAATTTGAACCTTATTTAAACAAGCAAGATTAATTCAAACTTCCACAAGTGGATCCACTGACCTGTAAAGAAGGAAAGAAGATGTAAGTATAGGAATTCCTTGAATTTTTTGAGCAGGTAAAACCACAACAGTTACAGCAGCAGATGCAGGCTGTACAGATGGCAGTGGAATTAGATATTGCTGATGATGTGGATATCCCTCCCAGTCCACCAAGCCCACAGTTAGAAAGTATGATGTCGCAAGTATCGCAACCTCCATTTCAACCCTTTCACATGGGGACTTCACAGTTTGTTGCTCAAGATCATAGAGGAGCACATTTTGTGGCTCCAGAACCTAGGGTAACTATTTCAGTTTTTATCTTACAAGAAGTAGATGTGTTATTGGCTATAAAATTAAGTATATCAAACATATGTAATTTTGAAATTAAAATCCTATCTATATTTTATATGAAATATAGAAATACAAGGGGAAATTTCCATAGGTAAAAGTACAGACAGTTTTGCAGTGATTTTTATACGACCGCAAAAATTAAAAAATTTTTGGTCGTATATTGGTATCACGTTGTCGTCGTCGTCAGCGTTGTCCGAAGACATGGTTTCCGGATAATAACTTTAGTATAAGTAAATAGAAATCAATAAAATTTTAACAAGAGGTTTATAACCACAAAAAGGAAGGTTGGGATTGATTTTGGGGGTTATTGTCCCAAAGGTTTAGGAATTAGGGGCCAAAAAAAGGGCCCAAATAAGCATTTTAGCAGTTTCCAGACAATAACTTGTGTTTAAGTGTATGAATCTCTATGAAATTATACCACAAGTTTCCATACAACAAAGGGATTGTTATGGGGGGTTATGGCTCAAACCATTTAGCAATTAGGGGCAAAACGGGGGGAAAACAAGGGTTTTTATGGTTAAAGGACAATTTAGACAATTTAAAAGCAGTGTAAGGGAGGTAATCCAATCCATTTAAAGAATACTGTTGTATATATGTTTGATTACATCCCTTACACTGCTTGTAAATTATGTATTAAGAAATGATGATTGTCTTGAGATGATTAGCTGTAAATTTATTTTTATACGACCACAAAAAAATTTTTGTGGTCGTATATTCGAATGACGTCGTCGTCGTCCGAAGATACATTAGTTTTCGCACTCTAACTTTAGTTTAAGTGAATGGATCTCTATGAAATTTTACCACAAGGTTCAATACCACAAAAGGAAGGTTGGGATTGATTTTGTGGGTTATGGTACCAACAGTAAAGCATTTTTGTAACTTCCAGACATAACTTGTGTGTTAGTGTATGGATCTCTCTGACATTGTACCACAAGGTTCCATATCACAAAAGGAATGCTGGGATTGATTGTGGGGGTAATTGCCTCAAAATTTTAGGAATTAGGGGCCAAAAAAGTGACAAAAAACAAGCATTTTTCTAGTTTCATGACAATAACTTGTGTGTAAGTGTATGGATCTTTCTGAAATTGTACTGCAAGGTTCCATATCACAAAGGGAAAGCTGGGTTTGAGTTTTGGGGGTAATTGCCCTAAATGTTTAGAAATTTGGGGCCAAAAACAAGCATTTTTCTAGTTTCCAGACAATAACTTGAAAGGGAAAGCTGGAATTGAGTTTGGGTGTAATTGCCGAAACAATAACTTGTGTTCAAGTGTATGGATCTCTCTGAAATTGTACTGCAAGGTACCATACCACAAAGGGAAGGCTGGGATTGAGTTTGGGGGTGATGAATCATAAGGGGGTTCAAAAAATTTGGGGGGGGGGGGATTTTTTTTTTTTTCCTTTTTTTTCTTTTAAAATTTTTCCATTTTAAGTTGGTTATTTCTGATTTATATTTAAAAGCAAATAATAATGATATGGTAGGAGATACACACCAAACAGGATGTGTAAATTATTATATAATAAGTATTGTGCAATAGCAAGAAATTTTCAATTGCACAGTATTGCACAATAGCAAGAAATCTTCAATTGCACAGTATTGCGCAATAGCAAGAAATCTTCAATTGCACAGTATTGCGCAATAGCAAGAAATATCCAATAGCACAATATTGCGCAATAGCAAGAAATTGTCAATTGTACAGTATTGCGCAATAGCAAGAAATTTTTAATTGCACAGTATTGTGCAAAAGAAGATACTTCGTATAAATTGCTTATTTCTTGACCAATTTCAATGGGGTTTTATTCTTGAATTCTTGGGGTTCTTTAATATGATGAATCTACCCGTGTATTTAGTTTTTGGATTTTGGGCCCCGTTTTTAAATTGGTCCACATTGAGGTCCAAAGGGTCCAAAATTAAACTTTGTTTGATTTCATCAAAATTGAATTATTGGGGTTCTTTGATATGCCGAATCTAACCGTGTATTTAGATTCTTAATTTTTGGTTCCGTTTTCAAATTGGTCTACATTAAGGTCCAAAGGGTCCAAAATTAAACTTAGTTTGATTTTAACAAAAATTGAATTCTTAGGGTTCTTTGATATGCTGAATCTAAACATGTATTTAGATTTTTGATTATGGGCCCAGTTTTCAAGTTGGTCCAAATCGGGGTCCAAAATTAAACTTTGTTTGATTTCAACAAAAATTGAATATATGGGGTTCTTTGATATGCTGCATTTAACCATGTATCTAGATTTTTGGGCCCCGTTATCAACTTTGTCCACATTGAGGTCAAAAGGGTCCAAAATTAAACTTTGTTTGATTTCATCAAAAATTGAATTCTTGGGGTTCTTTGATATGCTGAATCTAACCATGTATTTAGATTTTGGATATTGGACCATAATAGGTGAATGTCCAATTTAAAATTTTTAAGTTCTTAGACCACATTCATTCTGTGTCAGAAACCGTATCAAGCTTGAATGTTGTGTCCATACTTGCCCCAACTGTTCAGGGTTCGACCTCTGCAGTCGTATCAAGCTGCGCCCTGAGGAGCATTTTATTAGAAGTTATTATTAATTAAATTTAAATGTTAACCATGACTGTATGTCATTTTATATTTTAATATTTTATGATTGCACAAAAGCAAAAAATTGAATATAAATTCAAATCATATAATCAATTTTAAGTTCTTTGACTACACTTATTCTGTGTCAGAAACCTAGTATGTGTCAAATATTTAATTACAATCCAAATTCAGACCTGTATCAAGCACGAATATTGTGTCCATATTTGCCCCAACTGTTCAGGGTTGGACCTCTGCGGTCGTATCCAGCTGCGCTCAGCGAAGCATTTTATTTTATGTGTGTATATGTATAAAGGCAACAGAACCAGTAACAATATGAAATGAAGATTGTTAAATTAGTTTATTCCTATTTTTGAAAAAAGTAACACGTTCTGTTTGTCATCACGATATATTGATTTTTAAGTTCTGTATAAATTATGTTTCATTAAAAGTAAGTAGATAATCAGGGTTCTTACTTAGGCAAGTCAGTTCCAGGACTTGGGAAAACCTGTCTGGACTCAAAACCGATGAGTCCAAAGATTTATAAAATTATAAAATTTTGTATCCATTCAGTCAAGATATCATCATTATAAAGCATGAAAATTAACCTAAATTTGATGTCATTTCCTTGCTCTAATTTGTAATGCAGACTTCAATAATAATTTATATTGCAATTACATTTCTTTTTCCAACTGCTGGACTTTGAATTGCCAAAAATCCCTGAGGGCTAGGAGGGTATGAAAGGATTTTCAAAATATCCCTACAACCAAGAATCATTTTTGTCTCGCCTGCGACGAAAGTCGCAGAAAGTGAGACACAGGTATTACTATCCGGCGGCGTAAACTATTTGTATAAAGCTTTATATTTCAGAAGGTAGAAGACCTGGATGCTTCATACTTTGTATGCAGATACCTTATGTTACGAACTTTTCGTCTGTCATATGTCCAATGTCCTTGACCTTATTTTCATGGTTCAGTGACTGCTTGAAAAAAAAAGTTTAGTTTTTTTGTTATGTAAATTTCTCACTTATTATGAGTAATAGGATAACTATATTTGGTATATGGGTTCCTTGCAACATCTACATGTCCATCAGACAGGGTTCACCTGACCTCAGCCTCATTTCATGGATCAGTGATCAAGGTTAAAGTTACGTGATTAGGTCCGTTTCTCAGATACTACAAGCAGTAGGTCAGCTATATGTGGTGTATGGAATGATTATAAGGGATACATGTCAGTCTGGCAGGTTTCATCTGACCTTGACCTCATTTTCATGGTTCATGGTCAATGTTAAGTTTTTGTGTTTTGGTCTATTTTTCTAATACTATAAGCCATTGGTCAACTATATTTGGTGTATGGAATAATTGTAAGGTGTACATGTCTGTCTGGCAGGTGTCATTTGTCCTTGACCTATTTTCATGGTTCATTGGTCAATGTTAAGTTTTTGTGTTTTGGTCTGTTTTTCTAATACTATAAGCAATAGGTCAACTATATTTGGTGTATGGAATGATTGTAAGGTGTACATGTCTGACTGGCAGGTGTCATTTGTCCTTGACCTCATTTTCATGGTTCATTGGTCAATGTTAAGTTTTTGTGTTTTGGTCTGTTTTTCTAATACTATAAGCAATAGGTCAACTATATTTGGTGTATGGAATGATTGTAAGGTGTACATTTCTGTCTGGCAGGTGTCATTTGTCCTTGACCTCATTTTCATGGTTCATTGGTCAATGTTGAGTTGCTCTTGTTTGGTCCTCTTCTCAGATACTATAGGTTATAGGTCAACTATATGTGGTGTATGGAATGATTGTAAGGTGTGCACGTCTGTCTTACAGGTTTCATCTGACCTTGAGCTTATTTTCATGGTTCATTGGTCAATGTTAAGTTTCTGTTGTTTGGTCTTCTCAGATGCTATAAGTAATAGGTCAACTATATTTGGTGTATGGAATGTATTTTATTATTTAACTGCTGATTACTTACATTGAAATAGATTATTTTATAAAAATCTTTAAATAACATTAATAATGATAATAAATAATAAAAACTTTTAAGGGATCATTACTAAACCGTGATTAACAAAAACATTGGAAGGTGTGAAAATGTTAAAATAAGGTCACTCATGCATGAATGTTTAACATAGAATACAGTTCACTCCAGTCCCTTCATAAAGATTAATTGGCTGAATATGTACAGATTGAAGAACTTTTGAAATTTTGTTTGCACAACAGAATCACATTTACTGATTTTTGATACATATGAAATAAGATAAGTATTGAGATAAGTAAAAAATATTTTAGCATAGCAACATAAATAGATAAATAGATAATATGAAAATATGACTTTTTACAATATTTTGATCAAAGATTGAAGATAATTTTAGTTTTTTTTTTTTTTGGGGGGGGTGGGGGGGGGTCTTTCAGGTTCATCTCAAGGAATTGACAAATATTTATCCAGTTTCTGCAATGCCTTAAAACTTTTCCTTGTGCACAGGTTTGTCTGTACTCAAGAGGAAATAAAAAAAAATGGCCATATTTGTCAATCCCTTCTGATGAACCTTAAATCTAGATGAAAAATTATTTCATAAGAAATTTCAAAGTTTGCTTTTAGTAGTCATTTGACTTAATGTTTCAAAAAAAAAATTTGTATAATGCAATTTTATTTACTCAAATGTTGTTGCTATATTTGCCTGTGATTTATTAGCCAAAAGTGTATCCCATGTGATCGGCATCGGCAGCAGCAGCGTCATTATCTCATTACTTACAGCTTAATATTTCTAATGCCTTATGTGACAAAGTTTCTGTCAGTCATTTGTCCATTGTCCTTGACCTCATTTTCTTGGTCCAGCAACTACTTGGAAAAAAAACTGTATGGTTTTTGTAATGTGATTTTCTCAATTATTATGAGTAAAATGATAACTTTATTTGGCATGTGTGTACCTTGCATGGTTCACATATCTGTCAGACATATTTCATTTGACCTTGACATCATTTAATGGATCAGTGAACAAGATTTAGTTTTCATGATAAAGTCCATATCTCAAATTCTATCACCAATAGGTCTTCTATATTTGGTGTATAGAATGATCGTAAGGTTCACATTTCCAACTGGCAGATAAGTGATAAGTTCATAAAATTTTCTGTATGGAATGAATGTTATGTGTATATGTCTGTCTGACAGGTGTCATCTTACCTTGACCTCATTTTATGGTTCATTGGTCAAAGTTCAGTTTCCTCAATGAGGTTTGTTTCTAAGATACTTTAGGCAATATATGTTAAATAAATTTGGTGTATGGAATGATTGTACGGCCTACATGTTTGTCTGATAGGGTTTATCTCACCTTGACTTAATGTTCATTCATCATTAAAATGTTAATTTAATGTAAAGCTTATATAAACTTATTATTTTTTTTTTCAACATAAATTCAATTATGAACACTAAAACAGGCGAGACATTTCAGTGTGTCCACTCTTGTTTAGATAATTTTGCATAATGGTAATAGATGCATACTGAAAAAAGACCCATGACCCACATTCAATAATTAAACTTCCCTTCCTACCCTCCCACATACATTTTAATGGAATAGCCCTGACTGGCCTACAGAAATCCCTAGAACTCTGATAATGATATAGATTACATGTATCGTAATGTGGATAATCTTGTGTTTTGGAACAGAAATTGAATAACAATTGTAATTTCTATATTTTATAGCAACAAAGTCATTCTAACTATGGATTATCACAGACAGCATTGGGACAGTCAGCATATGGTTTATCTCAATCGGGTTTAGGACAGTCTGCATTCTCCCAAAATAGTCTGTTCCTACCGACAACACCAACACCAGATACATATCAGCAGTTGTCCTACCAAAGGAACCAGCTTCCAACACAGCCTCATGTTCCACCATTTGGTCAGCCACAGCCGAACACGATAATGGTGTCATCTGCAACTTCTTCTCTGATGTCAACTAGCATAAAACCACCAAACCAGAGTACATACGGTAAGCTGGAAATAAACACTTGACATAAATATGAGCAACCAAAAACAAAGTCCCAGATAAAAGGAATTGTATAGAATTTAAGATTTCTTACTCAAAGTAGCAATCTATCAGTAGTCAAACCTTTGCGCATTGCAGACACTGTTTCTTCTTTGAATAATGTTTATTTTTAAAGTGGATAGTTCATATTTCTTAAGAGTTCTTTATTTCATTGATTTAATGTAATAACCACAATCCATAAGGACTGTTCCAGAATTAGAGGCATAGAGGGAAAAGGATGGATGGGAGGCATTTTTAAGGACCCTGATGACCAAAAAATGGATTGAACAGATGATTGGTACACTCAACTAACAAAACTGGTTCAGTACTGAGTTGATCTGTTTTCATATAATTTTATAAATTGCAGGTACAACTATGCAGAAGAATATAACACCAAACTCATTATCATTTGGACAGAACATGAACAACAGTTCATTACAGCCCTCTCCACAGATATCCTTTATACAGTATGATCCAAATCAGCTGTTTGGTGCCAATGCATTGTTGGGAGCTACTCAAACTCAACAGAATAATGCATCTTCACAGTTATTAGGCTCACAGCTTGTTCAACCAAGGTATGCAATATACTAGAAAACACTTTTTATGCAATTATGCATTTAATTTCCAATTAAAACTGAATAGGTGGTAAAAGGCCCTTCCAACCCCCATACATTTAATTTTGTAATAGCTTTAATAAAGAAGTACAAATTCAAAAAAAGATAAATTAGTTGCAACTTTTTACGTCTAATAAACTGTTAACTGATAAATATAAATAAGAAGATGTGGTGAGACAACAATCCATCCAAGTCACAATGTGTAAAAAGTAAACAATTATAGGTCAAAGTACGGCCTTCAACACGGAGCCTTGGCTCACACTGAACAGCAAGCTATAAAGGGCCCCAAAAAGACTAGTGTAAATCAATTCAAACAGCAAAACTGACGGTCTAATCTATATAACAAATGAGAAACACTTATGAACCACACCAACAAACGACAACTACTGAACAACAGGCTCCTGGCTTAGGACAGGTGCATAGAAATGCGAGTTTTAACAGGCGCCAACCTTCACCCTAACCTGAAACAGTGGTATAACATTACAACATCAAAAGACAAACAATAAAATAACAATTGAAATTGCTTAACTCGATTAAAGAGACAATACACAAAAACAAGTAAATATACACTGAACGAATAAGTTTGATCTATGACACAATATAAATAAAACAGATGTTTCAATGTCAAAAAGACAACTTTAACCTAGGACAAAATGGCGTTAAATAAAGTAACGTACACAGGTAAATGATTTCTTTTATTTTACGTGTATTTGACAAGAACTGGTAGAATGTGACACTTCTCCGATCAATTATAATGATTTTTTGTTAATTTTAAGTCAAAATCATCCCTGATTTAATCAACAAATATTTACAGGTATAAAATCTTCATCTGTGAAACATTTTACAATTATGAGAAAATAAAGGGCAAAAGTTCAGAAATCTTTATGGTTAGAATTTGAAAAGTGAACAATTTATTATTTCATTCAGTCCACTCAAGATTTGTCTATATAACATTGCTTTTCAAATCCTTGAATACTTATAATATCTTTTTGAATTTCTTTAAAAAGGTATAACATTTTCTAATTTTCATTGTACCCTGTGGAAAAACATGAAAATCATTGTCAAATTATTGTTTAACCATTTCAGACCTGCAGTACAAAATGTGCAGCAAGTACAGGGAAATAACTCGTTTTACCAACAACCGCCTCAACAGCAGATGCAGCAAACCAGTTTTTTCTCACAGCCAAACACATCAAATTTCCAGGTATATTGAGTTAATAGGATAACTTATTTTTAGCGTATAAAAAGTATTAATGTACATTTTAAATTGTATTGGAAGTTGTCAGTTTTAGAAGGAAGATTGTGTAATTCATTTAAAATCTACATCAGAATTGTTGTATTTTCTAAATTATACAGATGATTGATAGAGAATGATTATAGTAATTTTAACAATGTTAATATTTTCAGCACATGAGTAACACCAAGAGACAACAGAATGAACAGTTGGTATTGCAAGCTTGTTTACTTCAAGCAGCTGCTGCAGGAGCTGGTTCACAACAGTTCCCACTACAGTTTGGTAATCAGCCTGGAGCTAATCTGAACTTATCCTTCCAACAACCATCACAGATGACAATGCCTCCATGTCAGAGTTCATCAACTAAATCGTCTCAGTTTAATCCATCGGGACAGCAGGGCTCTCCACAGAGTACACCTGTAAGTACAAACAAAATATTGGAATTATAAAGTTATTGCAGGGAAAATAGATATTCGCTCAAAATACATAGCTGTAATATTGCAAATACCCTTAGTCATTATTTTCGTATCAGTTTCACTGTACTAATTGGTACTGTTTCGTAAGGTGCAAGGGGAGGCAGAAGGATGGATAGACTTTAGATATTGAGATGATCCTGGATACAACTTGGCTTGTGATCCTTCATTATCTATAACAGCTGGCAAAATTCTTGTGGTCATTTCTGAAGCAGTTACCACACCGCAGAGGAAATCAGTGAAAGATTTTTATCTGCCTGTATTCTGCATTTGACATTGTTATGTATAGCCATATGATGATGCTGATGAGCACAAGTGTTCAACACAAGGATGACAATTCACATCACTCACCGGTCTGATGGCATGTTAAATTTGTGTTACTGTGGATTCATTGTACATCAAAATAACTTATTGCTAGGATATCATCCACAGAATTGTATTTGATCACTGTTGAAGGTTTGCTAGTGCTAATACATGCTTAAAGAAATTGGGATAAACTCAAAAATGAAAACTTTATCTGGCATGTACAACAACCTTATGGGATATAAATTAAAAAAAAAATAAACATTTACACTATCATTTGTTTTTGACACATTTTATGTTGGATTTCTTTCTCCTTTAATTTGTTCACGTCCCAAATATGCATTTAATATTAGCCACTGAACATTATGCAAACAAAAATCAATCTCATCTTTGGCTGAAGAAGATGTAGGCTTAGTTTTGTCAAATTTAGCAGATTGTTCAGCTGAGAATGTAGCAAAATGTGTATGGTAATTTCTGTAACAACACAACAGAGGCAATCTAAATAATTTTTGTCTGTCAGTACTCTACATGTTACATGTACATTGTTATGTATAGCCATATGATGACCCTGATGAGCACAAGTGTTTAACACAAGGATGACAATTCACATCACTCACCGGTCTGATGGCACAATTTGTTTTACTGTGGATTCATTGTACACCAAAATAACTTATTGCTAGGATTTCATCCACATAATTGTAATTGATCATTGTTGAAGGTTTGATGGTGCTAACACGTGCATAAACAAACTCTCATCTTTCTACTTGCAGTTGAAATCACCTCCACAGAGCTTGACACCTACAAATAACTTTGGAGGTATATCTTCTGTTGGACAGCAGAATCAAAATTCCAAATTGTTTGGACTTGGTCAGAATCGTGCTGGTTCGAATCAGAGATTCACAAATGTGGGCTTTTCAAACTTTGGTAATAACATGCCACAGTTTACACAGAAATTGAATACTCAATTTGTGCAGCAACCAATGCAAACTGGTGGTAAGTATTAAGATGGAATATTGTAATTGGCACAGGAGAATTTTGTTTGAGGTACTTTCAATCCTGTTAAAACTGTTGTAATTTGCAGCATTCTATTGCATATTTTCCATCAGGAAAGCACAGAGTGAAAAGATATGTTATTATAAGGGGGAACTACATGTATATTACCAAAGGGATCTAAATGAAAATTGATTGAGGTATAGATTACAACCAGCTATATCTCTCCCTTTTGGCAGAAAAAAACTATGCTTTAAAGAGGCATCTGTTTGGCTATGCTGGATATATGAATAGACTGTTACTCCGGTAGGATGGAGGTTGCTCTTGCCTTTTTGTATGAAAATTGCCACTTATTGCCTGTTTGATGACCCTTTCAACATCGCTGAAGGATCCATGGGTGGCTTGTTGCAAGGAAAAATTTCTTGTCCTATCCAACATGCCCTCATGTTATCAGTGGCAGTCTCCATTAATTTGTTCATGTCCTATATATTCATTAAATATTGTCCACCGAACATTATGCAAATAAAAATCAATCTCAACTTTGGCTGAAAGAGATGTAGGCTAAGTTTTGGTCAAATTTATCATATTTTTCTCAACTGAGAATGAAGCAAAATTCTTATGGTCATTTCTGAAGCAATTTAAATACCACACGGCAGAGGAAATCAGTAAAAGATTTTGATGTGCATGTTACATTGTTATAGCCATATGATGACCCTGATGAGCACAAGTGTTCTAACACAAGGATGACAATTCACATCACTCACCGGTCTGATGGCGCAATTTGTTTTACTACTGTGGATTCATCTGTTTACAACTTTTCTATAAAAGCATGCAAAGCAAACCTTTGATCGACTTGCTTGGATGTTTGTAAACATAAGGGTAGGCAGAGTTTCAGTCTGTTTAATATATACTGGTATTTGATTGGACAATAAAAATTGACATACAATGTGAAACTTAACATTTAAATGAAGTTAATGTTTATTGTCCAATCAAATTCCAGTATATAGTAAACAGACTGAAATAGACTACCTACCTGTTGTTTACAAACATCCAAACAAACATAGCAAGCAAGTTGATCAAAGGTTTGCTTTGCATGTTTTTATAGAAAAAGCTGTAAGTTGATAAATGGTTTTATGGTTTCGACAAATTCTGCATAAAAGTCTAAAGGAAATTCCTATTTTGTTGAACACTGATAATCTTGGTTCAAGAAATTCATGAAAATTAGCACGCCACAAATAATAATAAATCCACAGTAAGGCCATAAATTTCGGTATATTTAGATAAATATAATTAAATTTCCTGCCAACAAGGCAGAAGATATATTTCTAGTACTTGACATCACCACTACCTTTCAAGTTTCATTCAGCATCAATATAAACACAACTTGCATAATCAACAAGATGAACAAAAAACAACATTCCTCTGGTTTTCTTGGACATAGACTCCAATAAACATTTGTTAAATTATAGACTCCAATAAACATTTGTTAAATTATAAATTTCAATCAGAATATTAGGTGAAGGAAATAAAGTTATTATTCTGTTGCCCTGTAAACATCACAGTCATCAGCTGATTAAATCCTAACTAAAGGAGAATGGCGGGATTGTGGAAATTGCTAGTAAATGCTGACAACTAAGGAATGTGACATAAAAAATTGTTCAAAATTTGGCTATCATCCATTTATAACACAAATTGACATTTGCAAAAAATAGATTTCTTACTCTGTTATGGGACGGAATGGAAGCTGTGACTTGGAAAAGTAAATTCTTTGTGCTCCTCAATATTGAAGAGTTCCAAAAATTGGGGTAAATTCAAATTTGAAAATTTAATTTGGTTTATACAAATATTCTATGGGAAATATAAAAAAAAATGCTAACGTTATGGTTTTGGTTTAAACACATTTCAGTTGGGATTTTATTTAAAACCTTGGCTGAGGGCGTTGTAACCTTGGTTATTGTTAAATTTACCAAATTTTTCAGCTGAGAATTTAAAGAAATTCTTATGATCAATTCTGAAGCAGTTCCCACATGGCAGGAGAAATCAGTAAAAGATTTTAATCTGTCTGTACGCTGCATGTTACATTGTTATGTATAGCCATATGATGATACTGATGAGCACAAGTGTTTAACACAAGGATGACAATTCACATCACTCACCGGTCTGATTGCGCAATTTGTTTTACTGTGGAATCATGGTTTCATGGTTTTGACATATTTTGCATACAAGTCTATAGGAAACTTATATTTTGTTGAAGATTGATATTTTTGGTTCAAGAAATCCACAACAATTAATACCCCACAAACAATAATGAATCCGCAGTAATATCCTGTTGATAACATGTTCTTTTTTATTTTGGCTAATTATTTGTATGTGTATTGTAGGAACAGTCATAAGACCTCAGATGATGTTGAACAACTTCAGACACAACACTCCGACAACATCATTTCCTAATCCAATACAAAGGCCAGGGCTACAGATGCCACCTAATCAGAGACCCCAAAGACCATTAGGTGTACCTACAAATCAAGCTGGTGGTCAGCTAAGACCAAATGCAATTGTGCCACAACCTGCACCTGTCAGTAGTTCGACAAATGTTTCTGTATCGTTGAGAGCTCAGCAGGCAAAACAGCGACAGGAATTGCTTGCTCATGCTCAGAGTTTCCTTAATCCACAGAACAAACCCAGTATAAAACAGGCAGGCAAAGTGGAAGTGTCAGCTAGTGATAAAAAGCCAGGAGAAACTGGCGGCAATAATGTGAAGCCTGAGGATGGCAAACCTACTGATAAGAAATAATGTGTTTTATCAAATCATTTTTATTGTAGAAACATTGTAGATGTCTACATATTAACTCTTTAGTAGTTGTGTATTTTATTGTATTATAACTTGACTTTTATGGCAAAGGAAGGAAATGAGCTTTATAAGCATAATGGACAAATTCCATGATATGTTCAGAAGGAACTTTATGTGTATTCTAATGTGGGTGTATTGCATAAATTTTTCATGCTTGCATGTAACAGTTTGTAAGAATTTGCCTTTCTTTTGATGAAAAGACTGAGCATGCATTATGATGCTAATTAGGAAAGATCAAAATGAATATAACAATAAAATTTAATGACGTATTACTTTTTATCCTATTAAATCTTTGCAAAAGGTTGTAAAGATATTTTATTAAGTGTATGAATCTCATTTAATTGCAATTCATATTAAATATGGTTTAGTGACAGAATAAAGACATTTCTGATAAATCAAGGCTAAAATGTAGTTTTCATCATGTTGATGAAAATTGTTTTTATTTTTTAGTAAGATTGTCTGCTGCTGTTTATTGGTAATTATGAGAGGCAGATTATTTTTCATAGGCAATTGTGAATTTGCTTTGACCTAACTTAATGATAGTCATTATTGCTTGAGTGTTTGTAAATAGACTTCTATTCAAAATGAAAACTAAACTTATTTTTCAAGCATAAGCTGTGTAATTATGAAAATGCAGATAATAGATTTATAAGACAAATCAGAAGGACATATGCATGAGGTTATACAAATGAGGTAACCAATAATAGATATAATCATTTAAATGACTGTATTGTCACTCAAACTTCCTGAATTGAATTAAAATGTAACACAGAATAAATGATGATTTGGATTTGTGTAAGTTATGAAGAAAAAGGGAGATTTTTGTAAACTAAGAAAGATGTGATCAGCATTTGTAAATAAGGCTTAAACTGATTGATCTTTCACATTGAAAGAAAGGCATAATTCTTAGAACATAGATTTTTTGTACATTTTATATTGTTATATATTTTGTAATTTTATTATTTATTTATTTACCTTGTTGGTAGTATGGAGATTTAATGTAGATGTTATTTGTATGAAATTTTATGTCAGAAGTGGTACTTTCAGTGCTGTGAATAAGGCTGAAGGTTACAAGACCTTGTGCTAATAATGTAGCAAGGCATAAAGTTAGGTTTGAGGAATGTTACTGTGAAGGACAGAAATTTAAGATTTAAGGACTATAAAAAACCAGGTGGTTATTTAGATGAATGATGAAATGTTGGTTTCTATAAATGGGTTGTGTATCTTGACAAGTTAAATGGGATGCTGTTATGAGAATTTAGGAGGAAAAGGTAATGCAGAGATATTTATTCTACAAGTTATTCAAAGCTGAATGTGGTTTATGAAACCAATTCATATAACGTTTGTAAACTTTAAGGCTATGTGCTTTCTTTACCTAGACCAAGCTATTGATTCAGAAAATAAAAAGGTTTACAAGATAGTTACGGAAGAATTCTGAAAAAGGTAGATTAGTTATGAAAACATATATACATAGAAAATGTGAGTCTATGAAAATGATCAGTGTTGACTCTGAACTTTTTTTTAGAAGATAATTGAAGCACTAAAATGGCGAACATTATAAAAACATAAGAACTAGAAAAATGTTGGAATTGTCCCCGAAGATCTAATGAAACCACTATTGCCCCAGTGGTATTCATCAATTTTGAAAAAAGCTGGCTTGTCAACATTAAACTGTGCTGCCCCGACAGTGATGGTGTATGACATTCCTGTAGTTGGCATGGTGACACTAGACCTGTCTCTTAGCTGCCCCCTAACAAGGCAGGTCATAGGTCACACAGTGTGAGGTGATAATAATGATATATAGGTAGTTGTTGTTTATTTCACTTGTGATGTATTTACATTTTTGATCGTTGTTTGATTTTTATTTTAAAAGAAAAATAGGCACGAGAGGATTTGTTGAATGGCCGAAGGCATATCACAGATTTAACCAATGAGTTTGTGTGTTTGTCTTGAATGATGTTTTATTAGAATGATTGGCATTTCATTCATTTTAAGAGTTATGTTAACTGGAAATGGTGATTCTAAATGTTTCTTGTGACATTTTTTCATTTTATGTAATCTTTGAAGTACATTATATACAAAATGTCAATCATCATTATTTCTGTGTTTATTTCTTTTTTGTAGTAACTGCCAAATAGCACACAAATTGTTTCTTTAAACTTATAAAATAACAGTATATATTGAATTGTGTTACTTGTTCAGCTGAATAGCTGGTACAAGTTCTGCATAATTGCCGTATATATATTGGGAAATTCCTCAATTTCAAATGCTTTTATTTGGTAGTAACAGTAAACCAAGTGTATCAAATTGTAAAAGGATTTATTTATTTACACCTCGCACAATATTGAATAAAAGTATTTCAGGTCATTGTAGATGTCCTTTTTCTTTCCATTTTTAGTGTCAAAATAATTCACTATGCACTATTGTTTATGGCATTAAAAATATGAAACATATCATAAAAAGTTAGGATTTGTACTGTTGTTGCAACAGAGAGCAGAACGGATATAAGAGTATCACTTGTGTTTAGACAAACTTTAAAAAAAATTAGTTGACCATACTGTACAGGAATAGGGGAAACTCATAAGGAAGCAATAAGGCCCTTTTTTGGCCAAATATTAGTGCAAATTGAAAAATTACCATACATATTCTTAAATTTGTCTCAACTACACTAAGTTACAAGGTGGTCAGAAAATAAAATCAGATTTCACACTAGTTACCATGCAGTTTGCATTGTACCGACCAATTTCATGTAACAGAATTAGAGGTCGTCGGAAAGAGATAATTATTAATGTTGTCTAGATAATCCTCAAACACATACAACCAATGACTCTTTACTATACTTATCACTACTGTACGATTTCTCACTGGTATACATGTTCTTAATAAAGTTGTGTGTTTTGTTCATTCATTGGAAGTAATTGAATAAATTAATGAATCATTTAATCCATGTTGCATATGGTTTACAGTAGAGAGGATGTAAAACACTTTGGGAATTATTGTTCTGTTAAGCATTGTCTCCCTTTTTATTTTGATACCTCTAGATAGATTTACTATGTGTCAATATCAGTGTTCTTTTTGCTTCCATTTCATTTACTCATGGCTCTGTATTATTGAATAAAGGAGCTATCTTGTAATAATCTGTCTTTTTATTTCCACCTTAATACAGGTTATTGGAATGCCTATAAATGGAGAAAAACGTCGAAGTTTATTAAAGGAATGCCAATGTAACAAACAATAGTACTGGCCATGTCAAGAGCTTCTTTGGGTTTAGTAGAAGTTGCACATCAGCTCCGTATTTACTACAACTTAGTTGTTGGATTTATATATTGTTTCTGGCATACTTTTAAAAGGAGTTAAAATGATTGTTCAGTTGCAGAGGATTAATTGGCAAGCAATAATTTAATATCCTATTGTATTGATGTCACAAGCTCAGTCAATATGATAGATGATAGGTCCATGTGATATTGATTTATTTGTCACTCTAAAAGTGAGATCTGTAAATAAGAGGGAAGTTGAGTGCAGTCAAAAGTTAACGTATCTTCCGAAAGGAATTGAATTATGTTGATGTCACATTTTTTGTCTCGCCTAGCGAGAGACCGGGATTGCTTTTCAGGCGAAGGTGACGATGATGGCGTCAACAATTGTTAAGTTTTCTGCTTAAGTTAGTTTGTTAGGAACTACATGTGATACATCATTGATATTTAATATAAAGTTGCATTACTATCAGTACAAAATGACAACTATTTTGACGCCCTTCCCCCTAGGTCATGGTCCAGTGACTGAATTAATTAGCAATTTTCAATGTTGAGTTTTCTGCTTAATTTAGGTTGATAGGATCTACTTGTGATAGATTAATGATATTTTGTATGAAGTTGCATTACTATCAGTACATATCAGTTTGACGTTTATTTTGAGGCCCTGCCCCCTAGGACATGGTCAAGTAACTGAATTAATTATGGCAATTTTCAATGAAAAGTTTTCTGCTAAAGTTGGGATTGATAGGAACTACAATAGACAACGATATGTTTGTTCATCTCAGTTTGTCAACCATTTCGAGAACCCTGTCCACTAGATCATGATCCAGCAACTTTGAATTAATATGCAAGGTTGCTGTCCATCAGATTGTCTTTTCTGAATTTGTGCCTACAGGCGAGACATATCTCTGGTTCAACAGTTTATTTAAACATGAATGTTAGGATGTTATTCTATCTTGTACTGAATATGGCTTTGCTGCAGAACATGGTTTTTACAGAGCACCTCCAGATTGTCCAAGGATATTTTCTTACCAACCAACGAGCAGATTTATAGCAAATGGTGCCTGAATCATACCAAGGTGTGTAGTTTTATGCAAAAATTATGTGAATTAGGTATATTTACTAATGTGAGATATTTTTGTGTTTTAATCAATTTATTTTTTTTAAGCTTGACCCTTCATTTTATTCAATAATGACTAGTCAATGCATTTTTGTCCTGATTTCACCAATCCTAGTGTATATAGTACGGTGACGAGTAAGGTAAATTTAAAAATTTAATGGACCGGAATACCTCACGGCTAATTTTGGTCTTATTTTGAAGATGAATATAATACACTTTGAATAAGGCATGTCGTAGAGTCAAAGTGGTGCAGAGTTTTGAAAACTGGTCAAAGGTCAAAAGGGGGATTTTAAAAAATCGCAATTTTTGGACATTTTGGACAATTTCTCGGTAGTCCCTCATAACTGATAAAAAATTTATAAGTATGAAATTTATTTTTATACAATATTCAGCACATTTCAACAGAATATGACCATGCTTATATGATTATACAAGTTGATTAGTTAAAGATAAAAAAAACAAGTTGATTAGTTAATAATCGCACAATCAAAGGAATTTAATATATTTATTAGCATGGTAATTAAGAAATTACATTCATATTTTTGTCTAAGTTTTCATTAAAATCTGGTATAAATTTCAAAGATATTTTAATTTTTTGTATAAAGCTTAAAAAAAAAGATCATAAAACATTCGTATTTTTGTCTAAGTTTTCATTAAAATCTAGTATAAAATTCAAGTAATTCAACTTTTTTTATTTAGTTTACCAAAAAACAAATCATAAAACATTCGTATTTTTGAATATATTTTTAATGGTACGAGTTTGCAGTGGTACGAGTTCTGATTGGTACGACTTCCCAGTGGTACGAGTTTACGTTGGTACGAGTTAACTTTTTTGGTACGAGTTTACGTGGTACGAGTTTACAATGGTACGAGTTAACTTGCTTCCTGCCAGATTGACAGAGATTAGTGATGAATACCCCCGCATCCAACATGGAAGAAAATGATAAAAATTATCTATCTACAGAAATTATCGACAAAAAATATTTATATTTAATATTTAGTGGTGCAATAATATATGACAACATATAAAGACATTTTTGGGAATGTTTTGTTAACATGCCATAAAGAACAAAGGAGAAACAAGTACAGTATAGTTAACACCCGGTCCATGATTCAATGAAAAAATGATGAAATTCATTATTATTTTTTTAAACCCAAAAGAATGTTGGAACTTAAAAGATAGTCTTGATGCATAAATGTCAGCATGAACACGATAGTATATGCATTTTATTTTATGTTAATAGGTCAATCAGTACGAGAGCAATAGGATATTGAAAATGTGTGTCCCCCTTGTTATAAAATAACACAAACAATGGAATAAAGAGCATACTTTTGGCCTAAAACGATTTTAAAGCACGACATATATCAAACAAACACGATTCACAGAGATTATGATAAAAATGAAGATATTTGTGTATATTTCTGTAACACTTGACATCAATATGCACGTCCATTTGAAGTGGTAACGGAAAACTAAGACAAAAATGTAGCGATTCGATGTCATGTTATACTTTCAAATATTCGACAAAGTCTTCGGTTGGTTTACAAGCCCACCAACCACGTCAAGGTTGGAGACCACTGCCAGGTTTGTTTGTTTTTTAATTTTTTATTTAAAAATTCATTTTTTAATTTTTTTAATTTTTTGATAAGAGAGGGAGAGAAAACCTCCCTCTACACGTCAAGTAAAAAGCCATTTGCAGCAAACATGAAATATTGGGCATTTAGATTAATACTTAATCATCATCCTCATCGTTGCAATCTTCTAAAACAGTCTGATAAGAAAGCTGGTTTCTACAATCATCACTGCCCTGACAACCACAAATGATTGTACATGACAAGTTTTGTTCATAGCATGTACATGATTTGCTACAAATAAGTTTTCCTTTGCATGTGCAAAAAAGGTCCTGTAAAAAGTCAAAAGACATTGGGCCTTCGAAATATACTTGATTTATTGAGCTATTCCCTATTGTCTATCCATATTCCAGAGGTGATCTGAGTGGTGTTTTGGCGATATGAGCATTCATCCAGACTAACACTTGTAGTGAAACTCTAAAAATGTGTTGTCTGAATTGTAAACGTAGAATTCCGAGCGTTCATAATTTATAACTAAACACCATCTTTGTAGAAAATAACAGTCACGATTTATTCACAGTGACTGCATGTATTATACAGACGTTACATAAAATACAAAACACACGGCATACACTCCGACAGTTCAAACTATTTTAGCTATCTTGTTCATTCGTCAACACATCTCTCCCCTCTCACGTCACTATCATACAACGTCAAAATACGGGAAAACAACGTTAACACTGTACTGCGTAATTACGGACATGTAGACAAAGTCACAGTCACAACATGAATGATGCCTCTGACTTCACTCTCAAGACTTTGATATCTGAATGGGTGTTGTTTCAACGCCTTATATAGTGTCTTTTTGCCAATTCCGAAAAAAAGAAGACGCCGTGTATCGTCCCGTTAGAGCGTGGGAAGATAATAGTGTGCTAGACATCACTGTTCCAATACCATTGCATATGTCGTGTACAGGAATAAACCGTCTTGCGTCTTTGAAGAAACATGTCAGAAATTTTCTAGCCTCAGTGTACGACGCGCAAAACCTATGTGAATGTAAAGTTTCAATAAGATTTTTCGAACCATATTCATTATGCAGCTGAAGAGCCAATGCTCAACTAAAAGGGTTGTACTGGTTTTTATGCAGGGATATCACACACTCAGTTTAAAGAAATACATTTCCGTACAGTATCACATGGGAGTGAATTGTAATCATTCTTCATATGAAAACAATTGTCATCTTTCAGCCTGTCGAGAAAATTTATCAAAGAGGTAGGTATAAATTGTAAAGCTGTAGGGATAGAAACTTCTGAAGGAAATAGATAATTTTCATTTGAAATTTTGAACGATCGTAAACTGCTCCTCAAAATTTTTGACGCATCATGAAGGGTCTGATCTTCCTGATGTATGGAATCATTTAC